GTGGGCCGGACGCCGGAATTTGTCCAGGGGATCCCCTCGACACCCGACACCTTCCCTCTCAGTTCAGACGGACGCCTCCCCTCACAGGTTGGGGGTCCTGGCGAGCACTCAGCCTCCGCCTCTGGTCGGAGCGGGAGGTCAGCCTACACATCAATGTGTTAGAACTGAGAGCAGTCCGCAAGGTGTTCGAGTGCTTCCGGTGTTGGTGCAGGGCCGTGTGGTTCGCCTAGAAATGGACAATCAAACGGCCATGTCTTTACATTCTCAAGCAAGGCGGCACAGTGTCTCTGTCGCCTCCTTCAGGGAGGCGTGGCAGTTTCTACTGTGGTGCGATCAGTTCAACATTCGGTTTTGCCTGTTTATCTCCGGGGTAGACAACGTCCGTGCAGATGCTCTCTCGGGCGTATACTAGCCCCACACGAGTGGATGCTTTCGACCGGAGATAATCGGGATTATCTCCCAGTTGTTCGGTCGTTCCAGGTGGATCTGTTTTGCGCCTGGGGTGATTTAACCAGATTCCTGTGTTTTGCTCCCGATTCGGATCCGGATGCGTTAGCCAACGCACGCTTTTCAGCTAGATTGGACGGACAGGGTACTGTATGCCTTCCCGATACCACTGATTTCCAGGGTCCTGTCGCAGCTGACCGCACAACCAGCTCGCTACTTGTGCTTCTGGCACCCTTTGGTCGGCACAAGCTGGTTTCCGGTAATTCTCAGGTTTCTGGCTCAGCCTCCTGTTCTATTACCTTTTCGACCCGGACCTCCTATCCCAGAACGGAGCGCCCCACCGAATCCCAGGATTCAGTGGGTGGCTTGGCGCTATCAGGGATCGCCTCCATGCGGCGGAATTCCTGCACCAGTTGCAGACACAATTCTGGCTTCCTGGAGGATTCGACAAACGCTCAATATGAGGATAGATGGGCCTGTAATTCGCTGGTGTGTCAACAGGTGGATTCTTGATCCCTTTCTACAGATTTAGTCTGTGTGTTAGAATTCCTCCAGTCTCGGTTGGAAGCCGGTCTAGCGGCTTCCACTGTTCGGGGATATTCTCACGGCTATTTCTCGCGTTTCATATTCCTGTTGACGGTGCTCTCTTGGGGCAGCACCCTCTTATACAGCTTTTAGCAGGTGTGGACAGAATCCGTCCGTTGTCCGGCCGGATTAGTCCCGATGGGACTTGTCAATCGTTCTTGATTGGCTGTCCGGTCCACTGTTTCACAATCTGTCGGCTCTTTCCCTCCAGCTGTTGGCGTGGAAGACGGCGTTTCTTGTGGCGGTGACTTCTGGCGAGGCGGGTTGGCGATATTCACGCAATGTCGGCCGATCCCCGCTTACTGTTTTCACAAAGACAGAGTTAGCATTCGCTGCCTGAGACTTACCGTCCTAAGAAGGATAGTCCCTTCCATGTGACGGCCTATTGAGCTCCCAGCTTTCACTCAGCCTTCCCTGTCCGGTACCTCTCTCTGGCGTGCTCACGTCTTAGATGTCCGTAAAGACACTTCAGGCTTATATCAAACGAACAAGGGGTACCCGTAAGGGTAACCAATTGTTTTGTTGTTATGGCGGGTTCAGGCTGGTCTTCCGGCCACCAAGCAGACCATTTCTCGGTGGCTTGTCTCTGCCATACATATGAGTTATACTCAAACAGGGCGATCCCGCCTGTTGGGTTGAAAAGCTCATTCGGTTAGGGCAGTAGCTACATCGACAGCTTACGCTGCAGCCCTGCCCATTGAGGAGATCTGCTCCGCGGCTATTTGGAGCCGTCCGAGTACGTTCATCCGTCATTACCAACTTGACAGACTCTCCAGTGAGCGTGCTCGGTTCGGTCAGTCAGTTCTCTCCAGTGGGCATGGTTCCACCTCTCTAGCCGATTGAGCTTTGAGGGTTTTATTGTGTGAACCATTATCTGCAAATTTTTAACACTGGTGTTGGGTTTTACAAATCTTGTTACATTTTTCCCGTGGTGATGGGTTTTATGTGGTGCTGTTTTTATTCCCATGTCTCTTGCTTTCTAACCGAGAAGCTCTAGACTAAACTGCCCTTGGAAACTTTGCTGTTCATATTCGGCATTTCGCTTTCTGGGTTTATTGCAGGACCCTTATCTTCACTTCGAGTGAAGTAGATCACGGGAAGGAGGGAGGGTGTGTCTCGTTAGCTTGCATTAGCGAGGTTTAAGCTGGACAAATTTGCATCACGTTTAACCCTGACCCTGGCTCATGCCCCGCCTGATTGGCTTTGGTGGACACGCGACCGGGTAAGTGTGCCTTTTCTGCTATAATTAGCTTGGGAAATTCCACTTCTTGTCGGGTGTTTTTAAGCAGACAGAATGCCGCTCCTGAGATCCGTCTTTAGGAGTCTGTCTTATGCTTATAAAGTACCCCAAGGAGGAATATATAAAGAATCGAACTAACCTGTAGAGGTTTAAGATTCTTTGAATATGTTCCTCCTTGAGTAATACCATCCCCTCCCCGCATTCTGTCTGACTTCGTTCAGCATGGAAAGTGAGGTACGAGGTTACGGTCTAGAGTTACCTGCTCTTGGCTGTAGGGGGCCGGAAGGCCCTGTAAGGGTGGTCTCACAAGACAAAACGTAGTTTTTGTTTTGTAAATATTTTATTCAAATATTGTTACAACTGTCATAGGGAATTTAAATGGACATTTAAATGCTTATAAGTACCCAAAGGAGGAATATATTCAAAGAATCTTAAACCTCTACAGGTTAGTTCGAATTTTGTGCACATGACATGTAGGAAGACGTTTCCTATTCTTGCGGTACTTACGGATATCGGCTGAAAAAATAACACAAACAATTCTTATCGTATGATTGCTTGTTGTTATTAAATGAAGGGCCTTCTCCTCTAACATCTGCATCTATCAGCTGCCAGATCCATCAGGTGAATTACCACTCGTGAGCCCGGTGATAAACAATGCCATCCGCCATTGACAAAACGAGGCTTCTCCCATTCTCGCGGTATTACCAGGAACTAACGTTATTGAGTGTATGTAAGATCAATCCTGTCGGAAAGGGCGAGAAAAAGTAATAATATGTCCAAGTTGGTATAAACTCCCCAATATTTGTGACACTGCAAGATTTTGATCATTCACCGACTTGGTCCACTTCTTAGTTACCAGTCAATGATGTAAACAACCGCTAAGTGTCACGCATCAGCGATTTCAGCAGAAAACGTATTTACCGCGAGAATAGGAGACGGACCTATACTGGCGAGGTCATCAATTTTGTACATAGCAATTTTTTTTAAATTAGGGGATAACTGTACTGTGTTTGACGAATTGGGGACGTATACCGGTGGTTATATAGCCGCAAATTTAGTTATATCGGCGACGCGTAAGCGTACAAACACACAGAGTACAGTACAGTTATCCCCATTCAAATTCAACTCGTTTTACGTTGTTTTTTCGTGAAAGAAATCCATTATTTGAACCAGGTCAAAGCTCCTCTAGGTCAAAGGTTAATCATATCACTCCTTGAACTTACACCATCGCCAGAAAAAGTAGTTCCCTTTTCAAACTACACACATTTATTGTGTGCACACAGACTAAATCTGACAATGATGAATAGATCATGGTATTATAGAGAGAAAATGGACAGAATTATGATGAAACCGCCCTCTAGTTACAGAAATAAGCGGCCTGCTGATTCCTCAACTACGGGCCATTATCAGTTCTGTTGTCAAATGACGTCACAGCAGGTGACATCACGCTCCATAATGACGTCATAAATCTTGTTTCATGATCTAACAGTGTTGGGTCAACAGCCCGTTGCGAGTAAGTTCTTTGAACTTAAAATTAAATTTATGATACTGTTTTGTCTTTTTTAACACAAATTCCACCGATTTTAGCTGGATAGGGGAGTTAATTGACCAATGGCTTCTGCAAATGACAATGTCCTGCAAAACAGCGTTACCCCAATAGAGTAGGGATACAAAGGTTTTGGTGAATCGTTTTTCAAATTGCAACCATATATGCTGATTATACGGTCGGAAATTTATATCATTGACCAATCAGAACTCATGTTACATACTAAGTTGAATTAGAATATTATGCTTAATGATTATGGGGAAGGAGGGGGATGATTTTGTACATGACATGCAGGGGGTTCACTTGTGTACCTAAATTTTTAGGGTGTTGGGGAAGGGGGTCATTCACATTGTGCATGCTTCTACATAACAATCATCATCAGCCACTTGTCTTCACATGTGTGTACATATGTTTTCGATCATGTAAATTTCTATGTACTCATCAGGGTGGAAATAACCCATTGCCCGACGTCCAAGTCCAGTGTTTTTTCTGTCGGGCAAGCAAATTTGTATATCACACTGTACCGGTGTCCAGTTGACTTTCCAATGTTAATTATGTTGTTAACTTAAAAAATTGAACAAGAAAACGGCCGGTAAAGTGGAAAAATTATCAGGGCAAGTGATTTTACATGTGCCACTGTACTGGAGTTCACTAGCAATTTTAAAGTTATTTCCACCCCTGCTCATATATGCTTTTCTGCGTACGCTTTGAATCGGCAGAGAGAATACTGATTTTTTTTTTAGCCGGTTTGATTTCTCCCAGGGTAGATACGTAATATGCATGTTTTATCATCATCAGTTTTCACTTGAATATGATGCAAATGTTCATAAAATAAAACAATTATTAGAACAATTTTAATATGATGTGGAAATGTTGATGCTTGAAAAGTCGGGTACCCTTCCAGCACCCATTGTCTGTTGTTAAAACCAAAGTACAAAACAGTTTAATAAAGTGCCTCTTCCACCTGTCAGTAGGAGCCGTATTTGCTTGGAGGTTATGTTGCGTATATGACCACTAGTGCTGTGACATGTTACTAAGGTACTGTTTGGGCTGTAACCCAGTGTTTGTTTGAAGGCAACTGTCTTAGGAAGTTAGTCATGTTGCGTTTACTGTTAAATTACGCTGTATGTGCCTTGTGACTTTGTTATTATTGAAACTATTGTTAATCTTTCTGTTATACAGCAGAAGAGTGTGGGAACAGATGGCCCTCTCATTGACACGGAAGGTTTTCCCCGATCTGACATTGATGTGTACTCAGTCCGACATGCCCGACACCAGATTGCCTGTGAGTGTTGAGTTTTGTATGTTCACTTGTACCCTTCAATGATGTACATCAGTGTATGAAATACGCCAAAAACCCAGCCAGACATCAGGGCTGGTAACTTAAAAATGTTACCAAATTGTAACTTAAAAATGTTACCAGTCCAAAATGGATTTAACCAGACCAGACACCAAGATATGGTGAATTTACTCAGATGTATGGAACATAAAAAAAAACAATTACCAGACTGTCGGACTGGCTAGCTGTATATTTAGTCCGTCCGTCAGAAATCTAGCCCGTCTCAGGCTGTCGGACGGGCCTTATTTCATACGCTGTGTACATTGTAGACTAGATTCAGTAACGGCCTCCTAGAACCCCATGGTTGTCCGGTTATCACGTCTTGTATTTAGGACCCGTGAAGGTCCGGGTTAGAATGTTGATCTTCAGTAACCCATGCTTGTCATAAGAGGCGACTAACAGGATCGGGTGGTCAGGCTCGCTGACTTGGTTGACACATGTCATCGGTTCCCAATTGCGCAGATCGATGCTCATGTTGTTAATCACTGGATTGTCTGGTCCAGACTCGATTACAGACCATCGCCATACAGCTGGAATATTGCTGAGTCCGGCGTAAAACTAAACTCGCTCGCTCTTACATTTAGGTGGGGTTTTATGTAACTTTATGAAGACTCACTGGCAAACTAAAAAAATATTCATTTTTCATGAATACCGAAATCATTCTGTAGCAGGAAAGAAACACTGCAGTGGTCAAAATGTTGTTGAGAAAAGAGAGCAATTCCATTTCCCACCAACCATATGTCAGTCTGTACAATCTGGTATGCACAATGTTCTCACAAAAAGCTTGAGTTTGTAAACAACTTGTCTAGTATAAGTTTGAAAGGTGTAGCCACCTTTTCCTGTATGTCAGCATGACCTTACTCTTGAACATTACTCATACTTTGTATGGGGTTTGTGTATTCATAGGCTGCTATTGGTTGACTCTTCAGGTGGACTCACATGAGTCGACCTGTTGAATTGATATGCTGAATTCAACCAAGTTGTATCGTCTGAGTGATTAATCGAATTTAACAAATGGTACAAATCGGCCGCTCAAACCTGTTCTAGTTTTTCGGCAAGTTGGATGTGGCGTGGCCAATCAAATTGCATTTTGGTGTCATGTGCTAAATGTTTCCAAACATCCACGAAACCACGCCTCGATTTTTCACAGTTGTTTATCTTCAATTTCAAGTTCTTTAATGAGATGGTTGTATGCTCTGGCATGTGGCGACGGAGAATCCAATCTATTGTCCAACCACATCTCTTTTTCTTTGCTTTGGTATTGCCATTTTCTTCAAATAGTATCACGCAGCAGAGAAGTACTGCTGGGTCAGCTTCATATAGTATCACGCAGCAGAGAAGTGCTGCTGGGTCAGCTTCACATAGTATCATGCAGCAGAGAAGTGCTGCTGGGTCAGCTTCACATAGTATCATGCAGCAGAGAAGTGCTGCTGGGTCATCTTCAGATAGTATCATGCAGCAGAGAAGTGCTGCTGGGTCAGCTTCAGATAGTATCATGCAGCAGAGAAGTGCTGCTGGGTCAGCTTCAGATAGTATCATGCAGCAGAGAAGTGCTGCTGGGTCAGCTTCACATAGTATCAGTATCTGCTGGGTCAGCTTCAGAGAAAGTGCTGCTGGGTCAGCTTCACATAGTATCATGCAGCAGAGAAGTGCTGCTGGGTCAGCTTCATATAGTATCATGCAGCAGAGAAGTGCTGCTGGGTCAGCTTCACATAGTATCATGCAGCAGAGAGAAGTGCTGCTGGGTCAGCTTCAGATAGTATCATGCAGCGAGAAGTGCTGCTGGGTCAGCTTCAGATAGTATCATGCAGCAGAGAAGTGCTGCTGGGTCAGCTTCAGATAGTATCATGCAGCAGAGAAGTGCTGCTGGGTCAGCTTCACATAGTATCATGCAGCAGAGAAGTGCTGCTGGGTCAGCTTCACATAGTATCATGCAGCAGAGAAGTGCTGCTGGGTCAGCTTCACATAGTATCATGCAGCAGAGAAGTGCTGCTGGGTCAGCTTCACATAGTATCATGCAGCAGAGAAGTGCTGCTGGGTCAGCTTCACATAGTATCATGCAGCAGAGAAGTGCTGCTGGGTCAGCTTCACATAGTATCATGCAGCAGAGAAGTGCTGCTGGGTCAGCTTCACATAGTATCATGCAGCAGAGAAGTGCTGCTGGGTCAGCTTCACATAGTATCATGCGCGCGGCAGAGAAGTGCTGCTGGGTCAGCTTCACATAGTATCATGCAGCAGAGAAGTGCTGCTGGGTCAGCTTCACATGGTATCATGCAGCAGAGAAGTGCTGCTGGGTCAGCTTCACATAGTATCATGCAGCAGAGAAGTGCTGCTGGGTCAGCTTCACATAGTATCATGCAGCAGAGAAGTGCTGCTGGGTCAGCTTCATATAGTATCATGCAGCAGAGAAGTGCTGCTGGGTCAGCTTCATATAGTATCATGCAGCAGAGAAGTGCTGCTGGGTCAGCTTCACATAGTATCATGCAGCAGAGAAGTGCTGCTGGGTCAGCTTCACATAGTATCATGCAGCAGAGAAGTGCTGCTGGGTCAGCTTCACATAGTATCATGCAGCAGAAAGTGCTGCTGGGTCAGCTTCACATAGTATCATGCAGCAGAGAAGTGCTGCTGGGTCAGCTTCACATAGTATCATGCGGCAGAAGTGCTGCTGGGTCAGCTTCATATAGTATCATGCAGCAGAAGTGCTGCTGGGTCAGCTTCATATAGTATCATGCAGCAGAGAAGTGCTGCTGGGTCAGCTTCACATAGTATCATGCAGCAGAGAAGTGCTGCTGGGTCAGCTTCATATAGTATCACGCAGCAGAGAAGTGCTGCTGGGTCAGCTTCATATAGTATCATGCAGCAGAGAAGTGCTGCTGGGTCAGCTTCACATAGTATCACGCAGCAGAGAAGTGCTGCTGGGTCAGCTTCACATAGTATCATGCAGCAGAGAAGTGCTGCTGGGTCAGCTTCACATAGTATCACGCAGCAGAGAAGTGCTGCTGGGTCAGCTTCACATAGTATCATGCAGCAGAGAAGTGCTGCTGGGTCAGCTTCACATAGTATCATGCAGCAGAGAAGTGCTGCTGGGTCAGCTTCATATAGTATCATGCAGCAGAGAAGTGCTGCTGGGTCAGCTTCACATAGTATCATGCAGCAGAGAAGTGCTGCTGGGTCAGCTTCATATAGTATCATGCAGCAGAGAAGTGCTGCTGGGTCAGCTTCATATAGTATCATGCAGCAGAGAAGTGCTGCTGGGTCAGCTTCACATAGTATCACGCAGCAGAGAAGTACTGCTGGGTCAGCTTCAGATAGTATCACGCAGCAGAGAAGTGCTGCTGGGTCAGCTTCACATAGTATCATGCAGCAGAGAAGTGCTGCTGGGTCAGCTTCACATAGTATCATGCAGCAGAGAAGTGCTGCTGGGTCAGCTTCAGATAGTATCATGCAGCAGAGAAGTGCTGCTGGGTCAGCTTCACATAGTATCATGCAGCAGAGAAGTGCTGCTGGGTCAGCTTCATATAGTATCACGCAGCAGAGAAGTGCTGCTGGGTCAGCTTCACATAGTATCATGCAGCAGAGAAGTGCTGCTGGGTCAGCTTCATATAGTATCACGCAGCAGAGAAGTGCTGCTGGGTCAGCTTCACATAGTATCACGCAGCAGAGAAGTGCTGCTGGGTCAGCTTCATATAGTATCATGCAGCAGAGAAGTGCTGCTGGGTCAGCTTCACATAGTATCACGCAGCAGAGAAGTGCTGCTGGGTCAGCTTCAGACATTTTGATACCATGGAAAAATGCCGCAGGATATCATGAGATCGACACTACCGTAATATCGACACTTATCATCTGAAAATTCAATTTGTGAAGTTTGAAAAGTGTCAAACTGCATGAACGAAACATTTATTGTGCCAGATGTCAACTAACCATCAATCTGAACTCTTGACCAGCAGGTGCTCGAAGGTGCAGTGTCCTTCATCTCAGGGCTGTGGCCCGATAGAGGGAGAAATGTAAGATATCAGTAGATTTGCCAGACAAACGGTGGTATTGGAATATGTTCCTGGTTGTATAAACATTTGATAAGATTTCTGTCACATTATCAAACCTAAAACAAGTCATTTTGACCTTTTGGATTGCAGATTCTACCTTGAACTTGGAATTTACTCCATTATGATTGGTCAATCACATATGATATCAGAACAGCCACCTCTGATTGAAATGGTCGACAACTTGTACTTCACGGCAGATGCTAATATTTATAAATAATAATAATGTATTTATAAAGCGCCTAATATCCACCATAGAGATGCTCAGTGATGCTGTGACAATACTGGGGAAGGAAATAGTTCATATAACTTAACAGAAAGGCAGCAGTGAACAGATGGGTCTTTAGCAGAGATTTAAAAGTTTCTTTCGATGAAGTGTTCCTGATTTCCTTTGGAAGCCAGTTCCACAGTTTAGGGCTGGCAAAGGAGAAGGCTCGGTCAGACAATTGGTTTGGAGATCTGTGTTGGGTGTGGAGAGAGTCAGAGGAGGATCGGAGACTCGCTCAGGTACATACACGGAGACGAGATGTTTCAGATAGACAAGAAAGTTATCGTTGTAGAGGCAGTCATGAGTCAGAATGAGGATTTTGAAGGTAATTCTTGCAGAGATGGCGAGCCCGTGCAGAGACTGTAGTACTGGGGTGATATGGTCATGACGATGAGTGTGTGGTGATACATCTTGCAGCACAATTTTGGATTCTTTGTAGTTTCTGGAGTGATGTAGCAGAGAGGTTGGCATATAGTGAATTACAGTAGTCGAGTTTGGAAGTGACAAGACAGTGCATCAAAAGTTTACAAGTGTCAGTATCCAGGTAGTGGCGTACCTTGCTGATATTACTATTATTAGGGATGTTGTAATAGCAGGCCCTACTGATGGAGGTGATGTGTGCATCCACTGACATGTTGGAATCGAGGATGACACCAAGATTCCTGGCACTTTCTGATGGGAGGATGTCTGTGTCACCAATACGAAGTGAGGGTGATGTCTTCGACTCTATGAGCTGATGTTTGGAGCCAATCAGAAGGAACTCTGTCTTCTCATTCAACATCAAATATTGGAGGTCATCATTTATAGAAAATTGCATCAGTCTCAGTCATTGTCAGTGGGCATTTTTAGAAAGTAACATATACAGCTATAAGGTACAAAATATATGTTTGCAATTACCAAAATGTTTAAAGTAGATATGGCAATCAAGTTTGGGTTTGAAAAAAGTGAAATGGACTGATAGTGTGTATATTATGTTTTATGGATCACAGTAAACTGGAACCTTCAGTATTGTGTTGACACTACTATCAGGGTATGAAACTCCCAAAAATTTCAGCCAAACCACAGCCCTGGCCAAAACTTACCTGCCCACAAAATATCTTCATTAATACATGTCTAAATTTTAACCCGACCGTCGGGCAGGTGAATTTGAGAATCTGGCAGTCCGTGTTGAAAATAACCCGTCCAGGGCAGTCGAGCAGACAGGTATTTCGAACGCTGCTACTATATCCAAGTGGTATCAGTTCACCTCCACTCTATTTGTGTTTGTACCTTAAGCTTATGTTGACTGTTGTGGTCACGTTACAGGTCTGCAGAACGACCACAAGGAAGTGATGAGGGAGATCGAGGAGGAGCTGGTCAACATCCACGCCCAGGCCAGACAGCATCTCGGCAGCAGGGAGGAGGACATGGAGGTGGACAAGGAGAAGCCGGAGGAGAAACCTTGGATTGCTTTTGCCAAGATCGACCGAGTGGAGGTCAACTCTCCAGCAGCTCAGGGGGTAAGGAGAACATAGACTTACTGAGATGTGAATCCCATACTCCTCAAACACTCCAGACTGCGCAAACACTTCAGTCGACTGAAACGCTCTGTCTGCTCAAACACACCAGTTGACTCAAGTACCTAATTCTGGTAAAACACCTCATTCTGCACAAATACATCAGGGTGTGAGACCACATCAGTCTACACCTAAAGTTTAAGCTAAATCTATTCACTCATCAACCAAGGTGGCTACCCACAAGCCAGCTGGTCAGTGAGAGGTGGACTGTGTAGATGATGTATCATGGGGATATTTCTGTGTTTCAGGGTGTTGAGGTTGAGGATGAGGTGGTAATGTTTGGCTCAGTGACGGCTGACAACTTCACCGGTCTGCAGAGTATCGGCTCCCTAGTACAGCATAGCAAGGATGTGAGTGCCCTCTTTGTATCAATGATCTTGCATTCTAAGATACTTAGCGCTTAGAACAATAAAAAAAACAAACATTATCAGACAATAAAGGTATAGTTTTTTGATGACGTAACAATTGAATGACGTTATCCCTCACTGCGCCATTCTAGTGTGCCCCCTCGTAATCGAACCATTTTACATTACGTCACAATGTAAACGACGTCATGATGCATGTCAGTTGTCATCGCCTCGTACGGCCTCCTACAGTAAACTACACCGATGCATCCAGTTTCTTGGTTTGCAGTTGCTTCACTCACCTAACATCACTGGTGGAAACAATACGGTTATGTTTTCTGACAATTCGACCGCAAGTTTTCAGCGACACAGTAACGTTCACAATGTTTACATTCCCACAATGCAATCGTGGAATTGTCGCTTGACTACTCAGCTTCGTCTGGATGTACTGATCTAAACTTACGTTGGTAGTAGAAATGCGACGTTCACATGGGTTACGTTAATCACAGATGTAATTAAAATACTTTAGAGAAGATATTTAATCCGAACGTAAACCGTCATGAAACTGTTTATCATTTGTTTTTCTGGTAATGTTCGTCTTAACGTAGGTGGGCAGACACATCAATAGAACAGCGCGCCAGTTAGCCCTGTGCGAGGATTCTTAATTTAGGTCACCGACACCGTCGTTTGTTTTCTGCCTTAAATTAATCATAATTATCCTTAGAAAGTATTAAATTTGGCATCTTAGAAAAGAAATACAGTTAAATCTACCACCATGTATAGTGTAATAAAACACACTTTTGCCCTGAACTATTATAGTTAAAGCACGAGGACGCTTGCGTCCGAGTGCTTTAACGTCATAATAGTTCAGGGCAAAAGTGTGTTTTATTACACTATACATGGTGGTAGAGCGAACTGTATTTCTTAAATAACAATGTAACATGCTCACTAAGCATCTGCAAAACTGATGATGTGGTGTCGAGGAATACTCACTCACTGAAGGGTGGACAACATTATTGACAATACCGCCTATATCAGCGAGGAGAGATAGACCCATTGAATCAGATAAAATATGAAAATAGAATGGTAATAGTTATTTGTAATTTTATTCAGTGACAAATGAAATAGGATCTAATTACACATATCTCTCTTTCTCTTGTTTCTGGGGCGGTGGGGTAGCCTAGTGGTTAAAGCGTTGGCTCGTCACGCCGAAGACCCGGGTTCAAATCCCCACAAGGGTACATTGTGTGAAGCCTATTTCTGGTGTTCCCCGCCGTGATGTTGCTGGAATATTGCTTAAAGCGGCGTAAAACCAAACTCAGTCAGTCAGTCTTTTGTTTGTGACAAGATTTGTTTGTGGTTTCAGAAAGCCTTGAGTGTGTCAGTCAGAAGGAAGGGTCAGGTCCTGCGCTTGAGTGTCACTCCTAAAACATGGAGTGGGCGAGGTTTACTGGGGTAAGTAATATCAGTGGGTTGGACAAGTGAGACGTTACAAGGTAATGGTGGAGATGAGGGACTGGTAAATATTTCACAGGGTGGGAAGGGGTGGGGTTAAGAGTGGGGCTCGGGGTGATGAGATGGGTCACCACCGTAGTATATTTTGCCAAGCCTCCCACTTTTAGGAAAATGTTTATGTTTATGTATCAGACAGTAGAGATATTTTCTTCTTGCGTCTCTGTTTCAGATGTAACATTGTGCCTTCCAAGAGATGAAATATTTCCTCCTTCACAACCACCTTTCACAACTGATAAAGACAAGGAAGGAGAGTGATGTTCTGATGAACACTTCCTGTGATGGGTGAACAATATGGAGTCGTGTGTCCTCAGCTTGTCTCCTTTGGTGCTAAACCTGCAGGATGTTGTACCTCTATCAACTAACAGTGACACCTTGTATGGACAGCATTTGGATATGGTTGTGCATATAAAATGAACAGATTTTTAATGCAAATAATTCAGGACGCAATTTGCATTAGGAAGCTAAATATTAGTCAATAATTGTGTCAGTGTTAGTCATGATTTGTGTTTTATTGGCTGTTGAAAACATATCTCCAAATCCTTTGGTTATCTTTTGCATTTAATGTGAAAAGTATTTTAAAACTCGGAAAGCTCCCTTGCACTCAGAACCCAGATCTGTGTAAGAGGAGGTAACAGGCATTCTGTGACACAGTACCTCCATCTTGTGGTGAAAGTTTTCACTTGTCATGCATGATACACAGTGTGAATTGTATATAGTGTGTCCCCCACAGTGCTAAAGCTGGAATGTTGTTACGAGTAGAAATAACCCAACTCAATATACACATACTGACACACACAATGTATCAATCTCCCTGATGCTGCCTCCTTCTGTGTTTATATAGATGTAATCACAGAGTTAGTATCAATCTCCCTGATGCTGCCTCCTTCTGCGTTTATATAGATGTAATCACAGAGTTAGTATCAATCTCCCTGATGCTGCCTCCTTATGTGTTTATATAGATGTAATCACAGAGTTAGTATCAATCTCCCTGATGCTGCCTCCTTCTGTGTTTATATAGATGTAATCACAGAGTTAGTATCAATCTCCCTGATGCTGCCTCCTTCTGTGTTTATATAGATGTAATCACAGAGTTAGTATCAATCTCCCTGATGCTGCCTCCTTCTGTGTTTATATAGATGTAATCACAGAGTTAGTATCAATCTCCCTGATGCTGCCTCCTTCTGCGTTTATATAGATGTAATCACAGAGTTAGTATCAATATTAGTGTCATGAGTCCTTGGTTTTCGTGTTTAGTTTCAAACACTGCTACTGTTGTACTTTATAGGGGGAATTAGTTTGAAAGATTTTATTCCTTGGGCTGAAATGATGTGTTGTTGTAGCTGGTTAATTCTTCGATGTCTGTTTTCTGTTATTGTTGCAATACTTTGTAAATAGAAGCTGTGTACTTACCACACATTTATGATGAAACATTGATCTGTTTTTCAATAAAAGCATTAAAATAACATTCAGTTTTCTTTGATTTAACAAGTGACAAGTTAATCATCTCCACCTTGGAACTGTACAGTCAGTATTTATTCCATAAGACAGTTGTGTAGGTGTTCACAGTACTCCACGCTTCTTGTGACTGATGATCCTATCGCCACAGTGTGACCTAGCTTATTGTCAACTGTCATGATGATCCTATCGCCACAGTGTGACCTAGCTTATTGTCAACTGTCATGATGATCCTATCGCCACAGTGTGACCTAGCTTATTGTCAACTGTCATGATGATCCTATCGCCACAGTGTGACCTAGCTTATTGTCAACTGTCATGATGATCCTATCGCCACAGTGTGACCTAGCTTATTGTCAACTGTCATGATGATCCTATCGCCACAGTGCGACCTAGCTTATTGTCAACTGTCATGATGATCCTATCGTCACAGTGTGACCTAGCTTCTTGTGACTGATGATCCTATCGCCACAGTGTGACCTAGCTTATTGTCAACTGTCATGATGATCCTATCGCCACAGTGTGACCTAGCTTATTGTCAACTGTCATGATGATCCTATCATACACAGTGTGACCCTAGCTTCTTGTGACTGATGATCCTATCGCCACAGTGTGACCTAGCTTATTGTCAACTGTCATGATGATCCTATCGCCACAGTGTGACCTAGCTTATTGTCAACTGTCATGATGATCCTATCGCCACAGTGTGACCTAGCTTATTGTCAACTGTCATGATGATCCTATCGCCACAGTGTGACCTAGCTTATTGTCAACTGTCATGATGATCCTATCGCCACAGTGTGACCTAGCTTATTGTCAACTGTCATGATGATCCTATCGCCACAGTGTGACCTAGCTTCTTGTGACTGATGATCCTATCGCCACAGTGTGACCTAGCTTATTGTCAACTGTCATGATGATCCTATCGCCACAGTGTGACCTAGCTTATTGTCAACTGTCATGATGATCCTATCGCCACAGTGTGACCTAGCTTCTTGTGACTGATGATCCTATCGCCACAGTGTGACCTAGCTTATTGTCAACTGTCATGATGATCCTATCGTCACAGTGTGACCTAGCTTATTGTCAACTGTCATGATGATCCTATCGCCACAGTGTGACCTAGCTTATTGTGACTGATGATCCTATCGTCACAGTGTGACCTAGCTTATTGTCAACTGTCATGATGATCCTATCGCCACAGTGTGACCTAGCTTCTTGTGACTGATGATCCTATCGCCACAGTGTGACCTAGCTTATTGTCAACTGTCATGATGATCCTATCGTCACAGTGTGACCTAGCTTATTGTCAACTGTCATGATGATCCTATCGCCACAGTGTGACCTAGCTTATTGTGACTGATGATCCTATCGCCACAGTGTGACCTAGCTTATTGTGACTGATGATCCTATCGTCACAGTGTGACCTAGCTTATTGTGACTGATGATCCTATCGCCACAGTGTGACCTAGCTTATTGTCAGCTGTCATGATGTGACTGGACTGTTAACGTTAACAACTCTGTATCCATGTTCTAATGTTGGTCTTTCAATCCATAACTCTGGCAGCTTGTGGCCACATATACAACACACAGACCACAAATCTTGCAATGTTCCAAAGGGAAGGATGGGAAAGCCGCAATAACATGGTGCGCCTAGTGGCTGAAAAAAGTTTATGATCCCCCCAAGGAGTTGAGATTGATAATACGATGTGCCGTTGAGATTGACATCCAATGATCAAGGGAAAAAATACCAGTGCCTTGAGCATGTACTAGTTACATGGATATGTGTGCTATATAAATATCCTATAATAAATAAAAATTATAATCACGTTGGCAGTTCAGAGTGGATTGATTGGTGACAGTGTTTTGCAAGCTTGGCTCCCGAGAGTTAATGAAAATCGATAACAGACATGCACCTTTGTGCCATATCCACACATAAATGCTTGCTAATAGAGCTTTGGTCAAGTCCCTCACTGTAATATCTTCCATGTGTCTCATCGGACAGAGACTTTGGTACACAGTAGGATGTACCCATCGGTACCGTTTAGGATGACAAGGTAATGTGACTGTTAACCCAGGCCCTCATTAAGCAGCTTGGGTTGTCCTCTCTCCAAGCAGCAGAGAAAGCCAATTTGATATCACACTCATTGACGACTCTGCGCATGTTAGGGTGTGGGGTGGTGCACTGTCAGTATGTATATAATTATCAGGTCAATGAGCTGATAAAGTATAAATGAATCTGTAAAAATAACAAATAACACGATACACACTGAGACTGCAGTTCACATGGGTGGTTTATTCCATGTGACATGATTCTATTTACACAGATGACTCTCACATACTGTATACACGTATACACATCGCCCACCATGCTGCACTACAGCCAGGGGTGGTGTCTGCACTCTCTCAGCGTACAGGCCGTACAGATGACAAGACATGATGGCCTCTAAACACTATTTCAATACAAACAAAACAACCATCGTTTCATCACTGAATATGGTTGATTTAAAGTTGGTAAAATATAGTCTTATCCCAATATGAATGCAAAGAAACTATTAGATACAACATTCATTTAGAAAGTCGGATAACATCCAAAGTTTACTACATTGTAAATATCAAAATCTAATTCTCACAGATTATAAATATTAATAGATGAAGGTCCACAAGCGGGAATAATAGAAAGAAAGAATAAAAATCTAGAACTGACAGAGATGCCAACCCTATTTTGGGCCGAAGTGTAATACTGGAGGTCAAAAAGTGTAATTTGGACCTAAAAAGTGTAATACTTAAAAAAAATATACTTAGTTGAAAGGTGATAACTTTTTAAAATTACTTGTAAGTAGGTTTATTCACATGAATAGGAAATATTCTAGACAGAAATACACAATGAACAATCATTATGAAGCTCCATACATCGAAAATTGTTGGTCAGGTGACACAAACTACTTTAATTCCTTACAAGTTAATTGGAATGAGCGCAATGCTAAGAGTAAGACCATTTCTGAACCCCTGTACCGGTACGTTACGAAACACTTCAATGTGAATTTTTTCCCACTTTATGGATTTTCTTAAAACGAGTAGAAAAGCGTAATTTCCGCAGATTAAGTGTAATGGCGCAATTGCATGGTCAAAATGGTAATAATTATGCCCAAAGTGTAAGGGTTGGCATATCTGAACTGACTACAAACATGCTTTGGAAACACATTGACTATTAGACAAATGTAACATTTGGAATATCTGTCGGCAACTGGATACATATCCTGCTTCCAACAGGATCAAGGAACATGATATTCACTGACATGGATGAATGGAATACCATGTTTTAGTTAGCAAACATGGCCACTAATCTTAGATGGGCGGGAATATAGAGTATGGTTATGATGAATGTGTCATGTGTTTGTTCTAAACATTCCCAGCTGAGGATTGCATGATCTAGTATCAGACAGTTACGTAATTCTCTGTGCAACTTTTAATATTATGTTTGCAGAACATGATGAGTGCACAGCTAGGAGTCAAATCCGTATATTAGGTTACAGACTAGCGTACAACACTTTCCAACAGTAGGTTACTATCAGGTTGACAGTGCTGTACAACATTCTAGGTTACAGTCTGGTTGACAGTGCTGTACAGCTCTGTACAACAATGGGTTACAGTCTGGTTGTAAGTGCTGAACAGCTCTGTGCTGAACAGCTCTGTACAACATAGGTTGTACAACAATAGTTACTCTGGTTGACAATGCTGTATAAAACTGTACAACATTAGGATCCAGTCTGGCTAATAATGTTGTACAGCTTTGTACAGCAATAGGTTACAGTCTGGTTGACAATGCTGTACAAAACTGTACAACATTAGGATCCAGTCTGGCTAATAATGCTGTACAGCTTTGTACAGCAATAGGTTACAGCTGGTTAACAATGCTGCTGTACAACATTAGAATCAGTCAGGTTAACAATGCTGTACAACACTGTACGTTAGAATCAGTCAGGTTAACAATGCTGTACAACACTGTACAAATTAGAATCCAGTCAGGTTAACAATGCTGTACAGCACTGTACAGAATTAGGATCCAGTCAGGTTAACAATGCTGTACAACACTGTACAACATTAGGATCCAGTCAGGTTAACAATGCTGTACAACACTGTACAACATTAGGATCCAGTTAGGTTAACAATGCTGAACAGCTCTGTACAGCAATAGGTTACGCTCTGTTGACAATGCTGTACAACAATAGGTTACAGTCTTGGTTACAAGTCTGTGACACTAGGTTACAACCCAGTGTACAACATGGGTATAGGTCTCTGCAAGCTATGTCCACAGTTAAAGGTAGATAGCAACAACATGTTATGGAAAATCATAAGAACAATACAAGTCGCATTTGAAAAAATGACATCACTCACACAGAAGCACAAGCTGATTGCATTCATCCATACATTCATTCACATACACATAATAGGAATGGTTGGGCTAGATGTTCACATGCACTGACAAACCCATTCACATTCACTGTATAAATGACTGGGAAGATTATGTGCTTGTAGGGTTTGAAAGGTAGGCAAGAAGTTGAATGACAACGGTCATTTTGAAATGTCTGAGAAATAAGGGCAACAACACATTTACTGACAAATTTACCACTGAATCATCTGGTGAAGAAAGGCAGATGTTGGATGACAACTTTACCACTGAATGATCGGATAATGAAGTCAGATGCTGAATGAGAGCTGTATCATTAAATGTTCTGATACTGTAGGCAAGATGTTGGATGACAACTTCATAACTAAATGGCCAGATGATCCAGACGAGATCATGAATGACACTCTACCACTCACTCTTCTGTTCAAGAAGGCAGGATGCTTGGTTTCAGTTTGGTAGTGGGAGTTTGACACTTGACACATAAGTTTGATAAGTTGAAGGTACCATATTAAACATGGTACTAAACAAGGTACAAATGCAAGTATAGCATTACAAACACATTGAAAACCATATATCTCATACCAGACCGCCTCCGTGGTGTAGTGGTTAGAGCGTCCGCCTGGAGAGCAGAAGGTCGCGGGTTCGATCCCCGACCGCGTCATACCAAAAGACGTTAAAATAGGGTACTTGTTGGTCCTGTCTGGCGCTCGGCATTAATGAGTACAACAAGGACTGGTCGGCTCGGAGTCAGTATAATGTGTCTCAGTGAGCTAGCACTATAAAACCAGCTTAAGTCTGGGTTAGTACAAGCAGCCGCACATACACATACATATACTCATGCATACACGTCGGCATATGAGCGAAATATTCTCAAGCACAACGTTAAATCCAATTTCACCTCACCTAACACCAGGCATCAATGATGTATCTACACATACACTACACATAAGTTCAGGCAAATATGGAATGTAGCTACGTACAGCTCTACAACACAACAGGCAAATTATTCGCAAACTTATTACAAAATGCCACACTTACAGTTCAGCCACACGATAAGGACAAAACTATGGAAACTGCCACACAACAGGCAAATTGATTACAAGTAAAGCCACACCTACAGGTCTACTGCACAACAGGGGAGTTCATGACTCAACACAGAGTACCGCAACACTTAATGTTATGCTGCATAACAGCCACGTTCATCATGGAGTCAGTGAGTGAATATGGTTTTACGCTGCTTTTAGCAATATTCCAGCAATATCACTGAAATATAAGCCACACAACATGCAAACTACTGAATCAGTTGTGGAGTTTTGCCACACAACAAGCGAGTCAACTAGCGAGAAAATTGTGCACATTCTTTTTCCTGAGTGCGTTCTTCCAAGGGTTTGTGTCCTTTTCTCAATGTGTGTTCTCTGTGGCGCTTGTTCCTTTCTCAATCTGTGTTCTCTAGAGCGTGTGTCCCTTTTTTAAATGTGTGTATCCTCTAGGGGTTGTACCCCTGTCTCAATGTGTGTTCTCCAGGGTTTGTGCCTCATTCTCAGAGAATGTCCTCAAGGTCTTTTGTGCATTTGTCCGTGTGTTTCCCGCATGGTTTGTGGCATTTTTCCAAATGGGTGTTTTGCCCCTTTGTCAGAGTGTGTGTCCTCTATGGTTTTTGTCCATTGCTCAATGTGAGCTGATTGATCTTTGTTCGCATGTACCACGTAGCATGATGGTGATGTTTGCCTGTTTACGTTTAGGGGCAGTCACATGGGATACACATATCCTTTACATAACCAAGCACTAAGAAATACATTACAAAAAAAAAGAAATTATTTGCAGGAAATATCAGCCACACAGACATGGTAAACAGTAAATATAAACTGATAATAAGGAGCTGTAGGACCCTATGATTGTTGACTAATATGCCTTACAAGACATACACCCTGAACCATGTAATAATGTCTATATTTGAATACTGACTAGTATATGTATGAGCCAAGTGTCAGACTGTCCACTGTCATTATCAACATGTCAAACTGGATACCATTTCCCATGACCTGATTAGTTGCCTTGCACCAATCTTGACATGTTGTCTTATGTTGTCAAATTACAAATAATTCTTCTAAACATTTATCTACCTTTTCATTACCAGTTTAAATGTCAGTAATGTCCCTAATTTCCATGTCCTCACATTCTAAAATTCAAACATGGGTTGTCTCCCTTGTTTTCACTTAACCATACAAACTGATTCCCATGTTTCTAATAGTATGTAATGACCAACTCTCTCACCCAGTCATGCAACTCCTCACATCACCCTGCAGTTTCACACACCACAGTATCTCTAACACACCATCGACTAAGAACTATCTCACTCAATGATGAAGTATAATAACAATAATCGCCTCCACACTCAAAACAACACCAAACATAAATCAATGGAATTAGCTGATATATTAATGTGATATAAGTGTACATAGGGGTATAACACTTTAATCTTCACACTCCATCCATAGAAACCATGGCAACAGAACCAGACATAACACACAAATATATCCATAAGATGACGCCGCCAAGTTGGACTGGGTGCACAGTACATACTCAAAGGAACAAGCAAAACATTATTTCAGCAATTTCAGTCTAGTAATATTTGTGTTCTTTACTCTTCTGAACTGTACTGACAGGTGTTGAAAATAGATGGATATCATCACATTAATAAATTTCAGGTGTCAATTAATTTATATAATCACAGTTACTTGTACCTCAGTGTACCCTTCTAACTGAATAAAGTTGACAAAATATTAAGTCGAACTTACCTCCTCCTAGCATGTATATATGTATGCAAAGATTCTCTGAAATGACTAATTGCAAGCACCATCCTCTATCTTAGGCATATTATCATGAAGCATATATATTGAAATGGTCACACACACACAAACATTGTTTCACGTCTTGGAGAGGTTCGTCCTGGATAATCTCCAGGGTATACGTTCTGATAACTCTCCACTAGTACCCTGGATGCATCTACGACATGACCCCATAATTGTATTACCTCCCTTTGCTGGCTTTTACCTCCCTTTGCTGGCATTTTATCCAATCAGGTGTCTACGCTGGCAAGCTCAGCATACCAATCACAAGGCTTCTATCATAACTCACTTCCGCTTCTTTTATTTAAACTTGGCAACACAATTGTTGCAGAGATACCCCGAAAGAGGTAGGAGGAGTTCTTGCATATACTTTTTTAAGGTTTCAGACCTGTCAGTTTGTCTGTATTATTTTTTCCCTAAACCTGAGTCGCACAGCGAGCAAACACTTGCGGCTGCAGCCACCATCCTTGTTGATACTGGTAAACTTGGTTGTAATGGTTTATCTGATTGGCTACTGTGAGAAGGTGGAGCCAGCGAAGGAAGCTAATACAATTAGTAATAGATATAAGAAGTATATGCATCCAGGGTACTAGTGGAGATTTATCAGAACGTATACCGTGGAGATTATCGAGGATGGGTGAGGATCTGTAGAAGCGGATTCTGACACAGACACAGACATCTGCTTACATCCCACCAAGCACTGTCACAGTTCCAACTGTGTCATTCTCTCCCGGATAGTACTGTCATAATGTAATAAAAGTGGTACAAAACAAGCCATAATTTACAAGTGCAAGTCAACTATCTACATCAACAGCCAGTCATCTTGAATCATGCTTCTATCACAATTCAATTCGGTCCTATCTACCAGCATAAGGATATTTACCAATCAAAGTGCTTCTCTCTACATAATTAATATAATTCCAAGACATAATCAGAAAATGGTTAATCTGATGCATTGGAATGGTTCAACAACATTTCTTACATTTTCTTAACTTATCTTATAAAGTAATAATTCTAACATTCAATCACACAGTAATATTCAGTACTTCAGTAAACAGGGTTGTCGTAATAATATTTATTATCCATATGGTGAAACATAACTAGTGTCATATAATATATATATCATATGTGCACATGTGCATATATCACTTTTGCCTAGCAACCATTTCTTCTGTATTTCGTCGTCTGCGACGTCATTAAACAATTGAACATGACATCAATGAACAGGACAGTCACAATGGCTTAGCATGTTTTACTGTACAAAAGTACATGAATATAATGGATGATAAAGAAATTATTACACTCGCATGTGTGCCACACGACTTATACGAAACTCGTGCAAAATTGTGTAATACAACATTTCACACTCATTTCGTATAAGTCCTATGACACACTTGCTCATGTAATAATCTCTATATGTTTCTCACTTCTAATCCAAACAAAACTAATAACATTATATGGTGCTCACATCATGCACACATAAAACTAAATTATTCATAGACCTCCTGGTAAAAGTCTTTCACTATGAAATTCCATTCACTTACTTCCCCTACATTACATCAGATCATTCTTGTTCTAATAAACAAAAATGACCGTAAGTCCATACCTTCAAAATATTTTCACAATATTAAAACCATTATTACGTTTATCTAACTTGTATGGAATACCTATGGTAGATGACAAGCCCTGTTTACCTGTATAACAAGATGGTTTAGGGTCCGAATGTTGGGACCTCGATGCCCAGCTTCTGTGCGACACGGGTCTGTATCTGGGAGGCGTGGAGCAGGGAGAACAGGTGCGCCATCTCGGCCTCGGACTTAGACAGCTCTATTGCCTTGTTGAAGTGGTATTCAGCAGCCGTCATGTTGGTTCTGTGAGAAACACGAAAATTATATACATTTCAATTTTGCTTGTTATTTTGGCATATGCCCTTATCACAAACCAACGCCATCTGACAGTAACTTGTAAATGAATTGACAATTTGATGATCCAGTGATTGATATGGGGAGCAACAAATGGCATGGTAAGGTTATGATGACACACAAGTAACACATTCACCAGAACTCTTCATCGAGTTGACTCTTTAAACCAGCATAGTTTTCTTGGGACATTTACCAACACTGAATCCTCAAAAGGTTGAACTTCAGGGAATTCATTGTCAATTGAGGTTTGGTTCCACAATATTTGAATCTGGGGTAATGAACACTGGCTTTAGGGCAATCCAATGGAAACAGTGTTGTTGACTGAATTGTGTCAACTTTGTTGTTTGAGTCTCATGAGGACTACAGTGCCACCATGGTGAAAGTTCAGAAGCTCTTGATACTCAGCTGTTGTGTTCAGGGACTACTCAAATAGGGCAGTCTTACAAATTCAAATATGCCTGTAAAATTCAGATGTGCACCAGAGAGAGTGGGGGAATGAGCCAGTGAGTGAGTTGAGTTTTACACGGCTTCTAGCAATATTCCAGCAATATCATGGCGGGGGACACCAGAATTGGGCTTCACACATTGTACCCATGAGGGAAAGCGAATGCTTTAACCACTAGGCTACCCCACCGCCCCTACAGCCCCTGCACCAGAGAGAAATGTCCTACACAGTAGAATCACTAATCCAGGTGTATATCTTACAACAAGCAACTGAGTGTCAGGGACTACAGCTCAAAACCTTACCTCTGAACCTCAATAGTGCCAATGATTTCATGTGCATATTCACAGAGCGGGTCGACCTCCACTGCTCGCCGGATGATGGCAAGGGCCTGGTTCGGATCCTTGCTAGTCTGCAGACACAGCAACCTGGAGGAGCAGACACTGAGACTGACACCAGCAACACAACAATAAGAGAGCATAACCTACTTCTTCCTGATATCATACTCCGATATCTCCACACTCTAGGAAGTCATTGATATCATACTCAGATATCTCCACACTCTAGGAGTGAGTGAGTGAGTTTAGTTTTACGCCGCACTCAGCAATATTCCAGCTATCTCCACGCTCTAGGAAGTCATTGGCTGATATCTGGCGGCCACACTCTAGGAAGTCATTGATATCATACTGAGATATCTCCACACTCTAGGAAGTCATTGATATCATACTCAGATATCTCCACACTCTAGGAAGTCATTGCTATCATACTCCGATATCTCCACACTCTAGGAAGTCATTGATATCATATCTCCACTCAGATATCTCCACTCACTCTCCAGGGAAGTCATTGATATCATACTCAGATATCTCCACACTCTAGGAAGTCATTGATATCATACTCAGATATCTCCACACTCTAGGAAGTCATTGCTATCATACTCATATCTCCACACTCTAGGAAGTCATTGATATCATACTCAGATATCTCCACACTCTAGGAAGTCATTGATTGAGTGATTTTCTTCCATCAGTACAGTGAAACCTGTGAAAACCGGCATCCCACGGGACCGAAAGAAAATGTGATGGGATTCAAACATCCATGATACGTAATTATACACAGCCAAATGTCATTAAATACCATTCCTTGCAACTATGTACACCAGACAAAGAGCATAAACTTTGTATCCAAACTAGATAAGGACAATCAGTAAATGAGAGAGGTTTAGTTTAATCTGGTGGTCCTGGGGACAAATATACAATTTGTATTATTTATAACCGTGAGGTAACAGTATTGTAAGATTTAGTCTCGCTCTGAATAACTTTCCATGTTTTAAACTGTCTTCATATCTGATTGGTCAGTTTAAGAAATTTGATATTAGTCTTCTACAGTCTTGACAACAATTTGAAATAATGCTCTTCAATAAAAGCTTGTAATAACATGTGAGTTAGGTCCAAGTCACACTATTGTGCCATTCTCACTGTGAAGTGTGAAACTTGGGTAAGAAACGGTCACTGCTCAGACGACTGCATGTACTGACTGAACAAACCGTACTCAGCAAATGCTGATCTGATTGATTCACTTATCCTTGACGGTACAATAGCCAGCATGGCTTGATGAACATAGAATATACACACTAGCCAAAATGTAGAATCGACAAGTTTGAATACCACCTGCCTAATTAATAGAGCATTACATTTCTCAGATACACAATATGTACTTTCATTTATAAAATAGTTTTGTACAGAATGTAAGTACAAACAAATTAAAGTAAGTGACAAATTTTCCACATTCAGTCAACACCCATAAGTAAGAAATATTGATTGACTGGCTGAGTTGTCTCCCTTGAATCGACTTGTCGTCATCATCCCAGTATGGCACTGCTTACCCACGATGCACCAGGATGTTGGCATTGTCAGGCTCCAGGCTCTCGGCCCTGGTGAACAGTTCCTCAGCACGGGTGAAGTCTCCCTGATCACACTGGGCCTGTCAAACACAAGCATTTACTGGGGGTGGTACAACCTCATGTGCTGCTCAACAGCTAGTGCAAAACATAACATTTAATCTATCCTGGTTGACAGAGTGTACAGGGTACCTATTCAGACATGTCAGACATGGTGCACAGGGGACCTACCTTCACTGTCAGACCAACATGGTGCATGGTGTACAGGGGACCTACACTGTCAGACATGGTGTACAGGGGACCTATACTGTCAGACATGGTGTACAGGGGACCTACACTGTCAGACATGGTGTACAGGGGACCTACACTGTCAGACATGGTGTACAGGGGACCTACACTGTCAGACATGGTGTACAGGGACCTACACTGTCAGACATGGTGTACAGGGGGACCTACATTGTACTTTGTATACATGGTGTATAGGGACCTACACTGTCAGACATGGGTGTACAGGGGACCTACACTGCCAGACATGGTGTACAGGGGACCTACATTGTATTTTGTATACATGGTGTATAGGGGACCTACATTGTCAGACATGGTGTATAGGGGACCTACACTGTCAGACATGGTGTACAGGGGACCTACATTGTAATTTGTACAGTATACATGGTTTATAGGGACCTACACTGTCAGACATGGTGTACAGGGACCTACATTGTCAGACATGGTGTATAGGGACCTACATTGTCAGACATGGTGTACAGGGGACCTACACTGTCAGACATGGTGTACAGGGGACCTACATTGTACATTTGTATACATGGTTTATAGGGACCTACACTGTCAGACATGGTTACAGGGACCTACATTGTCAGACATGGTGTGCAGGGACCTACACTGTCAGACATGGTGTACATGGTGTACAGGGGACCTATACTGTCAGACATGGTGTACAGGGGACCTACATTGTACTTTGTATACATGGTGTATAGGGACCTACATTGTCAAACATGGTGTACAGGGGACCTACGCTGTCAGACATGGTGTACAGGGGACCTACATTGTACTTTGTATACATTGTGTATAGGGACCTACACTGTCAGACATGGTGTACAGGGGACCTACACTGTAGACATGGTGTACAGGGGACCTACACTGTCAGACATGGTGTACAGGGGACCTACACTGTAGACATGGTGTACAGGGGACCTACACTGTCAGACATGGTGTACAGGGGACCTACACTGTCAGACATGGTGTACAGGGGACCTACACTGTCAGACATGGTGTACAGGGACCTACACTGTAGACATGGTGTACAGGGGACCCTACACTGTCAGACATGGTGTACAGGGGACCTACACCGTCAGACATGGTGTACAGGGGACCTACACTGTCAGACATGGTGTACATGGGACCTACACTGTAGACATGGTGTACAGGGGACCTACACTGTCAGACATGGTGTACAGGGGACCTACACTGTCAGACATGGTGTACATGGGACCTACACTGTAGACATGGTGTACATTGGACCTACACTGTCAGACATGATATACAGGTAAAGTGAGGTGAAATGGGGTTTAACGTCGTACTTGAGAATATTTCGCTCATATGACGATGTGCATGCGTGTGTATGTGAGGCTGCTTGTACTAGCCCAGACTGAAGCTGGTTTTATAACGCTAGCCCACTGAGACACCATGCCGCAGTGAAGCATGAATACCCCACTCAGACACAGTATACCAACTAAGAGCCGACCAGTCCTTGTTGTACCCATTAATGCAGAGCGCCAGGCAGGGGCCAACAAGCACCACATTTTAACGTCTTTTGGTATGGCGCGGACGGGGATCGAACCCGCGACCTTCCGTTCTCCGGACTGATGCTATAACCACTACACCACGGAGGCGGTCCCATGGTGTACAGAGGACCTACACTGTCAGAAATGGTGTACTGGGACCCTGTCTGCAGTATAACTTACAATAAACATCTTTCCCTGACTTTGACATACCTGTCCATACAGCAAGTAGATGTCTGAGCAGTTGGGGAACTTCTCTAGAGCCTGCTTGAAGCTGGCGTCGGCCTTCATCAGTTTCATTGGACTCTGCTGCGTGACCGCAGATCTGTGCTCTGTAACATCACAATTAACTGTAACTTAAAGAAAGTAACAAATCAAAGTAAACACAAAGCTTTACTCTAAGCCAAAAATACATACAACTGTAATATCTGCTTGTGTCTTGAGCCATCATTACATGAGTGTATGTTGTTTAATGTTTCGGTCACCAATGTTTGATCCATGATTATCCAGGTTGGGCTAACCAGCACCGACAAGGCAAGCCAGGTTTTACATTAAGTAACAGCATATGAAATAGGACTAAGCATATGTAGCTGCATACCTGCATAGGCTCTCTGGACATAGGATGTGGCAAAGTCTGGAGACAGGCTGATGCTCATGTCAAAGTCCTTGATGGCATCATCTAGTTTCTCCACCAAAAGCAGTTGCTGAAAAGAACATTCCATTTGAAACATACTAAATATGTCTGTGTTGCTTCTATATCAGTAACAAAAAAGTAACATCACAAAAACACAGCATCATCCCCAGCAACATTGCTTGGGACAGACTGTATTTTTAGCTGATCCATTGTGTCACTTGTATATTTAATATTCAAAGATGCAAACATAGTAATTCCAGAAAGATGTTTTAGAATTAATCCCAGTCTAATAAAACAAATAAAGTTTCACAATACCAAATCAATGTGAACTTGTTTGAATTGTCACTTCATCAGAACTCCAAATCATGCACTTACAAACACGGCATGATGTTAAACAATGTCAGAGGAACTAAAATCATGGTGTTTCTCTGCACACTGTATAAGCAACTATTGTACATTTTAGATTGAGCTAGGTTAAAAAAAGTCAAAGCCAACTCAAATTTTATATTTCAATGATATCAAAATATGGCCAAGCTGTCATCATTCAAATGGCAGGCAATGAAAATTTTCATTCTCCTCAATGGAATGAAAGGCAACATCATTTGCAACACTGTAACATCACCATCACCATGATCACAGTAACATCAAATAAGAAGAAATTGTGTTCACTTTGTGATGAACTCGGTAATATCGTGCAACATCACAAATGATATATCACAGCAACATGACATGTGGTAATTCTCAATGAATGACAATGTGTTATACTTCAGCGATGTCACCAGATCTTGACTGTGGTCCGCACACTAGTTTTGATAACATGAAATGTTTGGCCCATGTTGTTGCGCTATGACAAACCGTGAAGATCCGGGTTAGAATGAACCTTCAGTAACCCATGCTTGTTGTAAGAGGTGACTTACGGGATCAGGTGGTCAGACTCGCTGACTTGATTGACACATGTCATCGGTTCCCAATTGCGCAGATTGATGCTCATGCTGTTGATCACTGGATTGTCTTGTCCAGGCTCGATTATTTACAGACCGCCGCCATATAGCTGGAATATTGCTGAGTGCGGCGTAAAACTAAACTCACTCACTCATTTGTGCTATAACAAAAGACAATCCACGTCAAACACTGTGACCCGTTAATCCTGGTTAGAGCAAACAGTTTTGGCAAACACTGTGTACTGTTATCAGCTCTTGAATCTAAATAGGTGACCTTCATTGGAAGATCAGGAACTGGTTTACTCAAAGTTTAGTCTGTATCAGTGAAAAACACAAGGTCCTAAAAGGACAGAGGTGGTACCTATGATCTGTTTAATGACAAAACATGGGCTGACCTGTCCACGATGATGGAACACGTCTGAGTTCTTGTTGTCCTCCTTCTCAGCAGTGGAGAAACACACCAGAGCCTCCTGTGCGTTGTCAGCCTGCATCACCAGACTCCCCATCTTGACCAGGGCATTCACTCGCACCTGAAAAACACCAAAAAGCTTACAAACCTTCCATCGTGTCATCTACTGTTTTCAGAGGCATCTAATATTTGTATTAAATCTCTTAACTAGGCTTGATGACAAATTGTACTTTCAAAAACAATAATCAGTTGTAACTCTGCTGCAATGTGTCTTTATGCTTGGTATTGTATACAACACCTGAACAAAAATACCACAGAATGCTAGGACTGACCATCAACTCCACAGGGTCTATCTCCAACAAAGTGGACAGATCCTTCACAGAGTCAACCTGACCATACTAACCTTTGTGTCCACTCCTTCCATCTCCAACAAAGTGGACAGATCATTCACAGAGTCAACCTGACCATACTAACCTTTGTGTCCACTCCTTCCATCTCCAACAAAGTGGACAGATCATTCACAGAGTCAACCTGACCATACTAATCTTTGTGTCCACTCCTCCCATCTCCAACAAAGTGGACAGATCATTCACAGAGTCAACCTGACCATACTAATCTTTGTGTCCACTCCTTCCATCTCCAACAAAGTGGACAGATCATTCACAGAGTCAACCTGACCATACTAACCTTTGTGTCCACTCCTTCCATCTCCAACAAAGTGGACAGATCATTCACAGAGTCAACCTGACCATACTAATCTTGTGTCCACTCCTTCCATCTCCAACAAAGTGGACAGATCATTCACAGAGTCAACCTGACCATACTAACCTTTGTGTCCACTCCTTCCATCTCCAACAAAGTGGACAGATCATTCACAGAGTCAACCTGACCATACTAACCTTTGTGTCCACTCCTTCCATCTCCAACAAAGTGGACAGATCATTCACAGAGTCAACCTGACCATACTAATCTTTGTGTCCACTCCTCCCATCTCCAACAAAGTGGACAGATCCTTCACAGAGTCAACCTGACCATACTAACCTTTGTGTCCACTCCTTCCATCTCCAACAAAATGGACAGATCATTCACAGAGTCAACCTGACCATACTAACCTTTGTGTCCACTCCTTCCATCTCCAACAAAGTGGACAGATCATTCACAGAGTCAACCTGACCATACTAACCTTTGTGTCCACTCCTTCCATCTCCAACAAAGTGGACAGATCATTCACAGAGTCAACCTGACCATACTAACCTTTGTGTCCACTCCTTCCATCTCCAACAAAGTGGACAGATCATTCACAGAGTCAACCTGACCATACTAACCTTTGTGTCCACTCCTTCCATCTCCAACAAAGTGGACAGATCCTTCATGGCCTCCTCGCCCTGGCCGTACAGGACATACATGGTACCCCTCATCAGTAGGGCCTTGTGGCGGTGGGGGGTGTCCTTCAGCTCCAGCTCCTTGGTACACAGTTCGATGAGCTGCCCATACTGCTGCTGGTTGACCTGTTGCTGGGCCTGCTCAAAGAGGCTGAGGAGGGATATGATCAGTTGTTAAATAACAGATCATATACATTTGTGTTGTCAGTTGTTCACAGTGGTGCAGTGGAGGAATTTTACTAAAATTGGACCCAACTTGTGGTTGTCAAGAGATCGGTAGCCATGGGATTGGTAGTACCACTCTCACAATGCAATCATGACTGTCACGAACTGCTGTCTAAGCAACAACAGTAAAGGGAGATAATTCCATTCACTGTTACAAACAAGCTGAACAGTATTCATGTGAATAACATGCTATAAGCAAAACTGTAATATGAATAGGAGAGTGCAGCAAAGTCATTAGTTGTAAAAAAAATTTAAGAGGGATTTGACTGACTGACTGATTGAGTTTGGTTTTAAATATTCCAGCAACATCAAATCTTCACACCCATGCGGGGATTCTATTCACTTTAACCACTGACTACCCCACTGCCCGGATTTGAAACCCATAAATCTCCACACTATTCACTATGACTAAACCGTGTAGATATGGGTTAGAATTGATCTTCAGTAACCCATGCTTATCTTAAGAGGTGACTAATAGGATCAGGTGGTCAGACTCGCTGACTCGGTTGACACATGTCATCGTATCCCAATTGCATTGATTGATGCTCATGCTGTTGATCACGGGAGTGTCTGGTCCAGACTTGATTATTTACAGACCACCGCTATACTGCTGGAATATTGCTGAGTGCAATGTAAAACAAGAAACAACCAACCAGCCACTATGAATATTTTCTTCATATCGATCTTCTATTTAATCCAAAAACATGCGAACCGTGCTATTTGGCTTGGTGAAAGGGATACCATGTTAGAACAATATTCATCAGCAAAAATTTGATTTAGTTGTCTTCCTTCCACATTCTGCTAACCAGGCATATTCAACTGTCACAGAAACCTGTCAAACCATCTACTGTAGTTGGGGCCTGGATAAGAGTGGGGGTTTTTTTTATGGCCAGGAATTTCATTTGGAAGAGATAGTGTCAGCACAGTGACCCTCCCCTCCCTTCATGTCATGTACAAAACTGCTGACCACACCCTACTGCATGTGTACAAAATTGATGACACCAGCACACACACATCCCCCAGGAACAAAATGGGTGACACACTCTTCTTTTCTTCTCTCCCCTCCCCTCCCCAAACATCATCACTCTCCTAGCCATAGGGAGTGAGTATGTATCAGCCAATGATAGTACATTCCATGGGAGCACAGGTATTTTAATATCTTGGCCATTGGCTGAATTGAATTTTCCTCACCTTTCTTCTTTTGTAGTGCCCTCTGCTTCTCCATTAAGCACAGGTTCCTCAGTTGTCTCCCCTTCCTCCGGCTTCGTCAGGGGTTCAGCCTTCCCAGCACTGGATGTTTTGAAGATGGGGTCGTGACAGAAGCCAGCAAAGTAATTCTTCATGAAGAACTGTGATGGCAGTGATGGTGTGCGACTCTGAGGAACAAAGTCAGTGAAAATTGCTTTATGGCAGTTTCTGAAAGTTTTACCTTTATAAACAAAGACAACTGAGTCTTTAGTCCACACTCAAACTTGGAAACTACAAATTGCATTTGCAAATTGTCCATCCAGTGTAAAATGATGCAACTTGCTACTTTAAAGTGATGACTAAAATATCATGAACATAAACTTCCTGGAGTCTTCAAGAAATATTCAGTCATGACTTTTCAGTGAGTGGAGAGTTTTCTAAGAACATAACACGTTCTCAGGCCCTGACAACTTCTAAGATATGTTCTGTTGTCAAGTTGTCAAGTATTTCAAACACTAAAACAGTTTGTGTCCGATTATTAGATAATCTGACTGAGTTTGGTCGTTTGGTCACAATATTCCATTATTTCAATTAATTGGAACACCACTACATTCCTGTTACCATGGTTATCTGCAAACGGTTCATGAAGTTCAGAATTGAGAACAAGCAAGGTTTGGAACCCAAAAAGATCTTCACCAATTTTCAAAACTTGTATTTCACAACAATATTTCCAAAAAGTGTTTCTTACTAACAGTGTCTGAGGAGACAATTAGTGAGCTCCAATCAAAGGTTCACATCAACCTGTATCCTCTTAGTGGGAATTATAACATAGCATTGTTGACTACCAACACTGTGACTGGAAATCTATGATTATTGTGGATAATTTACAGTATAACACTTACAGAATATGTTTCACGGGCCTTGCTCTTGCCGAGTAGTTTGAGGACACGGTCAGCCACGACCAGACTCTGCTGGTTCTGGAAGCCCTCCAACAAACAGCATGCTGTGATGTCTGGAGAGAGAAATGTGTGAGATGGGAGAGACATTAGGCCAGTGAGATCTTGCATATGTAAGTCTCTTGAGACACGTTTGTTGTGTACACTTATATGCATGTGAGACTGGTAATGTCAGACAGTGTACATGTGAGGCTGGTCATGTCAGACAGTGTACATATGAGACTGGTCATGTCAGACAGTGTACATATGAGACTAGTCACGTCAGACTGTGTACATGTGAGACTAGTCATGTCAGACAGTGTACATATGAGACTAGTCATGTCAGACAGTGTACATGTGAGACTAGTCATGTTAGACAGTGTACATATGAGACTGGTCATGTCAGACAGTGTACATGTGAGACTGGTCATGTTAGACAGTGTACATGTGAGACTAGTCATGTCAGACAGTGTACATGTGAGACTAGTCACGTTAGACAGTGTACATGTGAGACTGGTCATGTCAGACAGTGTACATATGAGACTGGTCATGTCAGACAGTGTACATATGAGACTAGTCATGTCAGACAGTGTACATGTGAGACTAGTCATGTTAGACAGTGTACATATGAGACTGGTCATGTCAGACAGTGTACATGTGAGACTGGTCATGTTAGACAGTGTACATGTGAGACTGGTCATGTTAGACAGTGTACATATGAGACTGGTCATGTCAGACAGTGTACATATGAGACTAGTCATGTCAGACAGTGTACATGTGAGACTAAAGTACTGTCGGAAATGCTAGAAAAATGCTTTATAGCCTTAATATCTTTATAAAGGTGATACATGTACTATGTTGTCAATATATCAACTCGCCTATTGTCTACCTAATTTTTATTTCAATCGATTTAACATTCCGATGCATTTAAAGGGTAGTTTACAGGATAGAATTTGGTACCAAAACAGCAACTTAAGAGTTCAACAACAGAAATCTGAAATAGTCTTTACATTTATGCTAATAATACAGGTGGTGTAAAAATATGAATTAACGTTTTTCCTAAACAAATAAATGTTGAATGTTTGTGTTACTTTACTTAATTATCGTTTTCTTTATTGAAGAAATATTAATATAAATGTTAAGTCTTGATAAATAAGTTTCCCGTCATGCATGCACATCTTTATCACAGCATCCACTATGGCCAACGATTTGCAGTCGATTGTTGCAAAGGTTTACAGTTTTTTTCTGCTTAAAAAAGACAGAGGTAAACCTTTCATTAGTTTAGAAAGGGTTAATTACAGAACGTGTAGAGCTGTTGGCATGTCTAACCAACAAGTTTACAATATTGTAAACAAATCAGACAAGACAGGGACTGTCCCAAATGCAAAACAGGGACGTAAAACCATCCTTGACAACTTTGACAAGGGAGTGCTTAGACGGGCGGTCTACAAACTTTATGAGAAGAAAAATATATATATTCTAAAGAAGCTACACCAGTGACTTTAAATCTGTGGCCAATGTTCACAACTAGATTAAACTGACCGAATTACATCCATATTTTTTCATTGAAATAATCTGTTGACATGCAAAACATTTATTAAAACGTTGCACATTTCTACAATCAATCGATAAGATAACACAAGTGATAGGATTCTTTTCAATGTACAGTAATTCGTATGTTTATTTCAAAACAAACACACAAACACAAATGATCCCTTACATAACTGATGTCATTATACTATAATGCACATATTCAACATTTTGCAGAAAACATCTATTGAGATGACCCCTCGCCCGGGCGTGTGCTCAGGTGTCAATTTCACCTGTCGAAAGCGCGCATGCTGATGACGTAACACAGGCAGTTAATGTTTGTTTCAAATAAGGTCCCACTACCCCTTATTTTTCTAAGTTTTTGGTATTTTCATCAGTAAAAACACATTTTAGAGCATATCTCAAAATTTATTCCCTCGGTCTACATTAGGTAGATGTTTCTTGAAGTGATATTTGTTATTTAAGTAACTGTAATACCTCTGAATTTTAAATATAAGTCAAAAAGCATTTTTCAAGCATTTCCGACAGTACTTTAGTCATTTCAGACAGTGTACATATGAGACTGGTCATGTCAGACAGTGTACATGTGAGACGAGTCATGTCAGACAGTATACATGTGAGACTAGTCATGTCAGACAGTATACATGTGAGACTAGTCATGTCAGACAGTATACATGTGAGACTAGTCATGTCAGACAGTATGCATGTGAGACTAGTCATGTCAGAGCATGTACATGTGAGACAAGACATGTCAGACAGTGTATATGTGTGACTGGTTATGTTAGGCAGTGAATATGTCAATCTGCCCATGTCAACCATGACAATGTGAAGAACTGTAAATGCACGCTGACAAAGTCTAGTACATAAAGACATTGTACAGTCAACGTAAACATGAATCAGACAGTTATCAGTGATATTTGGCCCTACAGTCAAGTAACATCTTACCTTCTAGGGCCAATGCATAGTTTTCTGCAATCTCGTGAGCCCTGGCCCGACGAGCAAGTGCTTTGGGGTAGCGTTTGTTGAGGGATATTGCCTGATTCAGGTCTTCAAGGACATTGTTTTTCTCTCCCTAAGAAACATAAACATTAAAGGTACAGATCTCCAGATCAGCTGCATATATATGTGAGTGAGTGAGTGAGTTGAGTTTTACGCCGCACTCAGCAATATTCCAGCTATATGGCAGCGGTCTGTAAATAATCGAGTCTGGACTAGACAATCCAGTGATCAACAGCATGAGCATCGATCTGCACAATGGAGAACCGATGACGTGTCAACCAAGTCAGCGAGCCTGACCACCCGATCCCGTTAGTCGCCTTTTACGACAAGCATAGTCGCCTTTTAAAGCAAGCATGGGTTGCTGAAGGGCTATTCTAATAGACCCGGACCTTCACGGGTCACATATATATGTAAAATGTGCAAAATAAATCATGACTAGCTACTTAATATTTTGTTCCTTGTGTACTTATACACTTGAATTGCTTCTTTTTGTTAATATAAAGACAATAATGCATTGTATCCTTTTCAACTGGTTTACTTGTGTTTCTTTTGTTCAATGCTCAAATGAAGGCATCAAATCAGTGTTCAGTTCTGGAATAATCTTACCAAGATTTGACAAAAAGAGACTGTAAGTGTAAATCAGAAACTTTTATTTTAATCCATAGTTTAAAAACCACTGACTGACACAGAGTTACCATTTCATAACCCCGCTTCCTCCTTGAAGAACGCCACAGTTGGTGCTATTGTTAGCAATTCTTTATAATGTCATGGCATTCAATTTGCCACTTTACAGTAATTGTAAATTTAACAACACATGTGTTAACAACTTCAAGGCATTTTGAAGGCAAATTCTTCAAAGCTGAACAGCTAAATTCAAAGCCTTTTCAACACATTCAAGCCTGAACAAACTTTGTGATAATAATATCAGAGCTCCAGATAAGATTTAGCTCATGTGGGTACTGTACCCACTGCATTTTGGGGGAGTGGGTATTATGAATGTTGAGTGGGTATTTCATTTTCCGTTACCCACTACTTTCGAATATGTGCGTATTTCAGTCATTTTACTCACCTAGGTATTATGTCATTGAGTAAGTTTACTAAACAGGTATGTTCTGCCTTATGTCTTACCTAATGAAAACCAACTTAAATATAATGGAAATTATTTAATAAAAAATCACTCATCCTATACTGACAGTACAACACTTGTCCTATACTAACAGTGCAACTTGATAGCAATCGATGTCTTTCATTACACAAGCGATTTTTATACATTTTAAATGCGTAATTGGTATGCAACAATTATTTTTCAATGCGTAATTGGAAATTTTATATGCGTATTTTACCAGGATTCGCAGCTTATCTGGGACTATCTTGAATTCTTTTGTAACAATCACCTAAACTGAAACCATTTGAAGATCAATGTAAATAGTCCAAACAATGCCAACTATTTCGGAATTCTCTGAACATGGTAAATATTTCCATCAGTATAATCAGTAGATTACAAAACCTACCAGTTGTTCAAAGGCTGCTGCACGGTTTTGGTAGAATGTGGCGATATCTCCAGAATGTTCCTGTGGACACATCTTGATGGCCTGTGTGTAGCAGGAGATAGCAGCTGGGTATTGGCCATTCTTGAAGAAAACATTACCTTCCTTCTTGGATTCCTGAGCTTGTTCTTGCAGTGACTGAAACACGCAATCATCATAACAACATTATACCATACTTACGGCAACACATAATCACCATAACAACATTATACCATACTAACGGCAACACACAATCATCATAACAACATTATACCATACATACGGCAACACACAATCATCATAACAACATTATACCATACTTACGGCAACACACAATCACCATAACAACATTATACCATACTTACGGCAACACATAATCATCATAACAACATCATACCATACTTACGGCAAAACACAATCATCATAACAACATTATACCATACTTACGGCAAAACACAATCATCATAACAACATTATACCATACTTACGGCAACACACAATCATCATAACAACATTATACCATACTTACGGCAAAACACAATCACCATAACAACATTATACCATACTTACGGCAAAACACAATCATCATAACAACATTATACCATACTTACGGCAACACACAATCATCATAACAACATTATACCATACTTACGGCAACACACAATCATCATAACAACATTATACCATACTTACGGCAACACACAATCATCATAACAACATTACACCATACCATTACAACAATTACGGCAACACACAATCATCATAACAACATTATACCATACTTACGGCAACACACAATCATCATAACAACATTATACCATACTTACGGCAACACACACACAATCATCATCAACAACAACATTACACCATACTTACGGCAACACACAATCATCATAACAACATTACACCATACTTACGGCAACACACAATCATCATAACAACATTACACCATACTTACGGCAACACACAATCATCATAACAACATTATACCATACTTACGGCAAAACACAATCATCATAACAACATTACACCATACTTACGGCAACACACAATCATCATAACAACATACTTACGGCAACACACGATCATCATAACAACATTATACCATACATACGGCAACACACAATCATCATAACAACATTATACCATACTTACGGCAAAACACAATCATCATAACAACATTACACCATACTTACGGCAACACACAATCATCATAACAACATTATACCATACTTACGGCAACACACGATCATCATAACAACATTACACCATACTTACGGCAACACACAATCATCATAACAACATTATACCATACTTACGGCAAAACACAATCATCATTACAACATTATACCATACTTACGGCAAAACACAATCATCATAATTTGGAAATACAGTTCGATAACTATACATGGAGATAGAACAAACTGTATTTCTTTACTAAGATTCCGAATTCAATACCTACCAACCATTGATGTGAGGCAGAAAACAAACAGAAAAGCGACAGTGTCGGTGACTTGAATTAACAATCCTCGTTCAGGGCTAACTCACTAACTGATGTGCATGTTAACACGAGTGAGTTTACTTTTACACCACTTATAGCAACATTCCAGCAATAACGTTCCTTTCTAAACAAATGACATACAGTTTGAAGAAGTTTTATGTTTGGGTTAACCATCTTCTCTATATTTTTCTAACTGAATCTGAGATAAACATAAACCATATCACTCAATATGAACATTGCATTTCTATTTCCAATATAAGGTTAGACCAATACACCCACATGAACCTGAATGTCATGCAACATTTTCCATAAAAAAAGTTGAAAATAATTCTTCCATCACTGATACTTGCCGACTGAAGCAACTGCAAACCAAGAAATGGGGTGCTATGGAGTTAGTAGTACTGTAGGTGACTGGACAACTGTCATGCATTGTGATGTCAGTTACCAAGGGTATGATTGATTACAAGGGGGAAGGGCTAGAATGGCACCTGACAAAATACTGTTGATTCCTTTGATCTTTAAAGATCACATATACTCTAGGGGGGTACAAATACATAAATCACTAACTGGCATAGCTATAAATGAAACCCCGTCATTAAAACTACTCACTCCGGTCTTTAATTAACTTAAATCGACCTTTTTGACAACAGTGCACAATTCTCACCCGCGAACGAAATTTCAACCAATCAGAGCGGGGCGTCTCTGTGACGTCATATGAGGAATAGATAAGAGAGCCGATGCAGAATTCATCTACATTTGAGGGGGTAAATTATCTTGTTTACAGGTTTGTATAAACCTGAAATCATGACAACTGTTGTGGAAAATGAAAGCTATATGTTCTCACAATCTACTGTCATTAATTTTGTCTCCTGCTTTGCCTAGTTTCCGAGTTACAACTTGTTTTCATAGACGATTCTGTCAAAATCGCTTGGTGTCGTTAGGCCTTATTTGTATAATGAATGATCCAAATTGATCCCATTTCTGTGTTTTTTTACCTCGATATTTAATCATGTCATATAAAAATCTGTTTGTATTCTCAAAACAGTGCGGCCCATAAGTTTTCACATGCAATACAGCAATTAATACTCCCTTGTTGTAACCCATGTTAGGTGGTATAAACCTACACGTTATTTGTCATCATTCACTTGATGGTCAATTAATGAATTTATAACAGGTATAATTAGTGGTAACACACTTAGATTACCCGACAAAGGTTCCCATTTGGCATTTCTTGTGTCTGGAGTAAATATTCAACATTGTAAACATCTATCAAAGGATAAACTGATAACACGCTGATTGATTAATTACTTTTATCTTACACAGCGGATTTGTCAAAAGGTATAGTGTTTATGTATGTAGATTTACTAATCTATACTGAATACACTCTGTCGTGTCGGTGTTTGCATAAAAACAACTTCCTTCTTTCAAAGGATTAACCGGTAATACATTAATTGATTGCCCATTATTGGCTAACTAAATTACTGTTTTTAAAGAAAGGCGGACATTATGCAATTAGTTGCCAGGTGTGCTATCTTGGGTGACCAATGAGACTATACACCAATGTGAAATACCTGAAAAGATTTATCACTTTTTCGTATATTAAACTGTTAAAAGACACATCATTTAGAACAGCTGCAGATGAATGGCATATCACCCGTTTGTGTGGATATTGATGGATACATTCCTCGAACAAGGTAATAGCCTGACAGTGTTCCTATAACTTTAATCTGTTTTAATTTTAATATTTGCATTTTGTTTTTATTCATTTGTCGTAGCATTCAACAGAATCATTGTTTTCGCCGTGAAGTGTAATGAGACAGACAACATACACTAGGGTGTGTGTGCGAATTATGATTCACATTGGCAAACTATAAAATGTCTAGATATTACAGTTCTGTTATAAATTCACTATAAGTATCAGCAGATCGTCTGCTTTTTATTTAGTTTCAAAATGCATACAAGTATGATAATAAACTAATTAAGATTATAAGACCAAATATAAAGACGCACATTGACTAGTATCTACATACTGGTGAGTGGACATTAACCACGTGAATGTAGCACTGACTGACTGCCTGAGTTTAGTTTTACGCCGCTTTTAGCAATATTCCAGCAATATCACGGCGGGGGACACCAGAAATGGGCTTAACACATTGTGCCCATGTGGGGAATCGAACCCGGGTCTTCGCCGTGACGAGCCAACGCTTTAACCACTAGGCTACCCCACGGCCCCCGTGAATGTAGCAAGAAATGTATCGCGCAGTTTTGTGACTTCGACCCCCACCTCGCTTCCGTGGAAGACATCGCTATGTTATAAGTTGTGTCATGCAAAATCCTTTTAGTTATGATTCCGATACATATTTAACTACGGGTAGAAAGTAGTTTTGATTTTCTAATTTGATGAAAACAAACCATAATCTCATTAATTCTAACAGACTTTAGCCCGTCACTTTACGATTTTCAAAAATGGCGGCGCCCTGTCGCGAACATCCGCCAGTCTGAGGATAAATGCTATTTAGGTTTGTTTTCACCGAGTTACAAAATCAAAACTACTTTCTACAAGTAGTAAAATATGTATTTGATTGATGGCCAATAGGATTTTGCATGACATGACATAACAATTTCTCTCGTGGCAGCGAGGTGGGTGTCAATATAATACTACTTACAATATTATTGTTACTTCGACCACAACCTCGCTTCCGAGGAAGAAATTGTTATGTTACAAGTTGTGTCATGGAAAATCACTATGGTCATCAATCATATACATATTTTACAACAACTAGTAAGTAGTTTTGATTCTTTAACTTCCGTGAAGCGATCTGAACACAAGTAAGATATGGTTTCCGGCTTCCACAACGCTCGCTTCGCACTCACAAACATAACCCATTTAGCACGAACTGCGGGATCCTGTGGAAATCTGTGCATGGTGACACCATCGCCCGACCCCTCGGAGCAATTGACGACAAAGCAACGATTCTGCATGTCGTCGTTGATGTCAAGAAATCATCAAAATGATGAGCGTGCTACACACTTTCTATACAACTAACTGAAAATCAGTCCTCATATGACGTCACTGCAGTGCTCTGGCGACAGAGTTACGTAACCTGTCTGTGGTTTCGTTGGCGGGCGAGAGTGAAGCAGGCGACTTTTTGGCAACTTTTAATCGCTCGGTATTAATTAACCACAAGTTTTTTAAGAATGAATTTGGTGTTCCGCATAAGTCTAACCACAAATCTTTCATATGTAATAGTTAAAAGAGTACAAAAAAACAAAGTTTATTTGTTCTTTAAACGAAGCATCTTAATATAACCATATACCACCTCGACTGCAACACACAATCATCACAATAACAATATACCACCAAACTTTAATCTTTATGATTGTTTATTTGTTGTTGAACACCACACTCAGCAATATTCCAGCTATATGGTGGTTGCCTGTAAATAATTGAGTGTGGATCCAGTGATCAATAGCATAAGCTATCTATGCAATTGGTATACGATGTGTCAACCAAGTCAGCAAGCCTGACCACCCGAACCAGGTAGTTGCCTTATCATCATGAAAGCCAAGCTAAGCACCGATGAGACTGGGAGATCAGTGAGTGAGAGTTAATTAGAAGGGCTTGCTATGGATATAGATTAAAGAGATCAAAATCATTAACTAAATATTGATTGATTATCGAGGAATTTCAGAAAATATCTTTAAGCAAAACTGCCCCCAAAGTATGTACGAAATCCTCATATTTTTTACATCACTGGTGAGTGAGTGAGGAATCGAAGCCCATGTGGGGAATCGAACCCAGGTCTTCGGCGTGATGAGCAAACGTTTTAACCACTAGGCTACCCCACATCACTGGTGAGTGGTGATATATTTATGCATGGACTATGAACTAAAGAGCACCCTGAATATGATGTAGAAAGTGTCCAGAAATGAAGACATAGCTTTGTATTGTGTAGGTAAATTAGCACTACATTTCATCACAACAGTTAATGTACATGAGTATCAATGACACAAATGTCATAACGTTAATCATTGATAATTCTTCACATCAGAGACCATGACGATATTTCCGATTATCAATCCCAACTTTATTAGGTAGCATTACTAGTCGCATCGTGTTATCAAGTAAATGTACTAGGATACCCAGTGACTGTCATCCAAATTGTGAGGGAAGGGAAGATGTATTACTTATGTTGAGACGATATCCTATGTGATACTCGTCTCCAGTAGTTTCACTGTAGGGTGTACATGTACTATACTAAATATGAATAGGGTCGGACAGATGACTGGTAAGTGCCTGTACAAGTTGATTGCAACACGCATTCAGATAAAATTATCTGAAATTAACCAAGGGGTTATTTATAAACATGGGGATTTACGCCATTCCCGTTTTACCTTCGGTTTAGCAGACGCCTTGTTGTTGGCATTTTGGTTAGAATCGACAATGTCCAGTTTATCGACTTTGACCTCTCCTTTCCTTCTCATGTAATACCAAAGTCCGGCGACCCCCAGAGCTCCAACACCTACAACTAATCCAACCTGCCATTTATTCCAACCCTCGGTCATATCATTCAACTTCACGGCGGACGCCATGCTTGTATCTCGTCACGAGCCTCCCGAGAAACAGCGAGAGGACGGTTAAATATAAAATATGAAACAAAAAGTAATAATTCTAAAACGGAAAGAGGTCTTCTATTTTTTCAAATTGATTGTACATTACCGCCAAGATTATCTAAGTACGAAGTTTTATTCACAATTCCCCTCTTTTCCAGAGCAGACAAATCCTGATCATATAAATAGATGTCAATGTGTAAACGTTCGCTGATCACGCCGAAGGCACGGGTTCGATTCCCAAAATGCATAGAACGTGTCATTTCCATTCCTGGCACCCCTGCCGCCACAATGCTGGACAAATATAGATCAGTTTATTGCCATTTGTACATTAATATAATTCATGACACCATGCATATGCTATGCTTGTTTCCAAGATCAAAAGAGATGGCTGGCTGAATATTTGTGACATTGTATTTAACTGACATGGTCGCTTCCACATGCTATTGACTGACTGACTGAGTTTTGTTTTACGCCGCTTTTAGCGATATTCCAGCAACATCACGGCGGGGGACACCAGAAATGGCTTCAAGGCCTGATAAAACATACAGGCCGCCATGATGGTTATCGACATTATTTCGGACTGCGGCATAAAAAGAGCACTGATTCTCCAATTCACTGCAGCCAGACGAAATAGCCTTTAGAGGCCTGGTTCGGGACACCTACTACACCCTCGAACCACCCCACCCAACCCAACGCCAGAGGCTTAACTGCATAGGAACTCAGTTAAAGCCCCTTTCTTCCGGAGAATGACCCTCCCCTAAAAGAAATAACAGCAGCAAGAAATGAAAAGTATAAAAGGAATATCAAAAATGACAACAAAAAGAAAGGAACACACATTTCAACACGTAATAAAAAATATGAAATTTATTATATTCAAAATGTTTGTGATCCACTCATTTATATGTATTCATTGATATATTTTAAGTTACAATATTTTGAATTTGATTCGCAGTATATTTGCAGCTTTGGGGAAGGCTTTAGTGGACATTCGTTACAAATGATGATTCTCGCTAGCAGGGTACGTTGACTTGTATAATAAAGTGTAGCGAATGTCCAGTTACCTGCACCTTATCCTTAACTTCCGAAAGGATTTCACTTCGTTGTATTGGAATAGCACGAAGAGATGAGCATATGTGTTTGTAAATACGGGGCGGTGGGGTAGCCTAGTGGTTAAAGCGTTGGCTCGTCACGCCGAAGACCCGGGTTCGATTCCCCACATGGGCACAATGTGTTAAGCCCATTTCTGGTGTCCCCCGCCGTGATATTGCTGGAATATTGCTAAAAGCGGCGTAAAACTAAACTCAGTCAGTCAGTCAGTTTGTAAATACTGCATAAAAATACCTCTAAGAGATCGTTTCCGTGTTGTCGTTTTGTTTTGTTTGGTTTGGTTTCGGGTTGTTGTTTTTTTCTTGTATTTTTCCTTTTTTTTTTTTCTTTTTGACCGTTGAATCAGATATGTGCTCCAGGTTAAGACATGTAGACACGTACATAAGTATTGTTTTACGTGATAAAATCCCTCAAATGGACAATATTATAAATATACATCTGACAAATCTAAATGCCTGTTAATTTAATCTTAAAATGACTTGATACTACTTCTCCTGTAAGTCTGCCCGTTTGCCTGAAAAGACTCTGGTTTATTGTGACTTTGAATGGCGTCTCAGTAAGAGATTTTACGTGCGCATGTTATGACTGGCTCGGGTGAGCTTGAACATTCTGTACTCAACACTATCTATAACCTGTTATGTAATTCCCCTGTTATGGAAGTATGTTTTATACACAGCATCATTGATCTCAGATGGCTATGTCGCTCTGCGGGCGGAACACCAGCAATCGACAAACTCGATTTGCACCATCGAGGAAGAAGGAAATTGCTCAACACTGATTTCACAAATAAATTTTAAAAAATGTCCGATCTCACTTCCTGGCAAATATAACATACAGTGGAAACCTGATAAGTAAAACTTCAAGGGACTCGCCAAAATTGTTTACTTATCAAGTATTTTACTTATCCAAATTTATAAAAACCTGCAAATGACAACCATATGCATGTATATGTATACATATGTAACAACGAACAACTAATCAGGGCTGGCCTCCAGTTATCAGTGTATTGTCAACTGCTTGACGCCAGCGAGCTGCAAGTAGGATGTTTGTTTAGCTGGAGACTGACACGACTGCCCCTCATGTCGGACTGTATTCTGATTTCACTGTCAAATTTGCTTATCAGATATCATGTTGTTGAATAAAACATTCCTCATCGGTAAATATGTGCCCGAGTTCACAGTTCGCTTTGTAATATAACCAAAACTTTTCCTTGTGGTCTGTTGTGCATGAATATGTCTTCACTGTTATTTTTTCACTCGTGTGAGCTGATTCTATCCGGGTTAGAATTGATCTTCAGTAGCCCATGCTTGTCGTAGAGGCGACTAACGGGATCGGGTGGTCAGGCTCGCTGACTTGGTTGACACATGTCCTCGTATCCCTGTTGCGTAGATTGATGTTCATACTGTTGATAGCATGATTCTCTGGTCCAGACTCTCGTGATAAAAAATATATATAGGGCTGCAACGAGTCAGTCAAGTATTTAATTTTTCGACTTGTTATTCAGTCAAGTATTTAATTTTTCTACCTTTCCGTTTCGTTTTGTGTAGAGTATCTTTCTGTTGTATATATCTTCATGCTACTCTCTGTGTACAATAAGATCAAATTTATTTCGATCAATAGAATCTGTAGACCAGTGTTTCCTCTTCGTGACTGTCTCGATTACAGATGGCCGGGGTATGCATTATACAGTTCCTGGAAACAATATATTTCAAAATCATAAACTGGTATTGAAAGTCAAGGCGAACAACTCAAATACCTTGTATTGAAGGTCCTGGTATATGTTTCAGATTTTTTGTTTTAAAATCCGGTTATTGACAAATACTCCAACAACTTGAAATTGATCATCCTTTTCATTGCACGAAATGCCAGTCAATTCGTGAGTGAGTGAGTTGGGTTATTACGCCCAACGTTGCTGTTGTCTAAAAGGATACATTACTTTGTCTAAAGGGATGCATTGCTATTGTCTAAAAGAATACATTGCTATTGTCTAAAAGAATACATTGCTATTGTCTAAAGGGATGCATTGCTATTGTCTAAAATAATACATTGCTATTGTCTAAAAGGATACATTGCTATTGTCTAAAAGAATACATTGCTATTGTCTAAAAGAATACATTGCTATTGTCTAAAAGAATACATTGCTATTGTCTAAAAGAATAGAATACATTGCTATTGTCTAAAAGAATACATTGCTATTGTCTTAAAGAATACATTGCTATTGTATAAAAGGATACATTGCCATTGTCTAAAAGGACACATTGCTATTGTATAAAAGAATACATTGCTATTGTATAAAAGGATACATTGCTATTGTCTAAAAGAATACATTGCTATTGTATAAAAGAATACATTGCTATTGTATAAAAGGATACATTGCTGTTGTCTAAAAGAATACATTGCTATTGTCTAAAAGAATACATTGCTATTGTATAAAAGGATACATTGCTATTGTCTAAAAGAATACATTGCTATTGTATAAAAGAATACATCGCTATTGTATAAAAGGATACATTGCTATTGTCTAAAAGAATACATTGCTATTGTCTAAAATAATACATTGCTATTGTCTAAAAGAATACATTGCTATTGTCTAAAGGGATGTATTGCTATTGTCTAAAAGAATACATTGCTATTGTCTAAAAGAATACATTGCTATTGTCTAAAGGAATGCATTGTTATTGTCTAAAAGGATACATTTCTATTGTCTAAAAGAATACATTGCTATTGTCTAAAGGGATGCATTACTATTGTCTAAAAGGATGCATTGCTATTGTCTAAAGGGATACATTGCTATTGTCTAAAGTGATGCATTGCTATTGTCTAACAGGATACATTGCTATTGTCTAAAAGGATACATTACTATTGTCTAAAAGGATGCATTGCTATTGTCTAAAGGGATACATTACTATTGTCTAAAGGGATATATTGCTATTGTCTAAAGGGATACATTGCTATTATCTAAAGGGATTTATTGCTATTGTCTAAATGGATACATTACTATTGTCTAAAGGGATGCATTACTATTGTCTAAAGGGGTACATTGCTATTGTCTAAAGGGATACATTACTATTGTCTAAAAGAATACATTGCTATTGTCTAAATGGATACATTACTATTGTATAAATGGATACATTACTATTGTCTAAAGGGATGCATTACTATTGTCTAAAGGGGTACATTGCTATTGTCTAAAGGGATATATTGCTATCGTCTAAAGGAATTCATTGCTATTGTCTAGAGGGATATGGTGCTTCTTTTGGCATATTATGATGGATATAGAATGTGGTGTTTGGGGTGAGGTAGGTGAGATTATGTCCTGGAGGCAGTGGGATGGGAGACATGTTAGAGTGAGGAACGTGGGGTTGGTGACACGCTGGTGTGGGTAATATGGGTGGTGCGACATGCTAAGTGAGGAACGTTGATGAAGCGCTATAGTGGTTCACGTGAGGTGGGGGACACGTTTGGGTGGGTTACATGGGTGGGGCGACATGCTATAGTGTGGACCGTTGATGAAACGCTATAGTGGTACACGTGAGGGGGGGACACGTTTGGGTGGGTAACATGGGTGGGTCGACATGCTATAGTGTGGACCGTTGATGAAACGCTATAGTGGGACACGTGGAGTTGGGGAGACGTTTGTGTTGGTAACATGGTGGGGCGACATGCTATAGTGAGGAACGGTGACAAACGCTATTCTGGGACACGTGTGGTGGATGACACGTGTATGAGGATAATATTGGTGGGGCGACATGCTACAGTGTGGAACGTTGATGAAACGCTACAGTGGGACACGTGGAGTGGATGACACGTTTGTGTGGGTAATATTGGTGGGGCGACATGCTATAGTTTGGACCGTTGATGAAACGCTATAGTTGGACACATGGGGTGGATGACACGTTTGTGTGGGTAACATTGGTGGGGCGACATGCTATAGTGAGGAATGTTGATGAAACGCTATAGTTGGACACGTAGGGTGGGTGACACGTGTGTGGGGTACACATGAGATGGGTGACACGTGTGTGAGGGTAATATTGATGGGGCGACATGCTATAGTGAGGAACGTTGATGAAACGCTATAGTTGGACACGTAGGGTGGGTGACACGTTTGTGGGGGACACATGAGGTGGGTGACACGTGTGTGAGGGTAATATTGGTGGGGCGACATGCTATAGTGAGGAACGTTGATGAAACGCGGGGTGGGTGACACTTGTGTGTAGGCCACGTGGGCAGAGTGACACGTGTGTGTAGGACACATGGGGTGGGTGACACGTTTGTGTGGGCAATATTGGTGGGGCGACATGCTATAGTGTGGACCGTTGATGAAACGCTTCAGTGGGACACATGGGGTGGATGACACGTTTGTGTAGGTAATATTGGTGGGGCGACATGCTATAGTGAGGAACGTTGATGAAACGCTATAGTTGGACACGTGGGGTGGGTGACACGTGTATGAGGGTAATATTGGTGGGGCGACATGCTATAGTGAGGAACGTTGATGAAACGCTATAGTTGGACACGTGGGGTGGGTGACACGTGAGTGTAGGACACATGGGGTGGGTGACACGTGTGTGTAGGACACATGGGGTGGATGACACGTTTGTGTGGGTAATATTGGTGGGGCGACATGCTATAGTGAGGGACGTTGATGAAACGCTATAGTTGGACACATGGGGTGGGTGACACGTGAGTGTAGGACACATGGGGTGGGTGACACGTGTGTGTAGGACACATGAGGTGGGTGACACGTGTGTGAGGGTAATATTGGTGGGGCGACATGCTATAGTGAGGAACGTTGATGAAACGCGGGGTGGGTGACACTTGTGTGTAGGCCACGTGGGATGGGTGACACGTGTGTGTAGGACACATGGGGTGGGTGACACGTTTGTGTGGGCAATATTGGTGGGGCGACATGCTATAGTGTGGACCGTTGATGAAACGCTACAGTGGAACACGTGTGGTGGGTGACACGTTATAGTAGGGAAAGTATGTATTCATGGGGCAGATGTAGGTGTGAGACCGGATATGGTATTTACAGAAGGTGTTTCGTGTTTTCTAATAACAAACACACTGTCAGTCCTAGAGCAATATGGGTTGATACCATCAGTTTGTAGACTTTATTAACCTTGTGTCAGATTCTGAATACATCGATATGTCTACACGCGTCCACCCAGTCTGCAGAGGTCTCACAATAGGCTTCACGTATCCGTAACTCTCTATTCAGTATCGTCGGTGAATGGGAACTCAACTTTTCACTTCCTGGTTAGATATTGCATTTTGCTGTTTATCATCCATCGTATGGGCCGCAGGATTACAGGATAGGGCGCTTGATGAGTGTTTGTAACATACCAGAAACTTCAGGTGCACGCATATCGTGTTCCACGTGTCATGTAAGATCGTCATGACTATTGATTGTTCTGAATGATTGATATACAGTTTGCTGTCGTCATCCTGTTTGTTTCTGTAACAGGATATCGTACTGTATCTAAGCATCGCGCCTGGTCCTACTGCTTCGCTACTGAATTCACATGAAGAACCTATAATAGGACCAGTTCAAGATTCGTGATCGACTATTTCACTTTATATTATCGATACGAAAAATAGAATAGCTCTTTGAAAACGATCCTATTAGCAGCCATAAATAAATCCGTTAAAACAATATATTATCCAAAACTGTGTTCCACAGGAGATATCGCTTGTGTGAGATCATATGATATCTCCTAGGAGATATCGTTTTGACAGTAGATTTTGTACAATGCCCTGCGTCACAATGCTATGACATCACTGCACTGCAAGTCTAATGGTAGTACAGTGTTGAGAGTTGTACATTTTTCATTGAAAATTAATGAAGAATGATTTTTGATGATAAATAGAATCTCACCCTCGTGTCTACTGATATCAATTATATCAACACTCGTTGATAAAGGTAAAAATATCCTCGGCAAGCCTCGGATATTTGTAACTTTATCAACTCGTGTTGATATAATTGATATCAGTAGACACTTGGGTGAGATTCTCTATATATTATCTCGATCGAATTACGTATGTTTATAGACAAAACCTCAAGTGAGTTCGTGAGTGAATGTTCGTTAGCGCCATAGTCAGCAACATAAATCCTGGAGAAGGGCAAGTCTGGAGCAGAAACATGAGAGATAGAAACTTGGAGTACTGACCCATACAGTCCGTGCACGGAACATGTCCAGTGACCCAACCCACATTTAGCCTACCATGAGGACCAGTCATGTCCCCCGATAACGACAGTGTGAAGCATGAGTGATATTTGTTATCTCCAAATTCGGATTACGAAATTCTTTAACGTAAACTGGAATGACGGCGAGGACTGTCATGAAGTCACATGAACCCGTTATCGCTATCAAGGTTAAGCATAGTACTCTATAATCAAAACGCGAGTACAGAGTACTCTATTAATATATATGACGTGCCTGTAGAGCTATGGTCTATGTTTAACCTGCATAGCGATAACGGGTTCCTTTGCATAAAGTGCTTTGCAGGAATATGCATGGCGCCAGGTCTTTATTAAGTAGCAATTATTATATCTACGAAATAAACAGCGAGAAATATTATTACATTCAAATTGGGCATATCACAGAATGTATATGGGGACCTTTTAACATTGCGTCCAACTGTTAGGGGTTATTCTGTTAAGTTCCTTGTTGTGCCATGCATGACGTGGTTTGTTTGTTTAACCCAACACTCATCAATATTCAAGCTATATGGGGGAGGTCTGTAAATAATTGAGTCTGGACCAGACAATCCAGTGATACGATGACAACATGATAGGTAAACTGTTTGAACATGGTCTTGACGACCGATTTCATATTAATCATTGAAAAAGCACAAAACACTTCAATCACCTGCAGTGAGTCACCTTAAGGCGCACGTGTGTAGTGCCCTAAAACCTACAATGGTCTTCAGTGCACATTAATCATAAATAAACATGAGTGGGCGGAGCTTATGTGACCACGTCATACGTGTTTCGTACGCACTACTTCTCTCATGAACACGGATATTCATGATTTCAATGACCATTGTAGGTTTTAGGGAACAACATGTGTGCACAACACACATGCATTTGGAATGCAGGCACACAGACTTTGCTAAACAGGAAAACTCTTTCAAAAATGTAATACAAGTGCGAGCATGCTTCATGAGCGTACCGTGGGCAGTCTTAATGCTAGTCCGTTCCCGCAGTTGCACGAACCCTGGGCTGTAGTCGTCTACCAATACACTGTCTGAAGACCCTTGTGCAACATTGCAGATCGCCCAAGGCCTGGAGCGCCACATGTGACGTCACACCAAGACGACGAACAAATTGGGTTCGTCATATCCGAAAACATATTTGTGTTTCTCACCGACAAAGATATTAAGTACTTCCGGGTAGGATCTTTGCATTCGGGTACTTTCCCATGCAACACCTACAGGTAGACAGGTAGGTTGTGAAAGCGTAAGTGTGACTGGTTGTTGATGTTTTAGTTTCCCAGTGCACCTCTGTTCGGTGTGTGTGTGTGTGTGTGTGTGTGTGTGTGTGTGTGTGTGTGTGCGTGCGTGCGTGCGTGTGTGTGTGTGTGTGTCTTTATGTCGGTGGAGGAGGATCCGATCAGGCTGACCTGGCGTTGTTGCTTTAGACTGACTTCGAGTGTTGTACAGTTTCTACTGCATGTCTTGTGGAATACTTGCAGAAGCTGTCTCTTCTTAACAGAACCTTAAGAGAAACATGGAGGGGAAATACGTCATAGCTATAGCGGTATGTGTGGCCGTAGTTGTCATCACCATCATCGTCGTCCTTGTCGTCGTGGCGGTGGTCATCAGACGTCGGAGGGGGGGTGTTCGTAAGTACTGACTTTATGTATGTTATATAGAGAATCTCACTCCAGTGTCTTTTGATATCAAATATATCACCACGAGTTGATAAAGTTACAAATAGTTTTACTTTTATCAAAGGGTGTTGATATATTTGATTTCAGAAGACACGAGGGTGAGATACTAATTATCATAAAAATCACTCTTCATTAGTTTTCTGTGAAAAATGTACATCTTTGAACATGGTACTACCATTAGCCTTACCCCCAGTACAGTGATATCCTTACCCCCAGTCCAGTGATATCCTTACCCCCAGTACAGTGATACCCTTACCCCATTACAGTGATATCCTTACCCCAGTCAGTGATATATCCTTACCCCATTACAGTGATATCCTTATCCCAAGTACAGTGATATTCTTACCCCCAGTACAGTGATACCCTTACCCACAGTCCAGTGATACTTTTACCCCCAATCCAGTGATATATCCTTACCCCCAGTACAGTGATATCCTTACCCCCAGTCCAGTGATACCTTTACCCCCAATCCAGTGATATATCCTTACCCCCAGTCCAGTGATATCCATACCCCGAGTACAGTGATATCCTTATCCCATTACAGTGATACCCTTACCCCCAGTCCAGTGATACCTTTACCCCCAGTCTAGTGATATCCTTATCCCCAGTCCAGTGATATAACCTTACACCCATTACAGTGATATATCCTTACCCCCAGTACAGTGATACCCTTACCCCCAGTACAGTGATATCCTTACCCCCAGTACAGTGATACCCCTACCCCCAGTACAGTGATACCCTTACCCCCAGTACAATTGATCCTTATGATACCCCAGCGATACCCTTACCCCAGTACAGTGATACCCTTACCCCCATTACGGTGATATCCTTACCCCAGTCAGTGATATATCCTTACCCCATTACAGTGATATCCTTACCCCAAGTACGGTGATATTCTTACCCCAGTACAGTGATACCCCTTACCCACAGTCCAGTGATACTTTTTACCCCCAGTCCAGTGATATATCCTTACCCCCAGTACAGTGATATCCTTACCCCCAGTCCAGTGATACCTTTACCCCAATCCAGTGATATATCCTTACCCCCAGTCCAGTGATATCCTTACCCTGGTACACAGTGATATCCTTATCCCATTACAGTGATACCCTTACCCCCAGTCCAGTGATACCCCTTACCCCCAGTCTAGTGATATCCTTATCCCCCGGTCCAGTGATATATCCTTACCCCATTACAGTGATATCCTTATCCACGCATACAGTGATAATTCTTTTACCCCCCAGTACAGTGATACCTTTACCCCCAGTCTAGTGATATCCTTACAGTGATACCCTTACCCCCAGTACAGTGATATCCTTACCCCCAGTACAGTGATACCCTTACCCCCAGTACAGTGATACCCTTTACCCCCAGTACAGTGATATCCTTACCCCAGTACAGTGATGCCCTTACCCCCAGTACAGTGATATTCTTACCCCCAGTCCAGTGATACCCTTACCCCCAGTACAGTGATATTCTTACCCCCCAGTACAGTGATACCCTTTACCCCCAGTACAGTGATACCCGTACCCCCAGTACAGTGATATCCTTACCCCCAGTACAGTGATATTCTTACCCCCGTGATATATCCTTACCCCCAGTCCAGTGATATATCCTTCACCCCAGTACAGTGATATCCTTACCCCCAGTACAGTGATCTTACCCCCAGTCCAGTGATACCCTTACCCCCAGTACAGTGATATTCTTACCCCCAGTACAGTGATACCCTTATCCCCCGTACAGTGATACCCTTACCCCATTACAGTGATATCCTTACCCCAGTCAGTGATATATCCTTACCCCATTACAGTGATATCCTTATCCCAAGTACAGTGATATTCTTACCCCCAGTACAGTGATACCCTTACCCACAGTCCAGTGATACTTTTACCCCCAATCCAGTGATATATCCTTACCCCCAGTACAGTGATATCCTTACCCCCAGTCCAGTGATACCTTTACCCCCAATCCAGTGATATATCCTTACCCCCAGTCCAGTGATATCCATACCCCGAGTACAATGATATCCTTATCCCATTACAGTGATACCCTTACCCCCAGTCCAGTGATACCCTTACCCCCAGTCTAGTGATATCCTTACCCCCAATCCAGTGATATATCCTTACCCCATTACAGTGATATCCTTATCCAATTACAGTGAGACCCTTACCCCCAGTCCAGTGATACCTTTACCCCCAGTCTAGTGATATCCTTATCCCATTACAGTGATATAACCTTACACCCATTACAGTGATATATCCTTACCCCCAGTACAGTGATACCCTTACCCCCAGTACAGTGATATCCTTACCCCCAGTACAGTGATACCCTTACCCCCAGTACAGTGATACCCTTACCCCCAGTACAGTGATATCCTTACCCCCAGTACAGTGATGCCCTTACCCCCAGTACAGTGATATTCTTACCCCCAGTCCAGTGATACCCTTACCCCCAGTCCAGTGATATTCATACCCCCAGTACAGTGATACCCTTATCCCCCGTACAGTGATACCCGTACCCCCAGTACAGTGATACCCTTACCCCCAGTACAGTGATATTCTTACCCCCAGTACAGTGATACCCTTACCCCTAGTACAGTGATATCCTTACCCCCAGTCCAGTGATATATCCTCACCCCCAGTCCAGTGATATTCTTACCCCAGTACAGTGATATATCCTTACATCCATTACAGTGATATATCCTTACCCCCAGTACAGTGATACCCTTACCCCCGTACAGTGATACCCTTACCCCCAGTCCAGTGATATATCCTTACCCCCAGTCCAGTGATATTCTTACCCCCAGTACAGTGATACCCTTACCCCCAGTACAGTGATACCCTTACCCCCAGTACAGTGATATTCTTACCCCCAGTACAGTGATACCCTTACCCCCCGTACAGTGATACCCTTACCCCTAGTACAGTGATATCCTTACCCCCAGTCCAGTGATATATCCTTACCCCCAGTCCAGTGATGTCCTTACCCCCAGTCCAGTGATATATCCTTACCCCATTACAGTGATATCCTTACCCCGAGTACAGTCATATTCGTACCCCCAGTCCAGTGCTATCCTTACCCCAAAACTAAACAGTTTACAGCTCTGGTGGGAATAAGAACTTGAAAAAATACACATGAAAATACGTTAAAAGGTAGGAAATTGCCAGAAATGACCTTATATTTTTCTGGGGAAAACATAACTAATGTTCATCATTTTCTTGAATCTAAAATAACATTACAAATGACCTAAAATACCACTTCTAAACATCATCATATATAGACTGATATCAAGCAGGACTATCATATATGTCCAGTAACGTGGTATTCCTACTGGATGAACTCTGTAAACCAGCTACTATCAGATCTTCAGGTCTGTCAGACATTGTATATCTACCCAATGACAAGACCCCAGTACCAGATGGAAATTGTCAACAACCTGATGTCTTCGAGACAGTTTGTTGTCATAATCAATGTTTTTGTTCATGATGGTAATCCTTTCCCCGCTATCTTGCATAAAATGATATTTCTCCTGTGTGTACTACCGGAAAATGAAATTGTTCTTCATTTAAGGTCTAATATATACATGTATTCTGAAATTAAAAACCCACCCAACGTTCAATGCATGTTCATGATGACAGCTCATCAACTTATAGTCGTGATTCACAATTTGCAGGTGCGTGTTCATGAAGACAGTTCATCGACTTATAGTCGTGATTCACAATATGCAGGTGCATGTTCAAGAAGACAGCTCATCGACTTATAGTTGTGATTCACAATATGCAGGTGCATGGTCATGAAGACAGCTCATCGACTTAAAGTTGTGATTCACAATTTGCAGGTGCATGTTCAAGAAGACAGCTCATCGACTTAAAGTCGTGATTCACAATTTGCAGGTGCATGGTCATGAAGACAGTTCATCGACTTATAGTCGTGATTCACAATTTGCAGGTGCATGGTCATGAAGACAGCTCATCGACTTATAGTCGTGATTCACAATATGCAGGTGCATGTTCAAGAAGACAGCTCATCGGCTTATAGTCGTGATTCACAATTTGCAGGTGCATGGTCATGAAGACAGTTCATCAACTTATAGTTGTGATTCACAATATGCAGGTGCATGGTCATGAAGACAGCTCATCGACTTATAGTCGTGATTCACAATATGCAGGTGCGTGTTCATGAAGACAGTTCATCGACTTATAGTCGTGATTCACAATATGCAGGTGCATGTTCAAGAAGACAGCTCATCGACTTATAGTTGTGATTCACAATATGCAGGTGCATGGTCATGAAGACAGCTCATCGACTTAAAGTTGTGATTCACAATTTGCAGGTGCATGTTCAAGAAGACAGCTCATCGACTTAAAGTTGTGATTCACAATTTGCAGGTGCATGGTCATGAAGACAGCTCATCGACTTAAAGTTGTGATTCACAATATGCAGGTGCATGGTCATGAAGACAGCTCATCGACTTAAAGTTGTGATTCACAATTTGCAGGTGCGTGTTCATGAAGACAGCTCATCGACTTATAGTTGTGATTCACAATTTGCAGGTGCATGGTCATGAAGACAGCTCATCGACTTATAGTGGTGATTCACAATTTGCAGGTGCATGGTCATGAAGACAGCTCATCGACTTAAAGTCGTGATTCACAATTTGCAGGTGCATGGTCATGAAGACAGCTCATCGACTTAAAGTCGTGATTCACAATTTGCAGGTGCGTGTTCATGAAGACAGTTCATCGACTTAAAGTTGTGATTCACAATTTGCAGGTGCATGGTCATGAAGACAGCTCATCGACTTAAAGTCGTGATTCACAATTTGCAGGTGCGTGTTCATGAAGACAGTTCATCGACTTAAAGTCGTGATTCACAATTTGCAGGTGCGTGTTCATGAAGACAGCTCATCGACTTATAGTCGTGATTCACAATTTGCAGGTGCATGGTCATGAAGACAGCTCATCGACTTAAAGTCGTGATTCACAATTTGCAGGTGCGTGTTCATGAAGACAGCTCATCGACTTATAGTCGTGATTCACAATATGCAGGTGCATGGTCATGAAGACAGTTCATCGACTTAAAGTTGTGATTCACAATTTGCAGGTGCATGGTCATGAAGACAGCTCATCGACTTATAGTTGTGATTCACAATATGCAGGTGCATGGTCATGAAGACAGTTCATCGACTTAAAGTTGTGATTCACAATTTGCAGGTGCATGGTCATGAAGACAGCTCATCGACTTATAGTCGTGAGTCACAATTTGCAGGTGCATGGTCATGAAGACAGCTCATCGACTTATAGTCGTGATTCACAATATGCAGGTGCATGGTCATGAAGACAGTTCATCAACTTATAGTCGTGAGTCACAATTTGCAGGTGCATGGTCATGAAGACAGCTCATCGACTTATAGTCGTGAGTCACAATTTGCAGGTGCATGGTCATGAAGACAGCTCATCGACTTATAGTCGTGATTCACAATATGCAGGTGCATGGTCATGAAGACAGCTCATCGACTTATAGTCGTGATTCACAATTTGCAGGTGCATGGTCATGAAGACAGTTCATCAACTTATAGTTGTGATTCACAATTTGCAGGTGCATGGTCATGAAGACAGTTCATCAACTTATAGTCGTGATTGACAATTTGCAGGTGCATGGTCATGAAGACAGTTCATCGACTTAAAGTTGTGATTCACAATATGCAGGTGCATGGTCATGAAGACAGCTCATCGACTTATAGTTGTGATTCACAATTTGCAGGTGCATGGTCATGAAGACAGTTCATCAACTTATAGTCGTGATTCACAATTTGCAGGTGCATGGTCATGAAGACAGTTCATCGACTTATAGTTGTGATTCACAATTTGCAGGTGCATGGTCATGAAGACAGCTCATCGACTTATAGTCGTGATTCACAATTTGCAGGTGCATGGTCATGAAGACAGTTCATCGACTTAAAGTTGTGATTCACAATTTGCAGGTACATGTTCACAAAGACAGCTCATCGACTTATAGTTGTGATTCACAATATGCAGGTGCATGTTCACAAAGACAGCTCATCGACTTATAGTTGTGATTCACAATTTGCAGGTACATGTTCACAAAGACAGCTCATCGACTTAAAGTTGTGATTCACAATTTGCAGGTACATGTTCACAAAGACAGCTCATCGACTTAAAGTTGTGATTCACAATTTGCAGGTGCATGTTCACAAAGACAGCTCATCGACTTAAAGTTGTGATTCACAATTTGCAGGTACATGTTCACAAAGACAGCTCCTCGACTTATAGTGGTGATTCACAATTTGCAGGTGCATGTTCACAAAGACAGCTCATCGACTTAAAGTTGTGATTCACAATTTGCAGGTGCATGTTCATAAAGACAGCTCATCGACTTATAGTTGTGATTCACAATTTGCAGGTGCATGCTGCTCTTCCTATGACGGGTTGTTGTTTAGCGCCGTATTCAGCACTATTCAGCTATATGGCGGCGCTCTTTATCTAAAGATTGTTCCGCTAGTAGATAATCTTGCGAAGAGCATAGTTCACTCTGCAAAATATTCACATCCATTGTTTACAATAGTTGTAAACTGCAGGTAACGATAAAAAATGTCATTTTTGAATCTGAGATTTCAGGGCAATGCTATACCCCAGAAGGTAGATTACCAGTTATGTACAATATTATTCTGGTGAAGAAGTGAACATTCTCTTCACAAATGTGTATTACATGGCAATGCTATAACTCTCAGCACATCACATGGAATCTCTAACCGCCAATCAAAAACATTTCCATACTGGTCAGAGCGCTCGCTAGGGTCCCTAAGGTTTATCACTATTAACAGTCACATCCCCCACCCCACCCCCACCCCACCCCGCTCTAGAAAGAGATGCTGGCATGAGAACGTTTACCCCACCTGCCATTATTAATTTGTTTGCATTCATGTTTACACTGATTTCCGTTCTGTCAGACACCACCTTCACCACCAGCTTCGCCTTCAGACATTTGTATTTCGACAAAATGTTCAATGCCCTTGAACTATTTATTTAACAGGTATGACGGAGAATCTTTGTAAATGCCGTCAATGTATTTATATATGGGGGCCTACGTCGAGTCGTTTACTGAAACTCTCTCATCCTGCGGATACAAAGGACATGGTTTTATTCCTAGAATTGTACGGACTAGATCTAGATCCCCAAAGTGTTCAACATCTCTGCAGCATTGTCCTTTAAGTGAGATTTGGCGACGTCACCGGCCATGACCTGTTTAACATAGATAGTAACTCCCATTCTGTGCCATGCTTCAGGGGCACCTCCCGTTATATAATTATGTACATATGGTTTTTGTAAAAAACATTCTCTTGAGTGTTAAGATATCGATGCAGATTCCTCTGCGTGTTACTTAAAAGTTCATTGATTTGAGATTAGACGCCGCACACAGCAATATTCCAGCTACATAAAGTTTTTGGATTCTAATTTAATTTTAATGCTTTATTATGTCTGATAAAATATGCTTTCCAACCATGAAAGTATGAACCATGATTTGAGATAGAATGTTTCAGATTTGTTTGAGTGAGTGAGAGAGTTTAGTTTTACACCGCACTCAGCAATATTCCAGCTATATGGCGGCGGTCTGTAAATAATCGAATCTGGACCAGACAATCCAGTGATCAACAACATGAGCATCGATCTGCGCAATTGGGAACCGATGACATGTGTCAACAAAGTCAGCGAGCCTGACGACCCGATCCCGTTAGTCGCCTATTACGACTAGCATGGGTTACTGAAGACCAATTCTACACCAGATCTTCACGGGTCGTTACTTAAAAGACACTGGCCATGACATACTATTGTAGAGATCATGATTGTCGCCTGATCATGAGACATCATTACAACAATGCTATATAATGGTTAACTATCACATGATGGTGGGCGTATAACATGGGCAACACAAGCCCATCACTTCTTTACTTGTTTATGTATGCTATAGAACTTTTATACCTCGCTACTACTTTTTCTAGGTAGACGAGAGAAACAAACACGACCACAAAGCTCAACACGACCACAAAGCTCAGTTTCTGTTGAGCGCATCCAGCAAGTTAGTAAGTATAAATATTTATATCATGTGGTTATTTTATTTTGATTTGATTTGATTTCATCTGAAAAGAATACTGAAAAACTTAAATGAAACGTAACCCGCCATGCCAGAACTACATTCTGTTGTCCCCTTGTTGTTTGATTTCATTTCAAAGGCTGACTAGCAAGATAATACATGATAAGCTAAATCTAACACGCTGGCTGATTGTGTTGACTCTAGTATACACATTTTGCTAATGCTCTATATTTTCAGAAGCTGCCAAAAATTATCGAATCAGTCGAGATGACATCGTGGAGAGATCAGGTGAGTCATTCTTTCACCCTGTTGATATCTTTCCTGTATCAGTTCATCCAGTCTGTGTTCGATCGTGAGCCGTTCATCAAGTTTACATGACAACTGCACCTAAGGATGTTGAAATGGTAGAGCCCACATGGGTACAATGTGTGAAGCCCATTTCTGGTGTCCCCCGCCGTGATATTGCTGGAATATTGATAAAAGCGGCGTAAAACTATATTCACTCACTCCCTCACTCAAATGGTAGAGATCACCACTAAATCACATCTAATGAATTTTACATTGCACTCGCAATGAACAACATTTCAAGCTGATTAGACAGACGAGCCATCGGGTCTCTTGTACCACTCATAGTAAAGGTCTCGCCTAAAGCAATTCACATATTTTCGGATCTTGCCAAAATCTCTTCATAATGATGGGATTGCACCTAAAGCTATTACCAAGACTCAGATCTCACCTAAAGTTGTTCACACATCTTACCTCAGAATCTTCAGACAGCACAGATCTCACCTAAATATATATTGAGATCGTCGATATCTCATCCAAGAGCTGTCACGCTCAACTCAACTCAACTCAACTCAACAACTGAGATCTCAACTCAAGCGATAACACACGCGATCGCCTAAAGTATTCACACAGCATTACCTAACAAAGATCGTACCAAACACTGTTCATACAACTAAGATCCAGATCACACGTCACATTCTACATTCAAATGAGATATAACACGGAACATGTCAAGTTTTCGCGTGATCAGACATAAATGGTGTCTTCTGCTGTGGTTAGATATCCGTCCAGTATTAACCCAGGGTATTCATCGCTCTGATTCAATCATTTACAGACGTAGAGTTCCAGCGCGATGATAGTATCTGTTTCACTGCGTCGGTAGGTTACATGATAGCTCGTATGAAGAAAACATCTTACTGAAATGGATGTTGTTACTTGAGGGGGTTGGTAATTACTGTGCACAGGGTAATCAGACACCGATCTCTTGCAGGGAAAGACGACCTGGATCTGAGTGGCGTGACCGTGAGTCCTACAGGGCAAGCAGTTACAGGTGAGGATTAGGTGTGCTCTTTACCGGGTTTGGCGGTGAGGTGGCCCAGCGGTAAAAGCGTTCGCTCGTTACGCGGAAGACCCGGGTTCGATTCACTACAGGGTTACATTGTGTTAAGCCCATTTCTTTAAACATAGGATAAGTTTCCAGAACGTAGCTGGATTATTCAGGCTGTCCCAGAGGGTTCCAGATTACTCTTTGTCTTCCAGTCTAGATATCACTGCCCACTGCTCAATCTGAAACCATGTTGTACAAATACAACACACGGAATAATAGGACCTGTAACTCTCTACTTACAGTAATAGATTTCCGGTGACATACATGTATTCAAGAGTCAGTTTTGCTTCCAAATTTGCTCGACGCAGAATATAACTTCACTAGACTGGACTAAGTGTACAACCACGCTTGGCTGCACAGCTGTTGACAGATATACACGTGCTATTCATGCAACATAGCCCAAGTGGTTTTGTAGCCTGTTGTATGTTATAGTTTTCTGAGTCAGACAGCGTGTGCAGGGTGTGATTTAGCCAGGACATGCCCCTTGTAACAGCGCTATTGTCATTGCCGTAAAACATTGTTTGTCACCGGAAGTACTAAAGTCTCGCAAAGTACCGTGGCCTACTTACGGGCCCTATACTGGCACATGACATCAGGTGATGAAGACAACCACCCTTGTTTCCTTGTGATGTGTACGAGGTATGTTTCACGGGTAACACTGACAGAGATTCAGATAAATAGGATGAATTCAGAGATGCAGATAAATAGGATGAATTCAGAGATGCAAATAAATAGGATGAATTCAGAGATGCAGATAAATACGATGAATTCAGAGATGCAGATAAATAGGATGAATTCAGAGATGCAGATAAATAGGATGAATTCAGAGATGCAGATAAATAGGATGAATTCAGAGATGCAGATAAATAGGATGAATTCAGAGATGCAGATAAATAGGATGAATTCAGAGATGCAGATAAATAGGATGAATTCAGAGATGCAGATAAATAGGATGAATTCAGAGATGCAGATAAATAGGATGAATTCAGAGATACAGATAAATAGGATGAATTCAGAGATGCAGATAAAATTCAGATAAATAGGATGAATTCAGAGATCAGATAAATTCAGAGATGCAGATAAATAGGATGAATTCAGTTCAGTTGCTGTACCCGTCCTCCTCTATGTTGAGATACATGTCCATCATCTTTTGTGCATCGTTTGGCCAATTATCACAAAGCAGACCAGCAGATCCGTGAAGATCCGGGTTAGAATTGGTCTTCAGCAACCCATACTTGCCGAAAAGGCGACTAACGGGATCGGGTGGTTTGGCTTACTGACTTAGTTGACACATGTTATTGTATCCCAATTGCGTAGATCGATGCTCGATGTTGGTCACTGGTCCAGATTCAATTATGTACAGATTGTCGTCATTTTCACCCCTTATGAACATCGTTTGATGCTACACTTACATTTTATAATTGAACAGGCTTTTTTGGACCTTACATTCGCACCGTAAGTTATGAAACTTACCAACGTGTTGATAACATTGGATAGATGGGATTTTTTGCATTCAAATTTAATTTTTATGCTTTATTATGCTTAATAATATATGCTTTCCAACCAAACATTATTAGTAGCACGTTCTGGTTGTCCTGTAGAACTATGTTGTGAGATAGAATGTTTCAGATTTGTTTGAAGCAGTGATAAATAAATATCGCGTACATCACAACACATCACCTTCCCAGACTGCATTATAATGAATGTTCTCTGTTGCAGCTATGTGTCCCCCGACTCCGCCCGTGGGTGCAGTTCCTCCCCCGCACCTCCCGCCCATATAACGCTAGGACAAGCTCCCCGCCAGCATCTACAGCGCTGCATCTGCTCCATCAACCTGACAAGCAACTACCACACGTCAGATGCTACTACCGGTATTCCAAGACCTTCATTGTACTTGCGCTGTAATGTGTATCACGTGACAACTGTACAGACGGAATAGCTCATAGTGCATGTGTACAGATTGTATCACATGATGTTATGGATATGAGTGAATGGGGACAACGGAGTCTGACGTCATCAACTCGTCGGGAATATTAACCAATCAACGTTTGATATGAGAGTGAAAGGACCTGGAGGTCAATGAGACGTTGATGACAGCTGGTCCCTATTGAGACATATTGACCTAATAAACATGTTGTATTTGTATGTATAAACAACAAAGCCAGACTCCGGGGACTGCGCCTGCCACTTGTAGAACTAGTTGTGTGATGTGCAGTCACCTGAAACTTCAACAGCTGGGATGTCATAGGATTTCACAGTTGTGTTATTGTGTTTACGGCGGGGACTACAGGAGAGTTTCTGTCCAGGACCTGGATTTTCGAAGCTCTCTTAGCGCTAAGATAGTCATAAGTTAATGTTAATCTATGGCACTTACGACTTTGTTAACAATAACACTAAGAGAGCTTCGACTGTCTAGGCCCGGGTTGACAGTACAGATGTACATATACGTGAAACCCATATTGATTAAACAGATCCGCACTGTTTATGTTCAGTAACAATTGGTAATGTAATGCATGTAGAAGGCTTGTTTGTTGGTTAATGTCGCACTCAGCAATTAGTTAACTAAATCTGGATTACAAAATCCTCAAGTAGTTTGACTAAATCACTGAAGCGTTGTGCCGGAAGCTAATGAAGCATGTAGTTCAGCTAATGGCCCCGGTATCATGTATGGCTCAGTGTAAGGAAAGTATTAGAGTTGTTCTCATGTTGTAACATCACCATGTGATGATGGTTTGAACCATTTTTCTATTATTTTAATGTATGTATTTCGTGTCTCAGAAGTGAGAGTATGAAAATGAAATCTGTATCGTGATGCAGAGGTTAGTATTCTGTCGGTTCTTTCTCCATTCCCATCACCATGTTTCATATGCAGTGTATGCCTTTGTCCAACTGAATTACAACTCTGCTGACGGCAACTTGGGCGCAGATAGACTTCCGGTTGGCCAACGTAGCCCTTACACTATAAGACAAGAACCACCGCACAGACGTTCACCAGATGAAATTGTTCCATGTGCACAGGCAAAGTGCTTGGTAGAACTAGCATATGTATAAAACACCTAACATTTGTACTTCCTTCATTTAGTACAAACGAACAAACGTCCTCAATATGAACAACAATGAAACAAATGAACAATTGAATAGCGAACTATCTAGGTCTGACCAGGCACAATAACGAACTATCTGGGTCTGACCAGGCACAATAGCGAACCACCTGGGTCAGACAAGGCACAATAGCGAACCATCTGGGTATGACCAGGCACAATAGCGAACTATCTGGGTATGACCAGGCACAATAGCGAACTATCTGGGTATGACCAGGCACAATAACGAACCATCTGGGTCTGACCAGGCACAATAACGAACCATCTGGGTATGACCAGGCACAATAACGAACCATCTGGGTATGACCAGGCACAATAACGAACCATCTGGGTATGACCAGGCAACAATATCTGGGTCTGACCATCTGAACCATCTGGGTCTGACCAGGCACAATAACGAACCATCTGGGTCTGACCAGGCACACGAACCATCTGGGTCTGACCAGGCACAATAACGAACCATCTGGGTATGACCAGGCACAATAACGAACTATCTGGGTATGACCAGGCACAATAACGAACTATCTGGGTATGACCAGGCACAATAACGAACTATCTGGGTATGACCAGGCACAATAACGAACTATCTGGGTCTGTCCAGGCACAATAACGAACCATCTGGCGATGACCAGGCATAATAACGAACCATCTGGATACCAGCAGGCACAATAACGAACCATCTGGATCCCTTCAGGCACAGTAACGGTCTATCTGGATACTAGCGGGCACAGTAACGGTCTATCTGGATACTATCAGGCACACTAACGAACTATCTGGATGTCAGATACAAACAGCATATTAGCAGCATCCTTATTGTGGCTGGCATACATACAACATATCTAACATTTTTCACTGGATGTCGAAATACATGCGTTCTACTCATAGACATCATCCTCCATTACATCTCAGCAACCAGGCATCACATCAGCAACAACCCTTGATGAAACTCGACACACATGTAGTAGTTCATCGGTATTCTCAGTTGTTTAATCCGAGTCTTATCCAAGCTGTCGTGTTTCCTGGTTCTGACATCACACGTTCAATATTGAAAGTCCATGAGGAGTCCAATGACGTCTGACTAAATGGCATTGTGGGTCAGGTTCAGTGTGTACACACACAGTGTGACTGAATGGCATTGTGGGTCAGGTTCAGTGAGTACACATACAGTGTGACTGAATGGCATTGTGGGAGAGGTTCAGTGTGTACACAAACAGTGTGACCTATCAAGCCCAAGCAGTTGTCACGAAACAACAGTAGTTCCGTTATTGTACTGTTGGTATCTTATAGTCTCTGTGCAGTACCTGGCGAGGTGCTGGTGCTACACTGTCGGATTCAGATTCAGATTCTTTATTCTCCATAGGACCACCAAAGGTGGTATAAGGGTAAATTACAAGGTATAATAATACAGTACGATGTGCAAGATAGCAGTACATATAATGGGTACATCAAACATGATAGTGAGAGGTTATGACACTCGTGTTGCAATAATATTTATATATGTTGCAAGGGATTTCAGTTCCTTTCTTTTACTGGATGAAAAGAGTAATTTGAAAGAATGGAGGCTGGCAATTTGGGCATATTTAATTGGCAAAAGATTTTTTCTATGACCTTCAAGTGATGTACAGCGAAAAATGTAATGACATTCGTCTGCTATGGCTGATGAATTACAAAGGTTGCAGGTTCTATTTTCTTTTGGTGTATTGGTCCAGCGACCTTTTTCAATTGGTAGTTTATGATTTGTAGTTCTAAAGTTAAGTAAGAGATAGATTTTGGTAGATAAAGGTAACTTTCAAATTAGGTAATTTCTTGTAATATTTATAATAAAGGCCTTTTGAACTGTTAGTAACTGAACTGTTCCATAATTGAAAAAATTGATCACTGAGAATCGTATCGATCATACTAACCAACCACTGTCTGTCATATAGACTTGGCATCAGTAATACATATGAAAGACCACATTTGTTTAATATTGATTCAATGTGGCTAACCCAAGAAGATTGATATTTGGAAGATACATCTGATGTGATCAAAGTTAACAGATCACACGATAGTTTTTGCGTTCCTGACACTTGTTATGCCAGTCGCTTATCATTCTTTAAGCAATCGGAATTGTTAATGGTTTTCTGCCTAGCTCGCCATACACCATAAAGTTAGGTGTAGACATTTTAAGACCTGATGCTAACTTCAAAAACTTCAGATGTACCTTTTCAAGAATATTTATATTTGAATTTGAATACCCCAAGTTTCTGCACCATACAAAAGAATTGGGAGTATCATGATATCGAAGGCTTTAATCGTACAGTGAAGTGGTAGATCAAGGTTACCAGCATTTCTTAAAAGTATATACATACATTTTGTGGCATTCACAGCTAATGATTTCAAACCGAAGGTAAATTTTCTATTTTTGTGAAATACAAATCCACGATAACAATAATGGTCAACAATCTCAATTTCTTTTTTCTCAATGAAAAATGATAGCTTTCTAACTCTTCTTTTGCCACTTCCAAATGTGACCATTTTAGTCTAAACGATAGTAATGTCGAGTTTCCATTTGTCGCAGTATCTTTTGAAAGAGTTTAGTGAGTGTTGCAAAGATTTAGGGCTAGTGGCAATCAAGACTGTATAGTCAGCATGGAGTAGTAAACAACAACTGTACATATATCACAGCATTGTCTGTCAATCCAGAGACACTCACTTCCTCGCAATTCTCACTTGTCAGCCACATTTCAATGTCACTGAGGCATATAGAGAATAAAAATGGGGAAAGGTGTTCACCTTGTCGAACCTCTGAGTAACTATGGAAAATGTCTGATATATTATCATGAAAGTTGCACACATGATTTGCTATTCTGGTACATGTTTTTTTACTAGGGTGAGAAACCTACCACTTATTCCGTTATTGATTAGCTTGGACCAGAGTCCAACTCTCCAGACATTATCGAAAGCTTTGGAAAAATCTATAAAAGCACAGTAAAGTTTCTGTTTACTATGTTTCAGTATATCTGTTAGCAATGTCATTACATACATATTAACAATGGTCGAGCATGCAGCTCTAAAACCCGCTTGACACTTTGACACAATTGCGTTAGTTTCTAGATATTCTGTACGCCTATCATTGAGTATATCTGTAAATAGTTTACCCAGGCAGCACAGGATGGTTATAGGGCGTCTGTTGTGTCTGTTTTCGCATCTTTACCTTTATAGATTAGTTTGATGATCCCTGTTAACCATTGTTCGGGGATAATGGCGGTAATGCCTTGTTCTTTATTTTATTTTCTTTATTTTTATTTTGTTTTGATTCATTCATTAATGTCCTAATGTCTGCTCCATAGAATTAAGTCAAGGTAATAATGAATTATATGCGGAGAAGCATTGACATAGGCCATATGGCCTGTTTGCTAATCCTATTTCCATTTTCTTATGTTGTGTACTATGAAAAATGTAAACATTTAATGGAAATAAAATACTGTTTAAATCATAATGCCGGTAACAATTATGAGATTGAACAGATTTACAAGGCAAGGGTCTACTATATTTACTGAATCAATGATGAAGTCATTTTCGATTTGGTCTAATCCTGCAGCTTTGCTTCGGTTAAGTTTTTTAACTACTTTTATCAGTTCTTCTAAGGTGAAATCCTTATTAAGTATATCATTATCAACTTCGGATTTGGGATTACTATGTTCAACATCATCAGAATGTCGGTTCGAAGTTAAGTGTTTATAGACTGAATGAAATTCGTCAAGACTTGGTGTATCTTAATTGCTGGTATTTGTCCGTTTTTTGCTGAGAGCGCGCCAGAATTCTTATGCGCTTTGAATATGTTGTTCTCTTAACATCTTACAAACATTTCTTTGTGTTTTCGTAAATGCTTTTTCATACACTTTTTTAAATTCTTTACTAGCATGCCGTAAGTACGAATGATTTAGGAAGCTTTTATTTCTTCGGAAACGCTGGAGTAGTTCGCCCTGCAGTTAGATGCGTGGGAGAGACGGCGGTCGTGCTCCATCAGCTGGCGGAACCTGGGGGGGTACAGCTGACAACAGAGAAAAACAATGAGATATTCCAATGTACAAGTAGTTTTGCTGATGGATTTCCCATTGCATATTATAAGCTGAGTAGTGTTTGTCAGAGACAATAACTGTTGCAAAGGCTTACAAATCCAACGCATTTATGTCATTCAAGAATCGTGTTTTTACCTTTAATTGAAAAGTCTTTAATAGGTTCACCTGTAATTGGCAAGCATACTTTAGGAATATCTGTAATTGACAACCCTGCATCAGGTTTACCTGTAACTGACAAGCCAACTGTTACTGACAAAACTACACCAGGCTTACCTGTAATTGACAATCCTACATCAGGTTGTAAAGACGTGAGAAGTTATGGATGTCAACTTCTTTATTATGAGGTAATATTAACTGATGAAGGACTAACGGGATCGGGTGGTCAGGCTCGCTGGGTTGGTTGACACATGTCATCGGTTCCCAATTGCGCGGTGGGCGAGCTGGGGGCGCGGTGGGCGAGCTGTCTAAGGCGCCAGGCTAGTGATCCAGCGAGGATGAGGTGTCGGGATCGAGCCCACCTGTGACCAGGTGTAAAAACTTTGGAGTCAGCTTTGTGTGCAGACTCTTTCCGCGTTGTCACAACCCCTAGTGTACAGTACACAATCCTGTGCACTTAAAAGAACCCACGAATCCTTTGGTATATGACCAGATGTTGGCCACATGAATACATGCAAACACCTAGTTGCGGGTACAGCAACGTGCAGTGAACTTGGACAAAGTACTGTGACTATGTGTCCCAGTCCACCCAGCTTGTTACCTGGGTTAATGGGTTCCTCGTTAGGATGAGACAGCCACAATAACTCGGTGCACCTAGTGGCTGCAGGAGTTGTATACTCCCCAGGGAGTTGACATTGATAATACGATGTACCGATCGAGGGGAAAAAGACCAGCGCCTTGAGCATGCACTAGCTGCCTGGATATGTGCGCTATATAAATATCCTATATGAGGTTTACCTTTAACTTTATCATCTTGTACGCCTTTCAGCTCCAAGTCGTCTCTTCCTGGAAGAAATTGGTTGTGTATCATTTTTGCTAGCTGAGTTGAAGTGCCTTAACAGCTTAAGTAGAGACACTAACTGGATGAATATATTTTGGTAAGATCTCAGGTCAAAGATTAGTTATCGTTGAGCCCGAAAATGGGTGTTATGGTCTGGTGTTTCAGTTGGCTCAAAATATTTATGGGGGGATTAGGATGATTAAGGGTGCAGCTCCTCCAGCTCAAACTATAGCTTGGTGAACTGTGGTCACGTGATGAGTGAACTCTGTTTAATGAGTGTCACAAGCATGAATGTTTACTCAATTTAGAAAACTTTGATTGAAGTCAATCAGTTTGTTGAATTTGTGAATAATGACTCAATTTGTCAGACGACTTTGATTAAAACCAATCAATGGGGCCATAAATAAGACTGACATCTTTAGTTAACATGTCAAGATGGCAAACATCAATGTTCAGATACAGTTCTTTCAAACATCTTTATATACTCTCCCAAAAAAGAAACGCATCGTGAGCAATTTCATGTAGCATTGAATTAAAACGTGATTCATTTTACAAAAGGTTTTGCTCTGTTTATGAGTCCTATGGTCTTTATGTTTTGAAACATCACAACAAAACGCACCATCCGTGAAATACCCGTATTTAACAGCATGATTTTCAATTTCGGCGTGTAGTGTCACAGAATACACAATTCACATGCAGTGCGTGAAAGTTGGGGATCAGATAGTCTCAATGATGGGTATAAATGGTTGATCGCTGTCTGTCGATTATTCACTGTATTTGGAATATTGTTGACGAACAAAAAATGCCATGTCTAAATGAAGCCAACCGTCATATCGCCATTGGTTTGCTTGAAGCTGGCCAGTCTCAACGTGCAGTTGCCCGACGCATGAATGTTCACCAAAGCACCATTCAGGGCTCTGTGGGAGAGATATCGCCGTCAGAATGCGGTAGCAGATGCCCCTCGTAGTGGGCGACCTCGAGCGAGCACTGCGACGCAGGATCGCTACATCCGGGTACATCACCTACGGCGACCAGTACCGCTCGACAAATACCCGGATTGAGGAGGCTTTCTGCACAGACCGTCAGGAACAGGTTGAGAGAGGCTGGTTTACGTGCCAGAAGACCTTATTTTGGCCCTGTGCTTCGACAACAACATCGTCGACATCGAGTTGAATGGTTCACCAACGTTCAGGGCTGCAACCTACCGAATTGGCGTAGAATCTGGTTCAGTGATGAATCACGATTTCTATTGGAACGTCGCGATGGAAGAATGCGGGTGTACAGACGTCGACGTGAACGTTTCGCCGACGCTTGCGTTCCCCAGGTGGACAGATTCGTCCGGGGCGGTGTTATGATGTGGGGAGCGATCACCTGCTGTAAGAGAAGTGATTTGGTGATGATCCAGGGCAACCTGACAGCTCAACGGTACTGTGACGAAATCCTACGCCCACACCTCCTTCCAATCATTGATCGCCAGAGGGAGTCATTTCAACAGGACAATGCCAGGCCCCACACAGCACGTCACACTATAGACTTCCTCCAGAACCACAACATCAATGTGCTCCCCTGGCCCTCAAGAGCACCGGACTTAAACCCGATCGAACATCCGTGGGATGCCCCGGACAGACGGGTGTGACGCAGTAACCCTCAGCCCCAGACACTTCAGCAACTCGCACAGGCACTACAGGCAGAGTGGGCTGCGATTGGGCAACACGAGATTCTGAGACTTATTCGTTCGATGCCGAGGCGATGCCGTGCAGTTCTCGATGCCCACGGAGGCCACACGAGGTATTGACTTCAGCGCCACCACACGTCTCCATGTCACACTCAAACTGACTTTCCTCATGCCAAAGACGGATAAGTCTGCATTCCCAGTGTGAAATTCCGCTATATTTCATTGACTCATAAAGCCTACAAGATGTTTCAAAATAAACATAAAAGTACAGTTGAAATTCCTATATGCGTTTCTTTTTTGGGAGAGTATATTATGATTTTATTGTTTTTGAAGATATTTTACAGACTATTCAGAAAACTGAACAAAGGTTACAATTCAACAAGCATATGATTTACAAATTATTTGAACAGTTCATGACATGAAGACCAAAACTTATAAAAGGCGTTGATATTACACTCCATTAAAGAAGAGCACTTTGTTATCATATAATAATGTCTAATTTCATTCTGGAAAGCATGAAAAGGTGGCACACTGTTTTTTAATCCGCTTCCAAAAATTAGGTTTTTAAAGATAATAATAATAATAATATTGAGGGGATCATTGTTTTTGTCTGGGAAACCAAGCAATACTTGTTTTTTTTAAATTATTTTGATATTGATAAGAGCTTCATGATTTAGCCAGATTTCAAGTTTTTGCCAGATATGGTTAACTCTACTGCAAGACCACAAAATGTGATCAAGTGTCTCATTGTCGTCTTGGCAGAAGCTGCATTTTGAATGATTTGTATAGCCAATCTTTAATAGCTTTATATTTGTCAGTAAGATGCGATGTAATATTCTATATTGGAACCATTGTAGTTTGCTGTCACTGGTGCATCTAAATGGCATTTTGTTATAAGTTTTCCAGTCGACAGATAAGGCTTCGTTGTTTAAAATAGGTTGCTCCCATTTTTGACAATGTAAATTGATTGCAGCACACACAAGGTTGCCCAGCAACATAAAACACTCATACAATTTGATTAACTCAAACTCATGTGCCCATTACAATTATAACATTTTCATCTACATCCTGTCTATCCAGATACTGCATACCGGCAACACATGTCACTTTTATGACTGTATATGCCACCTCAAATGGAATTAAAATAACAGATTTATAAAACAAAAACTAATCCCCCTTTAGAAATTCCAATTATGAGTTTAGTCCCACTCTGTTTTACAATTCAGTTTTGAGCTGGCTGAGATCAAACCATTAAGGTGACTTACCTGAGTACGATACGAGTGCACCACCTGGATAATAGAGATCATTGCCTAAAATTAACTCAGTGAGTGCAATTCCTACTGGCATGACGAGTTTACACCAAGACTTCCTCTGATTGGGATTTGTGAATAATTACTCAATTTATGAGACGTCTTTGATTAAAACCAATCAATGGGGCTATAAAAAAGACTTGCAGCTTCTTTTAACATGACAAAATGGCAAACGTCAATGTTCAGATAGAGTTCTTTCCAACATCTAATGGTGGTCGAATATTATACATGTTTGTTTTCAATATACCAAAAAGAACAGTTACCAAGATACTATTGGCGATGTAAGGAGCATACACAGGGTTGTCCAGCAACATAAAGCACTCATAAATTTGACTTACTCAAACTAATGTGGCCATAACATTTCCATCCAGCTCCTGTCAATCTATATACTGTATACCCTCATATGTACATACAATTATGTTTAATACATTGATGATATTAGCTGCCAACACATATCACTTTTGTGCCTGTACGGGCAACTTCAAATGGAATACAAAAGATTTAAAAAACCAAAACTAATCCCCCTTTAGAAATTCCAATTAAGAGTTTAGTCTCACTCTGTTACACAATCTAGTTTGGAGCTGTCTGAGATCAAACCGTTATGGTGACTTACCTGACAACATGGTGCATTCCGCTGATGACACGGAGGAGCCTTCATCATCTGGATAATAGAAAGCAACGTATCTACAACATCTGCACCTTCACACAGGTTGTCACGGTTCTTGCCGTCACTTTCCAGGTTCTCTTTTCACTCATCATTGCCTAAAATTAACTCAGTGATTGCGATCCCTACTGGCATGACGAGTTTACACCAAGACTTCCTCTGATTGGGATTTGTGAATAATTACTCAATTTATGAGACGTCTTTGATATAAACCAATCAATGGAGCTATAAAAAAGACTGACAGCTTCTTTTAACATGACAAAATGGCAAACAACAATGTTCAGATAGAGTTCTTTCCAACATCTAATGGTGGTCGAATATTATACATGTTTGTTTTCAATATACCAAAATGAACAGTTACAAAGATACTATTGGCGATGTAAGCAGCATACACAGGGTTGTCCAGCAACATAAAGCACTCATAAATTTGACTTACTCAAACTACTGTGGCCATAACATTTTCATCCAGCTCCTGTCAATCTACATACTGTATACCCTCATATGTATATACAATTATGTTTAATACATTGATGATATTAACTGCCAACACATGTCACTTTTCTGCCTGTACGGGCAACTTCAAATGGAATACAAAAGATTTAAAAAAACAAAATTAATCCCCCTTTAGAAATTCCAATTAAGAGTTTAGTCTCACTCTGTTACACAATCTAGTTTGGAGCTGTCTGAGATCAAACCGTTATGGTGACTTACCTGTGAACATAGTGCAATTCCCATATACCACGGGGAGTTGAGGGGGATAAATGCAATGATCGTTGTTGTGTTCATCATCTGGATAATAGGAAGCAACGTATCTACAACATCTGCACCTTCACACAGGTTGTCACGGTTCTTGCCGTCACTTTCCAGGTTCTCTTTTCACTCATCACTGCTAAAATTAACTCAGTGATTGCGATCCCTACTGGCATGACGAGTTTACACCAAGACTTCCTCTGATTAGGATTTGTGAATAATTACTCAATTTATGAGACGTCTTTGATAAAAACCAATCAATGGAGCTATAAAAAAGACTGGCAGCTTCTTTTAACATGACAAAATGGCAAACGTCAATGTTCAGATAGAGTTCTTTCCAACATCTAATGGTGGTCGAATATTATACATGTTTGTTTTCAATATACCAAAAAGAACAGTTACAATGATACTATTGGCGATGTAAGCAGCATACACAGGGTTGTCCAGCAACATAAAGCACTCATAAATTTGACTTACTCAAACTAATGTGGCCATAACATTTCCATCCAGCTCCTGTCAATCTACATACTGTATACCCTCATATGTATATACAATTATGTTTAATACATTGATGATATTAACTGCCAACACATATCACTTTTGTGCCTGTACGGGCAACTTCAAATGGAATACAAAAGATTTAAAAAACCAAAACTAACCCCCCTTTAGAAATTCCAATTATGAGTTTAGTCTCACTCTGTTACACAATCTAGTTTGGAGCTGTCTGAGATCAAACCGTTATGGTGACTTACCTGACATAATGAAGTAATGACATTCGGGTGCTATGGGGAGTGGAGGAAGATGATTGGAATGATACTCGATGCATTCATCATCTGGATAATAGAAAGCAACGTATCTACAACATCTGCACCTTCACACAGGTTGTCACGGTTCTTGCCGTCACTTTCCAGGTTCTCTTTTCACTCATCATTGCCTAAAATTAACTCAGTGATTGCGATCCCTACTGGCATGACGAGTTTACACCAAGACTTCCTCTGATTAGGATTTGTGAATAATTACTCAATTTATGAGACGTCTTTGATAAAAACCAATCAATGGAGCTATAAAAAAGACTGGCAGCTTCTTTTAACATGACAAAATGGCAAACGTCAATGTTCAGATAGAGTTCTTTCCAACATCTAATGGTGGTCGAATATTATACATGTTTGTTTTCAATATACCAAAAAGAACAGTTACCAAGATACTATTGGCGATGTAAGGAGCATACACAGGGTTGTCCAGCAACATAAAGCACTCATAAATTTGACTTACTCAAACTAATGTGGCCATAACATTTCCATCCAGCTCCTGTCAATCTATATACTGTATACCCTCATATGTACATACAATTATGTTTAATACATTGATGATATTAACTGCCAACACATATCACTTTTCTGCCTGTACGGGCAACTTCAAATGGAATACAAAAGATTTAAAAAACCAAAACTAATCCCCCTTTAGAAATTCCAATTAAGAGTTTAGTCTCACTCTGTTACACAATCTAGTTTGGAGCTGTCTGAGATCAAACCGTTATGGTGACTTACCTGACAACATGGTGCATTCCGCCAAGGCGTGTTGAGGGGATCAATGGAAGGATGGAGCCTTCATCATCTGGATAATAGAAAGCAACGTATCTACAACATCTGCACCTTCACACAGGTTGTCACGGTTCTTGCCGTCACTTTCCAGGTTCTCTTTTCACTGACCATTGCCTAAAATGAACTCAGTGATTGCGATCCCTACTGGCATGACGAGTTTACACCAAGACTTCCTCTGATTGGGATTTGTGAATAATTACTCAATTTATGAGACGTCTTTGATTAAAACCAATCAATGGAGCTATAAAAAAGACTGGCAGCTTCTTTTAACATGACAAAATGGCAAACGTCAATGTTCAGATAGAGTTCTTTCCAACATCTAATGGTGGTCGAATATTATACGTGTTTGTTTTCAATATACCAAAAAGAACAGTTACAAAGATACTATTGGCGATGTAAGGAGCATACACAGGGTTGTCCAGCAACATAAAGCACTCATAAATTTGACTTACTCAAACTAATGTGGCCATAACATTTCCATCCAGCTCCTGTCAATCTATATACTGTATACCCTCATATGTACATACAATTATGTTTAATACATTGATGATATTAACTGCCAACACATATCACTTTTCTGCCTGTACGGGCAACTTCAAATGGAATACAAAAGATTTAAAAATCCAAAACTAATCCCCCTTTAGAAATTCCAATTATGAGTTTAGTCTCACTCTGTTACACAATCTAGTTTGGAGCTGTCTGAGATCAAACCGTTATGGTGACTTACCTGACAACATGAAGTAATGACATTCGGGTGCCATGGAGAGTAGAGGGAGATGATTGGAATGATACTCGATGCATTCATCATCTGGATAATAGAAAGCAACGTATCTACAACATCTGCACCTTCACACAGGTTGTCACGGTTCTTGCCGTCACTTTCCAGGTTCTCTTTTCACTCATCATTGCCTAAAATTAACTCAGTGATTGCGATCCCTACTGGCATGACGAGTTTACACCAAGACTTCCTCTGATTAGGATTTGTGAATAATTACTCAATTTATGAGACGTCTTTGATAAAAACCAATCAATGGAGCTATAAAAAAGACTGGCAGCTTCTTTTAACATGACAAAATGGCAAACGTCAATGTTCAGATAGAGTTCTTTCCAACATCTAATGGTGGTCGAATATTATACATGTTTGTTTTCAATATACCAAAAAGAACAGTTACAAAGATACTATTGGTGATCTAAGCAGCATACACAGGGTTGTCCAGCAACATAAAGCACTCATATATTTGACTTACTCAAACTACTGTGGCCATAACATTTTCATCCAGCTCCTGTCAATCTACATACTGTATACCCTCATATGTATATACAATTATGTTTAATACATTGATGATATTAACTGCCAACACATGTCACTTTTCTGCCTGTACGGGCAACTTCAAATGGAATACAAAAGATTTACAAAACCAAAACAAATTCCCCTTTAGAAATTCCAATTATGAGTTTAGTCCCACTCTGTTTTACAATTCAGTTTTGAGCTGGCTGAGATCAAACCATTATGGTGACTTACCTGAGTACACGGTGCCATGCATGGATTCCAAGGCGTGTTGAGGGGGATCAATGGAAGGATGCTCGCTGCATTCATCATCTGGATAATAGAAAGCAACGTATCTACAACATCTGCACCTTCACACAGGTTGTCACGGTTCTTGCTGTCACTTTCCAGGTTCTATTTTCACTGATCATTGCCTAAAATTAACTCAGTGATTGCAATCCCTACTGGCATGACGAGTTTACACCAAGACTTCCTCTGATTGGGATTTGTGAATAATTACTCAATTTATGAGACGTCTTTGATTAAAACCAATCAATGGAGCTATAAAAAGACTGGCAGCTTCTTTTAACATGACAAAATGGCAAACGTCAATGTTCAGATAGAGTTCTTTCCAACATCTAATGGTGGTCGAATATTATACATGTTTGTTTTCAATATACCAAAAGAACAGTTACAATGATACTATTGGCGATGTAAGCAGCATACACAGGGTTGTCCAGCAACATAAAGCACTCATAAATTTGACTTACTCAAACTAATGTGCCCATAACATTTCCATCCAGCTCCTGTCAATCTATATACTGTATACCCTCATATGTATATACAATTATGTTTAATACATTGATGATATTAACTGCCAACACATGTCACTTTTCTGCCTGTACGGGCAACTTCAAATTGAATACAAAAGATTTAAAAACCAAAACTAATCCCCTTTAGAAATTCCAATTATGAGTTTAGTCCGACTCTGTTACACAATCTAGTTTGGAGCTGTCTGAGATCAAACCATTATGGTGACTTACCCGAGTACACGGTGCCATTCACGGATTCCAAGGAAACGAGGGGGATCAATGGAATGATGCTCGATGCATTCATCATCTGGATAATAGAAAGCAACGTATCTACAACATCTGCACCTTCACACAGGTTGTCACGGTTCTTGCCGTCACTTTCCAGGTTCTCTTTTCACTGATCATTGCCTAAAATTAACTCAGTGATTGCAATCCCTACTGGCATGACTAGTTTACACCAAGACTTCCTCTGATTGGGATTTGTGAATAATTACTCAATTTATGAGACGTCTTGGATTAAAACCAATCAATGGAGCTATAAAAGACTGGCAGCTTCTTTTAACATGACAGAATGGCAAACGTCAATGTTCAGATAGAGTTCTTTCCAACATCTAATGGTGGTCGAATATTATACATGTTTGTTTTCAATATACCAAAAGAACAGTTACAAAGATACTATTGGTGATCTAAGCAGCATACACAGGGTTGTCCAGCAACATAAAGCACTCATATATTTGACTTACTCAAACTACTGTGGTCATAACATTTTCATCCAGCTCCTGTCAATCTACATACTGTATACCCTCATATGTATATACAATTATGTTTAATACATTGATGATATTAACTGCCAACACATGTCACTTTTCTGCCTGTACGGGCAACTTCAAATGGAATACAAAAGATTTACAAAACCAAAACAAATTCCCCTTTAGAAATTCCAATTAAGAGTTTAGTCCGACTATAAATCTTAAAATATGTTTTCCCAAGTTTGTTACTGTAAAGTGTAGAATTAACTGAGATGAATTGGTTACCTAAAGAAATTACTGTTTTATCGGAAGCAAACATATAACATAAATATGCACGAATTCTAAGAATGACTCATATATACTCGGCATTAATGATCGGTCAAGCGATTGGTAACACTATTTCTTAAAAGTTGTAAAATCTTCGTTTTTGTTTGAAATATACTGAACATCATTGAAAACGCACCAGTCTAAAATTGTCCATATTGTCATCAAAATGGATTTCAGCATGACAATCATCATTGAATATAACTAGCATGAAGTCGAAGGGCATGTCCAGTTGAAAAAATGCTTTACAAACAAATTCCTGTCCACAGTATGACTCTCCATTCTAAAATGCATCAACATGCAGCCACGCCATGAAAAAGCGCGAATTTCATTCTGAAATCATACTGACCGTGACATTAAAAGCAGGTGTATGAGAACAGATTCTCATTGCTTCACTAACGATTGTGACACGAGGACAGAGATGCCGAGGTTAACACCTCACGAAGGAAGGAAAACGTGCACTAGGCATGATTCAGGTACAATTGGCACCAGCAGCAGGGATATTGCTCGACAACTTGGACTTGGCCACTCCACCATCGTTAGGCTTCATAGACGACATCAATAGACAGGCAGCACCCGTGACCTTCAATGACCTTGGCAACAACGTGTTACGACGCTCCATCAGGATCGCCATATTGACCTTGTCCATATCAGTGATTGAACATTGCCGACTGCCAGAACTGCTGCACCGGTTCAAGGTTGACGTGGGGGTCATCAGCGCTGACTCTATGCGACGCCGTCTACACGCTACAGGGCTCCATGCTCGACGTCCTTACGTTGGACCAATTCTGACTGACAGACACCGTAATGAGCGTATACAATGGGCTAGCAGGCATTTTCAGTAAAGGTTACAACAATGGCATGGTGTGGTGGTCACTGACGAGTCACGTCTTCATCTACGTAATGCTGACGGCCGATTACGTCTTTGGCGTAGACGTGGTGAACGTTATGCTGATGAGTGTGTGGTTCAGACAGACCTTTGGGTGGTGGGAGTGTCATGGTCTGGGGTGGAATATATTACAATCACAGGACTGCCTTCATGTCTGTCAAGGGAGAGTTAATGCCCTTTATTACCGTGAGCAGATTCTTCAGAATCACATCGCATCTGTCTTCAATCACCACCCAGATGTCCATAGTTTTCAACAGAACAACGCACGGGCACACAAAACAAGACTTTCCATGCAGTATCTGGCCCAGCAACACATCCAGGTTATTCATTGGCCAGCACAGTCGCCAGATGTATCCCCATGAAGCACTTGTTGGACGAAATTGGTCATGGTCTTTCGCGGCGACAACAGATGAGAAACTTGAGGCTGCCTACTGCAGAAGTGGAACTCAAGAACTCTACGTGCTTATCGAATCAATGAGGAGACGTTGAACCTTTAATGCAAATGGCGGTGCGTTTTTGATCAATGATTATCCACTTCAGTAATATATTTATAAGTGGTGCGTTTTCAATGATGTTCAGTATATATACAACTGAATGTTTTACAAACTTTCTTAACAGTATGAAAAAATCACATCAGGCTGCTGAAGTACGCTCTTTAACGTCCGATACATTCTGTTACAACTGGCACACTTTTTATTCAAATGGTCAATATGGAAATCCACCTGCCACTCAATGTCAATGATTTGCACGTGCAAGTCGCTATATCCATGGAAAGTGAGGACAATATACATGCATTGATGCTTTTTCACTTTCGTTCACTGTTCAGGTACCTGTTTGAAATCGCAGCTTAAAATAAGACGTTTTTGACACTTGCTGAAAGGAGTCAGGCTATAGGCCTCTTTTAATCTGGTCAAACTCAGCTGCAGATTGCTGTCCGCTTTAATGTGAGTCAGAATGCTATTGGTAAACTGTGGCAGAGATTTCAAGCCAATGGGTCCGTGGAATATTCACGTGGACCAGGTCGACCCAGAGTCACAACAGTCCGAGATGATAGGCATATGATCTTCAGACAGGACACTTCAATGTTAAGGATATCCACGGGCACCGTTCGTCATCGTTTAAGGGCAGCCAATCTACGCTGTAGGCGACATGCAGTTCGTCCACCACTAACACCACGTCACAGGCGCGTTTGAGATGGAGTAGACATCATGGCTGCTGGAATAAACGTCAATGGTCTCGTGTGCTCTTCGCAGATGAAAGCAGATTCAATTTGACCTTCCATGATGGTCAGCAGAGAATTTATCTTCGCAATGGAGAGCGATTCACAGATGCAACTGTGGCCACGCTTAACTGATGGTCGGTCATGGTTTGGACAGGGAAACTGCCTACTGGACGTACTCCACTGCACGAGGTCGACGGTAATCTTACTGGACAGAGTTATCGGGACGAGCTTCTGACTCCTATAGCAGTACCATTCCTGCAAGTTATGCATGGCTTTCGTGGTCGACCTTCTTTACTGCAAGACGACAACGCTAGGCCCCATAGAGCCAGGATTGTTATGGAATGCCATAGACAGATTGAGTGGCCAGCATACTTATGCTCGCCAGACCTGAACCCAATTGAGCACGCCTGGGATGAACTCGGTCGACTTGTGTACAGACGTCACCCAGCACCAATGGACTTCCCAGGACTCCGCAGAGCTCTAGTAGAGGAATGGAATGCGATTCCGCAAGCTTTCTTTATGAACTTGATAAGGAGCATGAGAACAAGGTGCTCCTGTGTCTTGGGCGCATTCAATTGTGTTTTGATGTTTCTCCAAATACTTATGAAATAAATATTTTACTAGAACAGATGTGATGTCACACCTTCTAGACTATTCTTTACCAGCGCAATGAGGTCAATTTGGTCCAAAAGTAATGAGGTCAATTTGGACCCAAAGGCCCGTCGCGTGCTTAAATTAGGTCACACACCTGCAAATTGAGATCACACGCCTCCGACAAAAGGTAGGTCAATGTGGACCCAAAGTAACCCATGTACTACTGCCGTTCGTATGATGGTAAAACGTAATACAAGACAAATCTTATGGATAACAACTTCTTGGTATATTTTTCACAACGTTTCTTGGCAAGTTCTTGTCCCTTCTTCAGGTGAGTAATGGTGATAGTGAACAGTACAGTATATATATATAGATGTACAGGAAGCCGGATGTGTAAATCGAGTATATACAAGGGAAAAGGAGATGTACAAACAATGCAGTGAGATCAAAGGGCAGAATACAATGATAGGGTATGATTTGACAATAAGGGCAAGGGTGTGTTTACATAGCCGAGTGGTTAAAGCAGATTGAGTTTGAGAGTCTATGTTTTCTGGGTGATGAACCAGGCGCTGGGTAGGTAAATTCCTTGATCTCTGTTGATCTCATGCACTAATCTTCTTTTGTTGATTGACTCACAAAGTTTTCTTTTGCACCAATTGCTGATGTTGGAAGCCAGGATTTCGGTATGTTGCCAGTTGATAGAGTGGTTGGGATTGTTAACGATGTGTTCTGAGAGGGCAGATTTGTGATCAGACTTTCCAACTGAAGTTTTATGTTCTTTTCTCTTATGTTGAAGGGCCAACATGTTTCTCCAATATAGCTGCTCCCACAATCACAACTAATTTTGTAGATACATCCATAGTAAAACATGTTTCCCGTTGTGTTAGAAATATAGCTTGGAGAGATTATGTTATGTGGCTATTCAGAAGACATCATACAACATATAGTTAGTACTTACAAACAGTTCTCTTCCAACGTCTGTTTAACAGAAACACGACGACAACGACGATGATGATGATGACAACTACAGGCACACATACAGCTATGGCTATGACGTATTTCATGTCAATGTTTCCGGGTTTTTTTCCAGTGCAGGAGTCAACCTCTGCAAAGATTAAAAACAATATGCAGTCAATACTGTAGATACTGTTCAATACTCATACTCTACACCATATGAAACAATCAACCACTAAGCAATGTCAACCTCTACAGTTTACGCTCACTGACAGGTCCTTCTATAACGTAAACATTTTTACTGGGAAAAGTAAAAGAGTAAACATATAAAGAGCAAAACACAACCAGTGTCTTCTGTCAGATATACACAAAGCACCTGTATCACAATCGGTATGAGACTGACCTGGTTTTCTGGTCTGGCGAAATCTAAACATAGGCGGATCCACGGGTGGGATGCAGGGGTCAGTGAGTCAGAACTTAACAGGAGCAGGGTTAAACGTCTGCCATGAAAGACAAATAATTACTACATCATGTTCAGGAGACCAGTCCACATCTTGAGCATCGAACCATGGGATACGATGATGTAGTTTCTATATACATTTGTTTTGCCCTTGTTTTCACGTTGTAATCTTCTGCAGTTTCCGGAAGTTGTCGGAAACATGAATTTCAAATCACAAACAAATACAAAATTTTCGTAATTATAAATCTTTCTAATCTATTTATCATTAGAAATTATATGTTCCATTAACGTTAATCAAACTTTTAGGTGTTTGATGTAAAAAGATATAAAATCTTTTCCCATAGTGCAGTTCGCTGTTGTTCCATTTCGCGCCATCACCTCTCAGATGTAGCGCAGTTTTCAAGCAGACAGTCAATCATTTCTTCTGCTAGTCGCAACAGTTTCAATGTGAGTACATGCTCTTGGCTCGTAGTGTTTTGCTTGTATGTTCACAATCATGTTCATGTTCATGATCGCAAAGAGTTACCTGCCTTCCCTCTTTGTGCAGTGTTTTGTTTACAAATGTTTCTGATTCCCTCTCCTCAATTATATTCATAAACTATGCCATTTCTATGCACAGTTGTTGGAATTATATTGTATTTTACAGCATAATAACGTTTATTATTATTGTACTAAGTATAATTATTGTTTTGATATTAGGACTAGTTGGTCCGTGCCCTGGGTCATGTGACCACTGACCGCTGCTGAAAGGAGTGTTCTTGTCTCCTGGGGGTGAGTTAAAGGGGCAGTTCTGTACATCATCATTTTCATAATTATTAACATTAATTGCATTTTGTAATTCTCAGCCGTAAGCGTAACACGTCTCATAGGATATTTTGTATTGTAATAAGATTCATGTGTAGAGATGGGTTTGAATGTTACTGATATTTTCAGCCATGTTAATTAATCAACATCTGTCCATGTACATTTCATCTATTGTTCTTAAAGTCAAGAGTGATGTTATATTATTGATTGATCATATGTAATACTTTTGCTTGTCAACATCAATAAGTAGTAATTATCATGTCCATTGTATTTGAATTATAGTATGATTTGTTGATAAGATTATGTATCTCCGCATGTCCTGACAGACTGCCTTGTCCTTTGTTGTAGGTTTTTCATGGATTCACCCAATCCACAATGAACAATAAAGTCTATCAATAGAATATCCAACTCTTTGTATTCCTTCCCCGCTTACAGTTATAAACTTTGCACATAGCTAGGTATTCGGCCTCGATTGTCAGCTTTGTGGTATGCTATATAAGTGACCGACAGTGCTCCAAACCAGCCGATCCTGCTGCACGCACCCTATGACAATGAAAAAGAATTGTAACCCGGATCTTCACCGGGACTAACAATGTATGATAATCAGCAGGTCGAAAACTTCTTTTCCATAAGGACACAGAACCGGAAGAGTTTTTGTTGGTTTTTTTTTGGTTGGTTTTTGTTTTATTGTTCCCTTTGTGATGAGTACAAAAACATGATGAGTACAAGCAATGGAGGAATATGTGCACATAGCAGCTAGTGGGCTCAATAGCGATATAGTACACTAAGTACATTGAATATCAATGTTAGTGATATGTTTTTTGTTAAATAGTCATTCAGGGTTAAATTCAGGGATGAGAGCAAACCATTTGACTAAAAAGCTTTCAACATTATTATTTCTTCTGGAGATGAATGATTCAGTGGTAAATATGTCTTTCAATATCCTTAAGTAATTATCAACTTTTGGAATTGTTTTTGTCAAAGAGCAAGTGTAAATATAGTTGCAGGCAACGACGAGGTCTCCTTGGCTTTACTTTCTATCTATTGTATCTGAGGGCTAGATATCACCGTCCAAAACGGAGCCAGAACACGTGTTTTGACAGGTGAGCGGATCTTCCAAATACAGCCGGGGTCACGGGGGTGATGTACCTTTTAGGTAGTTCCGGAGAAGAAATAGTTCCCTCTTTAAAAGGCTGTATCTCAGTTGTTCTTGGGTCTACGTTCAAAACAATTAGTGTTCTGGAATCACTAGGACATCATCTACCATTTGCACATTTTTGGAGCAAACTACTAAGAAAAGTGCTGAAAAACATGGCCAAAAACTGAAAACAAAAATAACTGCCAAACGGTACGGTTTAGCGACTTGACCCGTCCGGGCAAAATTGTTGGGAATTCGATTGTGCATCTGTACAAGAAATTTGGAAGTGTTGGAACAATTAGTTCTTGAGATATTTGCTGTCCAACGTTGAAATTTTGTTGAAAATTTGAATTATCTCCCCTTTTACTTATGGGCCAAGAGCCTAGAGATGTTTAAGGGGAATATCTACACCTCGATGCGCATCTGATCGATTTTTTGTAAGTGATTCGGAGCATTGGTTTAGGAGTTATGTTTGGTACAAAAATCGGCGGAATAATAAATAATAATAATAATCCGAACGATTACAATAGGTCTCCTGCCTAGAGGCAAGGAGCTCTAAATATATCTCTTAGCAGATAAGATTATGTGGTTCAATAATGGGTTCTTACCTAAAAAGTCAAACCAAATCAAAGATTTTGTCAAATTAAGTGTTTGGATGCGTTTCGTAAACCACTGTTCAAGTTGCTTCCAGAAAGTATTGGTTTCATCATATTCCCAATATACATGGCATAAGGTTTCAACAGAATCATTACACAAAGAACATATTGTATTGTCCACCAGATTCATTCTAAAAAGTTCTTTTTTGGTATAAACAATTCCGTGCAGAAATTTATATTGAAAATCACATCTCTTAAATTCTTCCAACAAGTATGAAAAATCAAATGCCAATCAAAATCAATACAGTCAAATAATGTTTCCCATTTTTGGCACATGTGAGGTTTAACATTTTCAGATAACAATTTATCATAGAATAATCTTGAACCTTTTTTGGGGGATATGAAATCCCTTTGGAGTGATTTTATTGTGAGGTCATTAATGTTTATATATCTATATTCCTTTAAAGTCTTTTTCCAAGGTTCAGGTAAAATATATATAACATATCCAAATTGCAAGATCTAAATGAGTACCTTTTATATCAAATTTAAGCTTCAATTGATCAACCCATGTTCATCACAAAGATCTTTGATCGTCAAGATTCCACTTTTAGCCCAGTGACTAATGATGTGATATGAGTTTTTGAAATTGTTATTCAACCATAAAGGTTGGGCTAAGATTTCATTAATGTTCTTTGCATCTATGGTATTTCTTATGCAATATAATTTCCATGCTTTTAATACGTCTTTCCAAAAAGGATTATCAACTACAACTATATTCTGAAAATTTGCTCCATATTTTAGCATATCCTTAAAAGGAAAATTGCATGGGTTACCAGGATTTGGTTTTTTAAAGTATAGTTTGAGTGTAGATAATTTCATGGCATTAACAAAGGTTTTAATATCAATCATCCGTAGGCCCCCATTTTGTAATCTTTCTTTAAAGTGCTCCGTTTGATTTTGTCATTTTTGTCATTCCAGATGAATTTAAAAAATACTCTCTCAAGCGTGGTGAGAAAATCATCTGGAGGGTTAGGTAAAGTGTTAAAAATATGAACTAATTTTGAAAGAGCCAATGTCTTAATAACAGTAATTTTCCCTATCAGCGTCAAATGTCTTTTTCTCCAAGTTGCCAGTAATCTATTAATTTCTTCTAGTCTTTTCTTTGTGTTAATAACCCATAAATCATTCAAATCTGGAGTAAATTTAACTCCTTATACTTCAAATTGTTTTTTTTGCCATTTTATATTCAAATCTTGACATAGTATATCCCTGCTACCAGCTTTTGAGCCAATCCAGATTGCTTTAGTCTTATCTATGTTTATCTTTAGTCCTGACATGTTGTAAAATGTATTAAGTGTGTCTATAGAAGAATACAAGTTTTCATCTGAGCCATCCAAAAATAATTCAGTGTCATCTGCATATTGACCTAATTTGTATTCTTGATCATCAATTACAATACCCTTTATAGTTTGATGTTGCCTTATCATACATCCTAGGATTTCAGCAACAAAAAGAAATAGATATGGAGATATGGGATCCCCTTGCCTACAACCCCGTTGATTTTGGAAGAATAACACATGAAGTTGTGTCATATGTAAAGACGTTAATCCAACACCAAATTTTATTAGGACAGAATTGATAAAATCCTTAGAGACTGTGTCAAATGCTTTTTCGAAATCGATCAAAATTAATAAACCTGTCATGTCTCTTTTCTTAGTTTCAAACATAATATCATATAATAGTCTTGTGTTTTCACTTAATGTTCTGCCAGGTATAAATCCAGTCTGGTTGTTATGTATCAGGGAATCAAGGGTAGTTTTTAACGGATTTGAGATACATGCGCTTATTAATTTATACAGAGTAATAAAGTAATTGGTCTCCAGTTCTTCAATAAGTTCCAATTTCTATAAGCTTTAGGTATTCATGGTAAGAGACATCATATTTCGTTTTGATACATCTTTGATAAATCTGAAAATCCAGACCTTTAGTTCTTTCCAGAAGAATTTAAAGAAATCAATTGGAAATCCATCTATACCTGGGCTTTTGTTATTTTTCATACTTTTTATTGCCAATGATATTTAATTTATGTCTAATTCTTTTTCCAATTTGTTGGCAGAATAAGCTGCCATCTATCTTAAGTTTGATATCTGAGTCATTCACATTCTCAACATAAGAGTCAATATCTGAGTATTCTTTGGTCGTCTCCTTTAAGATTGATCTGACTAAATCAGCATTATCGGGATTTAAGAGTAAAGAAGTAATGAATTTCCAGTAACACCCTCCTCTTTTTTTGATTAATAGTGTTTGAGAAAGTAAAACTAATAGCTGAATGGTCTGTTTTATAGCCAGGTATGATGTCAGCATCAAGTGACTGATTAAACATGTCCTGCGAAATTAAAAACAAGTCCAATCTTGCTTGCTGTCTAGGTTTTTTTTTCCAACATGTATATTTTCTTAAATCGGGATTTAGTTCCCGCCAGATATCAATAAGATCTAAGGATTCAATTTTGTCTAAAACTATATCTCTGGCCTTGGGGTTGTTAATATTTTTGTAATTTTCCAAATCATTGGAAGGATCCAGAACCAGATTCCAGTCAGAAAACAATAGCCACGGATTCATTATCAAAATTACAGATGTTTTCAAATAATTTTAAATATAAATTGGGATCATCAATATAAGGTCCATATAAATTGGTAAGGGTAAATCGTTTATCATCTACGGTTACATCTGCAATAATATAATTACCGTTTTCATCCTCTAGTGTTCTATTTATAGTGAGATCGATGTCATTATTGAAGAGTATAGCTACTCCTCTAGAGTTAAATCTAAATGGTGCAATTATACTTTGCAATCCCCATTCATTTTTCACTCTGTTAATATCTTCTTTAGTGACATGGATGTCTTGTAAACAGATTACAGAATAAGCTTTTTTCTTAAATAAATTCATCACTTCCTTTCTTTTGCTTTTGTCAGCTCAGCCTCTACATTTAGCTGAAATCATTTTGATTTTCTTTGTCTTATCCACAGTGCTACAAGTGAAGGCGAGATTTGTACTGGAATGTTGGGAACAAAGTTTTTTTTAATAAGAAAAATAGCGAGGTGAGAGAAAGATACAATGCAATGAAAAAATTGGAATATTGTTACAGAAGAATGCAAAATTTGTACCGTATTGGAAACAAAAATTGTATGCATAGGAAAATAAAGAAGAAAGGGAGAGATAAAAACAATGAAAAGGACGACATAGATGCTTGTGTGTAGGAACAAAGTAAAAATAATTTTTTAAAAAAATGAAAAAAAGAAAAGAAATTTGAGTTAGAAACCAAGAAAAAGGGTGGACTTCTCCACCTCTCTTCCAAACCCAGCTATTATTCGTAATCATTGACATGCACATATATTGTTCATCATTCAATAAGGAAAAGAAGTTAGCGTAATGATAGGATAAAAATGTACCGGCTATGATAACCTCGTTCGTGCGGTATAAAAGCATAACAAATGGGATAATGTATAGATTACGGACAAAATTATTCAACTTAAATTAGATTCAGATGTAAATAGTAACTAACGTGAAGAGTCCTATCGACTGCAACATCCGGTATTGTGAGCGGATATGCGCACTGAACGTCAGCTAAAGATAGCAAAGCACGTGTATTTTGTGCATAGACATAACAATAGCTTTCACAAATCAGGGAAACAGATGGGAAGTTTCATAGATACAACACTCATTAACTCATAACAGTAAATAACTGTAGTAACTCACTTGGAGAGCCCTACCAACTACAGCACAGAGACTACGTAAACATCCGGCATTTTAGGCGGATATGCGCACGAGTATGTCAGCTAAAAATAGCAAAACACGTGTATCTTGTGTGTAAACATTGCCATAGATTTCGCCGAACTGGGAAGCAGACTGAGTTCAGTGTCATAGTTACAACCCGCATTAGCTGCTGATAACTATACATTTATACTCTCAAACGCCCGATAAGAGTTGGGGCAGTCCAATCCTCAAAGTAAACAAAAGTCAAACTCTCAAAGAATGTAGTAACACACGTGAAGAGCCCTACCGACTACAGCACAGAGACTACGTAAACATCCGGCATTGTGAGCGGATATGCGCACTGGATGTCCGCTAAAAAAACAACAACATCAAAGCATGTATCCAGGGTAGAATATCAGAAGCCCAGTGGCCCCCTCTCATTAAGCAAATTAAGAAATTGAACACTATCACTGGTCAGTGAGATGCCATTGTCTCTGGGCAATACTCATAATAGTGACAGCGGGAAGGAGGTCACTAAGAGATGAGCAGCCGTCCCACGCTAATCAGGCACACATGCTGTCCCCTAAATATAGTACTGGACAAGGGATCAAACAATAGCCCCTGATCAGCAGTACACTGGACAAAGGACACTTTGGCCAAGTCATCCCACATATAAACTAACACATCGAGCAAAGTGCATTTTGGCTAGTAATTTCCATGTCCAGATATAATGCCAAAGACTGTACCCGTCTCTGGGTGCCCAGATTTAAAAAGGAAATGATTATGCTCCCACCATCCACCACCACCCCCGCCCCGCGCATTCACCACTGCCAAACACCGTCTCCTCATCGACTGCCTGATGCTTGTGAACACGTGGTTGGGGATTCTGCACCATTGCTCTTGCAAGGCAGCGCCAAGTTCCTGCAAATTCTGAGGTTGGTTCCTAAGACCACGAAGCCCTTCTCCCAAGTGCATATCAAACGTGCTCTATTGGTTTAAGGTCAGGGTACCTCGATGGCCAGTCCATGACATTGATTCCAGCGTTTTGAAGGAAATTTCGTGTCAACATCGCGGTATGCAGCCGAGCATTATCATGCTGGAACTGTAGACCTGGGCCTTGAGCGGCCATGAAAGGAACGAGTTCAGGGGTGAGCACCTGGTCACGGTAAGCAGCAGCTGTGAGGTTTCCACGGATGACCAGAAGTCGAGAACGGTTGTTCTCACAGAAAGCACCTCACACCATGCAACTTCCGCCCCGGAATCTCTCGACTTCTTGTACACAACATTGGGCTTACCGTTCACGACGTCGTCTCCAGACTCTATGCCTGCCGTCCGCGAATCTGAGGGTAAACCTGGATTCATCGCTAAAGACGACTCGATTCCAGTCTCTCTGGGTCCATCTGAGGTGACGTTGGGCCCACAGCAGACGTTGACGTTGATGAAACGGCGTCAATATTGGCCCACGATATGGATGTCGAGAATGGAGATTGGCAGCCCGCAACCGATTTCGAATGGTCTGTGAGGACAGTCGACCTGTAAACATCTCAGCCCTGGTTCGTGTAGCCGGCAGAAATCTGTCACGTAGGTGACGTAGGACGATTTGATGGTCTTCTGCTCGTGACGTCACACGTCGACGACCCGACCTTGGGCGATCAGAGGTGGTGCCAGTTTATTGTAGACGACGTCGCAAGTCATACACAGTACGACGGCTGCATCCCATTGCTCTTGCGACGTCAGTAACTGATCTTCCCGCTTGCAACATGCCAACGGCACGTTCACGTTGCACATTTGACAATCGTGGCATTTCAAGTACCGTTAGAAATGGCCAATGCAAACACGTGCATATAAAGAAAACTTCGATGCGAAGATTACGTGATCGACTGCACGTGCAAAACCTGATTTGGCACTAATGTCATTTGCACGACGAATGGATGGGTTTGAGTGGGTTTTGCTAACGTTTTTCTAGAGTCGAAAGATAGGGATTCCATTTCAGACACATAGATGTATCATCAGAGAAAAATTATTCATTATTTTTCAAATTACATTTTGTGAAGTTTCTTTTTGACTCAGTATACATCATTGAATTCCGCAAACACTTTACACACCATCATATTTCTGTTAGGTCCCATTATATCTAAGTGGAATGTAATTGTAGCTGTAACACAGCTATACAGTGAAAATCTGTTACGAGGGTCAAGCTACTATGGGGATGGTCCCGTATACAGGAAACAGCGTGATTATTCGGACAGTCACGATCTAGGACGTCTAGGACGTTTAAAAAAGGTCGTACGAAAAATGGCAGAAGTTGTAGAAGCACTTTTTAACCATATAGCAGTACAATTAGGAAAGCTACCGGAAACCATAATGGCCGGTATAGGGCCACTGTCAGCAATGGTAGAATCACAAATGGGACAACTGGCACAGGCGATAACTTCGCAGGGTTTATCGCAATATGTCCAGCCATTTGAAGGAGATCCTAAGAAATTTAAAGAGTGGATAAAGTCCCTTGATAAGTATGTGAGCTTGGCGGGCATCCCAGTGGATAGGATAAGATTAGTGGCTTTTCAGAGTAGTTGGGGACCAGTAAGCGATTTCTTACAGAGATATATACAGGATAACCCAGGCTGTACATGGGCAGTGGTTAAGAAAGAACTAACGTCACGTTTCGCCGAGGTGACAGACCCTCAGTATGCATTTGCGCTATTACAAAAACTAAGGCAACGCCAAGATGAAACTGTTCAGGTGTTCGCCGAAAGGCTATTAGCCATAGCGGAAGAGGCTTATGTGGAACAAGGGCAAGCGAGTAATAGTGCAGTTGAACGCCAACTGATAGGATTTTTTGTTGAAGGCTTGAGACACGATTATTTAAAGATTAAAATTATGAGGGATAACCCGAATAGTTTTGCTGAGGCAGTTACTACTCGAATGAAAGAGCAGAATTTAAGGAAACGATTCGACTTAAGGCTAGGAAAAAGACATATTTTGATACCACCACTTTGTATGAAATTAAAGGAAATGGGGAAGACTATATCAATTCTGAGCCAGGTTTAATGCTAGGGAATTCTGTCGGCAAACTGAATAAGAAAGGAGAAATCCCGGTAATGATAGTAAATAACACAAATAAAACCTTTCGGCTAAACAAGAGATGTATCATGGGGAAAATGGAAGCACATGCAGGAAATTTGAGATTAGCTAAAATAGATCATTGGGAAATTCCACAATCAGGAAACACTAGGGCCCGTCGAAAAGCAACTTTGGTAGTATCCCCAGAAAGCAGTGAAACCGACAGTGGTGATGACAGTGACACACCTCTAGATAAGATAGCTAGGAGATACAGTAAAGAAAGAGATGACTCTTCCGACGGAGACGATATTCCCCTCATGGAATTATCTAGACGTATGAGGAGTCCGTTGCAACAAGCACATTCTGAAAGTAATGCTGAAATAACAAACAAAAGGGTAAGAATTGCTGGACCCACAAAACATGACCCTATTCTTAGCAATGATGAGTATAGTGATGAACTAGATGACGCAGACCCTGAATTGATGGAGATCAATGTTATTGAAGGTAATAGGCAACGCACAGAAACAGACGGTCACAAAGAACACAACGCAAAGACTAACGATTACTGGAGGCAATTGTAGGCCTTTTGTAATCTTGAATCATCCTGGGAATGGGATGTAGGAAACGAAAAGGAATGATAGGTTATTTTGTTGTTATCTCTGTTCACAGGAACATGACAGCAACAGTAATCTCCTTTCTCCTAGGGTTAACCATGGTTAATTCATTGCTAATCCGTGAAAATGTAGTATTCCAGAAAGTAAAGGACATTTCTATTATGAGGTCAAATTGGCTGGTGACGTTTGTCATAGACTTAGAACCCTATAAACAGCTTATTGACAAGCTAGAAACAGATATAGAGGGTGTTGAAAGAGTTACAAGTAGTATAATAACTCGCAGCTATAATCCCAAGAAGAAGGATATTTTTGTATTATTCAGTGGTTTAAGCAGTGATATTTCATCACTAAAAGCTACACAAGTAAAGCTGAAGGAAATGTTCCAGGACATTCAGACTTTAAGTAGAGGTAGATCTAAGCGATCCGTATTGCCATTTGTGGGGAAAGCATTGAGTTTTCTGTTCGGCACAGTCTCGAAAGAAGACCTGGAAGCAATACACAAAAATGTGGAAATTTTATTTAAGAATCACAAAGCTTTAACTGATGTTGTCGAAGAAAGTCTATCCATATTGAACACTTCTAGGGTTGAGATTTCAGAAAATAGGCATATGATCAATGAACTGGCAGTTGACCTACACCAAGTAGATATGAAGTTCCTTAATATCACGAGAACTTTGGAAGACAAAATGCTAAAGTTTGAGCATTACGTGATAGTGTATCTGGGATGTTCTCTGGTCGTGGGAGAAATTCGGGAAATTATTGAGAAAACGATTTTTTATCTACAACATCTTCAGTTACAGTTAAACATCCTGGCACTAGGAAGATTGACACCTAGTACTATCACCCCTTCTAATCTGAAGAAATTACTTCTTGACATGAGTACCCACGGTACAATTGCCAGGAGATCCGAGTAAAGAGTTATGGAGTTTTTATAGGACCCTACAAAGTTCTGAGCATAAAATCTTAGTGATCTTGAAAATTCCCTTATTAGATGTTAATGGGAAATATGAAATTTATAAGGTACATAATCTACCAGTACCGAGGTTTATAGAGAAACTACAGACTAACGAATTAGGTGACATGGTTGCACAATACCAGCTCGAAGCCGAGTCGCTTGCGGTAAATGTTGAGCAAACCAAATTCGTATTACCAACCTCAGAAGTATTAGAAATATGCACTAAGCCGGTAACTAGTTACTGTTCTATTAAAAGTCCTGTTTATCCTATAAACCTAAGTAAGCTGTGTATAACTACTTATTCGTGAACAGAAAAGTTTACTTTGAAAACAAATGCAAAGCCATTATCAGGTTAAATTCTGTCTTGCCTTTAGCAGAATATCTGTCAGATGGCGTATGGGTGGTAACAACAATGACAAAACTAACCTTCTCAGTAATTTGCCATGATAATGCAGCGGTAGCCTCGACGGTCATTGTTGAACCGCCATTGGGCATAGTCAGGCTTAATATGGGTTGTTACACCTCGAATGATCACATAACCTGAAGTGCCTTTGGGGAGTGATACGGGACAGGCGTCCTAACGTGTATATAAATTGGGGGTCTACCACAGTGCAATCAGTGAATGGCATGGATTCCCCAGTTGCACAGAGGAATATCGGCTGATATTCCCCCTTAAAGAAGTGGAGTGGGTCCACTGAAGTTAAAGAACTCTTGTTGACCTTTTAATCCTTGGAGAGAAAATGGTGTACATAATGGTCAAACATGGGTACATAAATCGGTGTGGTGAGCGGGACTGCTGATAAACCCCGTGGACCAACATAATCTCGATACAATAGATGCGAGGACACTGACTGTTGTGTACATATATTGTACAATCACTAGATCTATGGTTGTATTAATGATATGAATTGTTGTTAATAGATCTGTGATTGTATTGGTAACATAAATATGAATTTGTACTGATAATAGATCCATGATGGTATTTCATAATGTAGATGTGTTGATGCCTATATTATGCATATAAACAAACTGTGATTGGCTCGGAAGTGGTTATCAGCTCTGAAATTGGCTCAGATGGAACTTTCGGTTCTGAAGAAATCTCCTCCGGATATTTCTTATTAGGAGGGGGCGAGTGTAACACAGCTATGCAGTGAAAAACTGTTACGAGGGTCAAGCTACCATGGGGACGTATACAGGAAACAGCGTGATTATTCGGACAGTTACGATCTATGACCCTCAGTTAAGAGAGATTTGTAAAATGACAAATACGGGTCCACATTATATCCTAACTTCCATTTATGTACATGTTTATAATGACACTAATTGATTTTATCTACCATGTCCATCATTTAAATTCACTGCGTAACTGGACTATATCATAACTTCCATGTATGTCCATTTTATAACACCACTATTTCATTGTTTTCCCATTATGTCCATCACTTCATAAAACTAAATGTGATAGATAATGGCACCAAATTTACGCTTGTAACTCACATGTCAATACTGTACTCCACTGACATTGTAATCTCCATTCATACGTAACATAATTGTACCTCAGGGTTGGTCACGGTCATTGGTCGCATTCTCCACGTAAGGACGTGAGGTCACGTCATTACGATACGACGGGGAAGTATATCCAGGGTAGAATATCAGAAGCCCAGTGGCCCCCTCTCATTAAGCAAATTAAGAAATTGAACACTATCACTGGTCAGTGAGATGCCATTGTCTCTGGGCAATACTCATAATAGTGACAGCGGGAAGGAGGTCACTAAGAGATGAGCAGCCGTCCCACGCTAATCAGGCAGACATGCTGTCCCCTAAATATAGTACTGGACAAGGGATCAAACAATAGCCCCTGATCAGCAGTACACTGGACAAAGGACACTTTGGCCAAGTCATCCCACATATCAAATAACACATCGAGCAAAGTGCATTTTGGCCAGTAATTTCCATGTCCAGATATAATGATTAAAGGCCTAATTGGGATTAAGGGCAAATGGGGAGAGCGAAGACTCATCACTGACCAGATGCGAAGGGGGGCCAAAGACAAAGGACCAAGAATGACCAACCCTGGGTATATAACGGTACAGGCACCAGGGCTAGGGAGAGAGGCTGCAGAGAAGGTCGTGACTACGCCTGAAAGTGTAGCACTGAATAAAGAGTTGTGGACCCGCAGACAGACTTGTGTTGTTCATGCAAGGACATCCACTAGAGAGAAACAGCACGCTCATCTCTAAGTGCGATACATGTGTACCTTGTGTATACATTACGATAGGTTTCACCGATGTGGGAAACAGGTTAACTTCAATTTCCTAGTTACAACACTGAGATCATTATCATAGTTACAAAAGTAATTAGCTGCTGATAACTATACATTTATACTCACAAACGCCCGATATGAGTTGGGACAGTCAAATCCTCAAAGTTAACAAAAGTCAAACTCTCAAAGAAAGTAGTAACACACGTGAAGAGCCCTAGTGACAACAGCACAGAGACTACGTAAACATCCGGCTTTGTGAGCGGATATGCGCACTAGTATGTCAGCTACAAATAGCAAAACACGTGTATCTTGTGTATAAATATTGCCACAGATCGAAGCGGGGAACAGGCTGAGTTCAGTTTCATAGTTACAACACTCATTAGCTGCTGATAGCAGTACATTTTACACTCATAAACACCCGATAAGAGTTGGAACAGTCCAATTCTCGAGTTAACAAAAGTCAAACTCTGAAATAAAGTAGTAACTCAGTTGAAAACCGATACATCTTACCAACAGTAGAATGAGCTGATATTCTGAATGTGTCGATACATCGATAATATGTCCACCTGTCCCAACTCTATGGCATAACATTCTCAATGAGTTGAGCTCCGTTTTTTCCTATATATGGGTGGTTATGTACACAAGCCTGGCTGTACATGATTGTGCTACAGAATATTTCTGAGACCATACATGTGACTGTTTATCAAATATTGTATATTACAGTGAGTGATTTTTATATTTGAGTCTGGATAGGACAATCCAGTGACGAACAGCATGAGCATCGATCTACGCAATTGAGTCAGCGAAAGGGTTAGTGAGACCTGATCACCCGATTACATTAGTTGCCTCTAGCTTGTGAGATAGGTGTTTATAAGACAGGTGCTTGTACAAGCATGGGTTGATGAGACTGCTGTAGATCAAATCTAATCAGGTTTTTCACAGGTTGTAAATACAAATCAAACAGTATATAGTATTAGTTTAATACTTTTCGTCGGTTTCATGCAGCCTCTGTGACAGTGTTCGCGGTGCACGGTACACATTGCCAGTGGTTAATGCTTTGTATCGTTTTGTTATCACGGTGCCTAATATAATAACTAGTGACAGCTCTCATCGGGTCTGACTGGAATAATGATATGATTTAATCAGTTGAAACCAGGAACTGGCATGAAAACATACACATGACAATAACAAAATTATTTATCCAATTTCATGCTTTGTTTGTTTTGAACTTATTATCATTACAGTTAGTAAAGGTAGTAGGATTAAGCTGCATCTACAGGGTTACACTGACATAGCAGGAAGCCATCACAGAAATGTACGTTTTGTATCAAATCATATCTTTTAAAGATAAAACATACATGTATTCATTTTGGTTTACAGATTTGATCTTAGAATATTCAGTACACACTTAATTTGACAGGTTTTGCTGGGGTCCCGCCTCCCTCATGAGGTAACTGGGAAATGTGGGTGTGAATGAACCGAAATAGTTACCTAACGCATTGACGTTAGTAGAGTGGACAGTCTATGAACATTATGTCAAGAATTTCTAAAATTTAAGAAACGCTCATCACGTATATAATATTATTGTTTCCACTGACAGGTGACCAATATGTATATATTTAATGCTGATGGTCATGTGTGTGTTATCATTCCTATAGAAGCGGTACTCGGGTTAGAAATGTGTGATGATCTCGGTGTGTTTATCCCGTCAAAAACAGAAGGTAAGGATAATGACAATATAAGGTCATGATGACACAGGACGACAATATGACCACTTAACGACTTATGAAGACCACACGACGGCACAGAGAGACCAAATGACCACATAACGTCACATGAGAACCACACGACGAGGCAGGCCGACCATGTGACCACTTAACGACACATGAGGACCACATCAAGAGACCACACGACGAGACAGGCCGACCATGTGACCACTTAACGACACATGAGGACCACATCAAGAGACCACACGACGAGACAGGTCGACCATGTGACTACTTAACGACACATGAGGACCACATCAAGAGACCACACGACGAGACAGGCCGGCCATGTGACCACTTAACGACACATGAGGACCACATCAAGAGACCACACGACGAGACAGGACGACCATGTGACTACTTAACGGCACATGAGGACCACATCAAGAGACCACACGACGAGACAGGCCGACCATGTGACCACCTAACGACACATGAGGACCACATCAAGAGACCACACGACGAGACAGGACGACTACGTGACTACTTAACGACACATGAGGACCACATCAAGAGACCACACGACGAGACAGGCCGACCATGTGACCACCTAACGACACATGAGGACCACATCAAGAGACCACACGACGAGACAGGCCGACCATGTGACCACTTAACGATACATAAGAACCACATGAAGAGACCACACGAGGAGACAGGCCGACCAGAAAATAAGTATAAATTGGCTCATTTGAAAATGCACATTCTTGGATATCCGCCTCACACACATATTCGTCTTTGAAGTACTCATTCAATGGACTAAACTCTGACATAACTCATATTAGGGGCGGATCACCATGTCCCTAATGCCCTGAATCTGCATATAAACCCGATGGTCGAGATCCATTCCTGCATGAGAAAACATTTGCACTTTCAAATTGATCTTTGACGAATAATGACAATTATTATGGATATACAATTTATATTTGTTCTGAGGAGGCGACGTTTTGACATAGGTTCTTATGTCGTTGTCAATCAAGTGATGACATTAGAACCTATGTCGAAACGTCGCCTTCACAGAATAAAAGAATTTGTATATCCATAATAATTGTCATTAATCTTCATCAACTCAACTTCTAAAATGCCCATCATAGATGATCTTTGACGTTGAATTCAGCACTCATCTGAATTTAAATGTTGTGGTTAATATAGAGTGAGGAAAAGGTCCTACTTTCAAAAAGTAAAACCTTAAAATAGGTCCTACTTACAAAAAGTAAAACCTGTGAGCAAATTAAAACCACAATGTGGTTATTCCGGGAAAAGAAGCCATGTCTAATATATAGTGAGAAGCACCCTTCAGGTTTATGTTGCAAAAGTGTAATCCGTAGTATAACATGTGTTCCATGCTTATTGACTCTGCTCTTGGGTGGATTTGTTGTGAACAGTGGTACCTGTGCTAAGTAACTTGGTCCCCATGTCGCGCTGTTATACTCCGAATACCTGCAGTGCAACAGTGGTACCTGTGCTAAGTAACTTGGTCCCCATATCGCGCTGTTATACTCCCAATACCTGCAGTGCAACAGTGGTACCTGTGCTAAGTAACTTGGTCCCCATGTCGCGCTGTTATACTTCGAATACCTGCAGTGCAACAACTCATTGTGGTATAGCCGTCGCGTTGGTGTCTCCAAGCCGTTGTGTTGCATGCACACTCCGCCCCACTCGCTTGGGAATGGCGAGCAATATGATGTAAACAGGAAAAACAGTATAAAGGAGCAGTAGCAATATTGCAAGATTTACTAAATAGAAATATAGGAGTTTTTTCACAGAAATAATGACAAACATGATCCCATCTCATCAGGCCTTCTTCGGTAAATTCGTCGCAATGAAATAAGATTTTGACTACTGGCTAGCTGAGTAGCTACCCACCACCACACTCCACACCCCCTCCCCCACCCAGAATATATTTCCTGTTAAGTATTATAATCTCAGCGGGATATGATTCAAGTACTCAGGGGTGTTTGCGAGACATGTGCTTGTGAGATAAATGATGGCGAGGCAGGTGCTTGTGAGGCTTGGGGCTGTGAGATAAGCGTTGCTGTGATAGGTGTTCGTGAGATAGGTATTGTGAGGTAGACGTTGATGAGACATGTGCTTGTGAGATAGGTGTTGCTGGTATAAATGAATGAATGAATGAATGGATGGATGAATGAATACTCTTTATTTCCCCCAATGATTTGGAGAGTACATTAGATTATATTACTTGTCAGTCGCACTGGCAATAGAGACAATGCATATGACAATTCAACAGGGTTTTCACAACGAAGACAAATATGGAGAGCCGTATTTACATGGTGTGTGACATAATTTCACAGATATAACACACACCTTAAGTTCCATGAGCTGACATTTTTAGCCACGATGCTCATGAATGTTGCCCAGCTGTCAAGTGTCATATCATGGACCACATCCGTAATGGCAACGAGGTATGTCATGACCTTAGCTTCATCACTAGCAGTGTCCTCGAGTCTGAGATAGGTGTCAAGGTTGAGGTTATCAAACAACGTCTCGCTTAGCACATTTCTTTGTTCAATGAGTCTTTCACAGTAAAGCAATTGATGCTTAACAATGTCCTCACTTTCGCAGTCACAGAGCAGACATTGTCCCGATGTTACAGGTAATATGCCGAGCTTAACCAGGGCATAAACAGGAGGAGATACCATACCATACACACAGATTCCAGAGACGATGTGGAGCAAGCTGGGTGTGAATATCACTAAACATATCATGACGTTGTTGCAAAGTGTTTCTCCATTTCATATTTTCAAATCTACACAAGGTTCGTTCGACTGTGCTTTCCCATATACTTTTACATGGGAATTCTCCGGTTTTGATAAATTTGTCTAGTACGCCTGATAATCCATATTTCTTGGCTACGTTTAATAGATCATGTGTTATGGATCTGGTACTATGTGTGGTAGTGGTGGCATACTGGCACAGCCTCAGATAGAAGATCGGCTTCACAATGGTTGTGCCGGCTGCTCTACAGAGTCGTCCTAGGAAGAGAAGCTTCATCTTGTCTATTGTGCCCAGCATTGTCCATAATCCAAGGACCTGGATTGTAGCACCTGTAGACGACCTCTTGTGGAGATTCTGGACTCGCCGTGCAAAGTACCGTTGCAAAGTTTCCATTTCGATGATTTCACAATTGCTGATATTTGGCAAGATTATTAGCTTATTCACCTTGTTTCCAGAAAAACATTTAGGCAACCAAGTTGTCTACTACGTACAACAAGCATGGGTGAAAGGTATACTCCATTGTTATAACAAGGACAGCTGTATAACGGGGACATTGAGGAGCAACAGTCCCGCCTGCCTGATAGCCATAAATACAGCGTGGTCGAGGAATCTCGGTAACCTAGTTTAGTGAGACAACATTAACCGCCATCTCTCGTGTGTACCACTTAACAGTAGGGTTGGGAGACATAGGATATCCCAGCAATTTGTGGTAGGTGTGTTTTACTTGTCATCTTGTGACGTTTGTCTTTATTTACAACCCTGGAGTATTCCACCAGTATATCTGAGAGTCAAGTTCCTGGAACCACGTGGTGTCAGCCGACATTACAACCCGTTGTGAGAACATGTCGGCGCGACATAGGTAACAGCACTGCGCTACGACAACACCATTCCAAGTAATCACCTATAAATGTACCTAAACACGTGCTTGTATTGATTAATTCAGTAATTCAGGATAGTGATAGCGGCTGAGGATTGTTTCTCAGCTGTGAAAGATGGGGTTTACCCGTTGACGTCATACATTAACAGGAGATTCACAGTTAATATTAGCGGACCCGTGATGGAATTGGAATCCCAATGACTAATGCATGTAAATGTTCTCAGAACATTAGGGAGGGTTATTTATGAAAACCAACGATACACCAACAGTATAACGATCTGATGTGCTGAATGTGTCAGTGCATCGATATAGTGTCTGCCTTTTACCTCGGGTTTTTTCCAATATTTGGGTGGTTATGTACACAGGTCTGGCTGTAAATGATTTATCAGTCTGTTGTGACTGCTGAGGTTATGCGATTGTGCGGTTTCTTACACCATTTCAAGTATTAAATTTCAATGTATATTGGTAATACCATTATGTGCTATAGAACATTGCTGGAAACAGCACATGTGACCGTTTACCAAATATCGTATATTACAAATCAAGAAGTATATAGTGTTAGTTTAATGCTTCGTAGGTTTCATGTTGCCTGTCACGGGGTTCACGGTGCACGGTACAAAGTACAAGTAGTTATTTTATAATGCTTTGCATCGTTTCGTTAACACGATCCCTAACCACAATATGTAACAACTGACAGCTCACAGGTCTGACTGGAATAATATTATGAAATTTTCAGTTGAAACCAGGAACTGTCATGAAAACATTGACATGACAATAACAAAATTATTGATCAAATGTCATGCTTTTGAAACTGTTTTGACTTGAACTTGTTATCAATACAATTAGCAAAGTGAGGGAGTGAGTGAGTTTAGTTTTACGCCGCTTTTAGCAATATTCCATCAATATCACGCCGGGGGACATCAGAAATGATTTTCACACATTGTACCCTAATGGGGAATCGAACCCAGGTTTTCGGCGTGACGGGCGAATGCTTTATAACCACTAGGCTACCCCCTCGCCCTTAGCAAAGGAACATGGCAGTGGTATCAAGCTGCATCTACAGGGGTAAACTTACATAGCAGGAAGCCATCACTGTAATGTATGTGGTATATCAAATCATATATTTTATAAAAGATATTCATTTTGGTTTACAGACTTGATCTTATTCAGTACACACTTAATTTCACAGGTTTTCCACAATTGTGTCTTGGGTTCCGTCTCCCTCATGGAGTAAGTGTGGGTGTGAATGAGCCCTTCAATAGTTACCTAACTGACGTTAGTGGAGGCTACTGACCACACAACTGACAACGGTGAATCTGAATGATGTAGGGGACATATGCTTTCATTATGTGGAAAAGACTGTGTATACTGTTTTACATCTAGAAACCATCAGTCATGGAGACCGGTCTAGAGGACGCCATGGTCATGTTGGGTCAGTCAACTACCTTCAGTGTCACCCTCCACACTGAGCCGTCGGAGGAGGGACAGTGGACTTGGGATGACGTCACCTTGTCTCACTCCGACAAGTACCTCATCTCCGTGGACGGTAGACGTCGCCAGCTGGTGGTCACTGACACACAGCTCTGGGACGGTGGAAAGTATAGCTATACATTTAGAGACGAAAAGACAACTGCTAATTTATATTTAGGTAAGATCTAACATTCATAAAACTGAATTTCATACAACTATTATAGCTGCGGAAAATTCCGTAACAACCATTGAATATGAGGTCTTTTATATTACAAAGGTTAACATGGCATGTGCAACATCCGCGAAAACATTGAACATGTGACGAACCCTAAAAGATTCCTCGTACAGAAATTATGTCAAGAATTTCTAAAATTTAAGAAACGCTCATCACGTATATAATATTATTGTTTCCACTGACAGGTGACCAATATGTATATATTTAATGCTGATGGTCATGTGTGTGTTATCATTCCTATAGAAGCGGTACTCGGGTTAGAAGTGTGTGATGATCTCGGTGTGTTTATCCCGTCAAAAACAGAAGGTAAGGATAATGACAATATAAGGTCATGATGACACAGGACGACAATATGACCACTTAACGACTTATGAAGACCACACGACGGCACAGAGAGACCAAATGACCACATAACGTCACATGAGAACCACACGACGAGGCAGGCCGACTATGTGACCACTTAACGACACATGAGGACCACATCAAGAGACCACACGACGAGACAGGCCGACCATGTGACTACTTAACGACACATGAGGACCACATCAAGAGACCACACGACGAGACAGGTCCGACCATGTGACCACTTAACGACACATGAGGACCACATCAAGAGACCACACGACGAGACAGGCCGACCATGTGACCACTTAACGACACATGAGGACCACATCAAGAGACCACACGACGAGACAGGCCGACCATGTGACTACTTAACGACACATGAGGACCACATCAAGAGACCACACGACGAGACAGGCCGACCATGTGACCACTTAACGACACATGAGGACCACATCAAGAGACCACACGACGAGACAGGCCGACCATGTGACCACTTAACGACACATGAGGACCACATCAAGAGACCACACGACGAGACAGGCCGACCATGTGACCACTTAACGACACATGAGGACCACATCAAGAGACCACACGACGAGACAGGCCGACCATGTGACCACTTAACGACACATGAGGACCACATCAAGAGACCACACGACGAGACAGGCCGACCATGTGACCACTTAACGACACATGAGGACCACACGACGACACACAGAGATCAAATGACCACATACCGTCACATGAGAACCACACGACGAAGCAGGACGACCATGTGACCACTTAACGACACATGAGGACCACATCAAGAGACCACACGACGACCATGTGACTTGAGGCTAAGAGCACTTATTTCGTCACTGTCATATTTACATATAGCACGGTGTTCTGTATACATCACACAGAGCGAAGTAGCTGCTCGGCAAAGTGACGTTAAACCAAACTCCCCCTTTGAAATGCTACTTTCATTTTATCTCAGTCTTTAGAAAACAAAGATAAAAACAAATTACTTTTGTTTCAATAACACACAACCAGGTATAGAGCTTGGTCTGGAGAACCAGGAAGTGATGCTGGGAGGCTCGGCCACATTCAGGCTGAGGTTACGTGATGACACTGTGGAGGCCGGCGAGTGGACGAGTGATGACGTCACGCTGCGGGAAAACCCAGATCTGTGTCAGTGGCAGGGACCGTCACGTGACTGTCACAGATGTCCAGCGTCATGACGAGGGGGAATATACATACAGAGTTAGTGAGGAAATTACATCAGCCCAACTGTCAATCAATGAAGGTAGGAAAGTTGTTAACAAACTATCATTAAAATTTTGACACAGTTCACTATGTAGCGAGGAGTGCAGAGAAAGGGACAGCAATGTGTTCGGAGAGCACGTGCACAAGTGCCGACAAAGTTATTGATTTATTAACCTGTGCAGTGCCGTCTCCACCCTTTCTCGCACACCTCGCTGTCCCTTTCTTTGCACTCCTCCTTCGTAACAAATAGTGAACAGAGACCATATAATAGATGCAATCGATTAAAACTTTATGTGAACATAATCATGGATGATTGGCCTATCTAGCAACACTCTGACACCTACCACCTCTTTATTGTTATTTCTGCAAGTCGATTGAAAACCGATTTTGACTCTCAACTAAACGATCTTGACACAAATGGATGACGATATGTCCGCACACAACAGGGGTGTGGTCGAAGCAAGTCCTCTGATTGGCCAACGCTTGCAAATCTGCACATTCTTTATAAATTCGCGGGAATTTTTACTTTCATCGACTGCTTGACCACACCCTCGTTTTGTGCCAACGAATACTTGCAAGTAAATCTTGAGATTAGCCATGTGATGATACGTTTAGCGAGCATCGGGGATATTGGCAACTGTAATGTTAAAACTGCCTTTACCTGACTGGGTTAGTTTGATTTTTGTATTTTGGTTTATATTCTCTGTCCTGTCGTAGTCTGTATCGAGGGTCCAAGTCGGAATCATCCCAGTGAATGAATTAAGTCGTCCATGGCCATGCCGAATGTTGAAACAAATATTCCAGGCTTATGACGACACGCATTTCGCGAATGATACATATTCTGCGATGTTGTCAGTTGACATGTGCAAATGAGAGATAAGATAAAAATTAAGATTATTGTAATCAGTTTATTGGTCCATGTAATGTTTAACTGTCAAACGCAGCCGGTGAAATCCCGCTAAGGGAATTAACTCTCGGCCCGGATATTACGCAATATTGTTTACGTGGTTACCAGAGTGCTCATTTGCGAAATGCCTGCGCATCTGTTGCGCATGTGTACTGGTAGAGGGAAGTTAGCAGCAGGGTGTCGATGTGTATCAGTTACATTCCAGGCCGTAGCGCTGATGGTTAGTGATAAACTGTTCGGGAGGGCCGTCCCTCTATTATATGGTCTCTGCAAATAGTGAACAATGGCAAAATTTTAATGATAGTTTGTTAAACAACTTTTTTTGTTTTTAGGACATAAATTCTGCAAATAAATCACAGAGTTAGTCTGATGTTTTGATTATGATCAGTGTTTCATTGCGTATAATATGTTTATTAGTTTTCGAGTTAGATTGCAATTCATCGGTCCGTGTTTGAGCCAAACAGACTATAACCAGTAGGGTCGTCTGAAACCTTAAAGAATGAGCAGTGGAAAGATTAAGGAAATATGTATGAAGTGTCTCTGAGTTCCAGCTCTTCCAACAGAATCATACGACCTATATCCCATTTCAGCGTATTGCTTCGGCTCTGTTCAACACCCTCCCCCTCCACGGATCGTACCAGTTTGACGTCCAGGATAACAACAACCTGGTTGGAGCGCAGCTGGATGTCACTCGGGTGAGGTTGTGGAACCCACTCGGTAACACGAAATATCAAAATCCGTCAGTTGTTAAATGAGTGCACTACTGGTCAGTGCTAGGACAACAGCCAAGATTGTCTGCTGCATGTTAACGCTGAGCCGGCAAACTCGTCTACCACCCAATATATCACGTAATGAGTTACACGACTTCTTATATAAATTACTTTTATGATTTTAATGGGGAAAGGAAATCAATACTGCATTTCCAGTTTGTGTATCTTTTGGACTTTTCTGAGAGGATAAAATGTGTTTGTTCGATTTGTAGGTGGAGTCAGGCGCTGAGGACTGAGGAATCATGTGTCCTAGTCAGCAATATTTTGAATGAGCCGGATTAAAGCTAAATCTAAATGGACGCTATATTATTTTTGTGTTTTTAACATCTGTCCAACGTTTGTTTAAGGTCACAAAACTGAATACACACAAACACCTATGCGTTGACAAATAAGTGAATCATCACCTACAGCGGGATGGTGAACCCCATGTGACGTCAGGTGTTAGCTGCTTGGGTTAACGCTACTACTTTGTACACTGTACTTACCAGAGCCTCTGTTCCTCAAAGCGATCGTAGCGCTACGACTGTCGTAAGTCTATGTTAAAGTATGGGAGTTACGATCATCTTAGCTCTACGATCGCTTTGAGGAACGGGGCCCAGAGCGTCAGATTGCTCCCTGGGAATACACAAAGGAGAGCAGTAGGTTCACCAACACAGGTATATGCCAAGTGTCATACTCAAGTGTCTTTCTGGGATTCGAACCCCGATCCACGGCTTCAAGTACTGCTGAAGTATTTCCACTGCGGTGTTTACACGCAATGTTCACTATAAAGAGGGGCGGTGGAGTGGCCTAGTGGTTAAAACATTCGCTCGACACACCGAAGACCCGGGTTTGATTCCACAGATGGGCACAATGTGTCAAACCAATTTCTGGTGTCCCCCGCTGTGATATTGCTCGAATATTGCTAAAAGCGGCGTAAAACCACACTCACTCACTCACTCACAAAGGAGAACAGTAGGTTCACCAGCACACGTATAAGCCAAGCGTCATAATCAGGTGACTATCGAGGATTCGAACCCCGATCCCCGGCTTCCTACGGCTAAAGTGTGACCACTGCAGTGTTTACACGCAATGTTCACTGTAGAGAGTGTTGTCACGCACAAGGTGACTGCCAATGTGCCCAATAACATCCAAGGGACCCATATCACAGCTCGCCCTGCTGGACTGAATGGTCCTATTGATGGACAGAATGAACCAATTGATAACGTGAATGAACCTATTGATGGACTGAATGAACCAACTGATGGACTGAATGCGTGAATGAACCTATTGCTGGACTGATGAACCTATTGCTGGCGTGAATGAACCTATTGATGGACTGAACCAATTGATGGACTGAATGAACCTATTGCTGGACTGAATGCGTGAATGAACCTATTGCTGGACTGAATGAACCTATTGATGGACTGATGAACCTATTGCTGGAGTGAATGAACCTATTGCTGGACTGATGAACCTATTGATGGACTGAATGCGTGAATGAACCTATTGATTGACTGAATGAACCTATTGCTGGACTGAATGAACCCATTGCTGGACTGAATGAACCTATTGCTGGACTGAATGAACCTATTGCTGGACTGATGAACCTATTGCTGGACTGAATGAACCTATTGATGGACTGATGAACCTATTGATGGACTGATGAACCTATTGATGGACTGATGAACCTATTGCTGGACTGAATATGAACCTATTGCTGGACTGAATGCGTGAATGAACCTATTGCTGGACTGAATGAACCAATTGATGGACTGATGAACCTATTGCTGGAGTGAATGAACCTACTGATGGACTGAATGAACCTATTGCTGGACTGAATGCGTGAATGAACCTATTGCTGGACTGAATGAACCTATTGCTGGACTGATGAACCTATTGATGGACTGATGAACCTATTTCTGGACTGAATGAACCTATTGCTGGACTGAATGAACCTATTGCTGGACTGAATGCGTGAATGAACCTATTGTTGGACTGAATGAACCTATTGCTGGACTGATGAACCTATTGATGGACTGATGAACCTATTGCTGGACTGAATGAACCTATTGCTGGACTGAATGAACCTATTGCTGGACTGAATGCGTGAATGAACCTATTGCTGGACTGAATGAACCAATTGATGGACGGAAGGAACCTATTGCTGGACTGATGAACCTATTGCTTGACTGAATGAACCTATTGATGGACTGATGAACCTATTGATGGACTGATGAACCTATTGCTGGACTGAATGAACCTATTGATGGACTGATGAACCTATTGATGGACTGATGAACCTATTGATGGACTGAATGAACCTATTGATGGACTGAATGAACCAATTGATGGACTGAATGAACCAATTGATGGACTGAATGAACCTATTGATGGACTGATGAACCTATTGTTGGACTGAATGAACCAATTGATGGACTGAATGAACCCAATTGATGGACTGAATGAACCTATTGATGGACTGATGAACCTATTGCTGGAGTGAAATGAACTAATTGATGGACTGAATGAACCTATTGCTGGACTGAATGCGTGAATGAACCTATTGCTGGACTAGAATGAACCAATTGATGGACTGATGAACCTATTGCTGGACTGAATGAACCTATTGCTGGACTGAATGAACCAATTGCTGGACTGAATGAACCTATTGCTGGACTGAATGAAGCTATTGCTGGACTGATGAACCTATTGATTGACTGATGAACCCATTAGCTGGACTGAATAGACCAATTGATGGACTGAATGAACCTATTGCTGGACTGAATGCGAATGAAGACCTATTGCTGGACTGAATAGAACCAATTGCTGGAGTGAATGAACCTATTGCTGGAGTGAATGAACCTATTGATGGACTGAATGAACCTATTGCTGGAGTGAATGAACCAATTGATGGACTGAATGAACCCATTGCTGGAGTGAATGAACCTATTGATGGACTGAATGAACCTATTGCTGGAGTGAAGGAACCAATTGATGGACTGAGTTATCCTATTGATGGACTGAATGAACCTATTGATGGACTGAATGCGTGAATAGAACCTATTGCTGGACTGATGAACCTATTGCTGGACTGAATGAACCTATTGCTGGACTGAATAGAACCTATTGATGGACTGAATGAACCTATTGCTGGACTGAATGAACCTACTGATGGACTGAATGCGTGAATGAACCTATTGATGGACTGATGAACCTATTGCTGGACTGAATGAACCAATTGATGGACTGAATTATCCTATTGCTGGACTGAATGAACCTATTGATGGACTGAATGCGTGAATGAACCTATTGATGGACTGAATGAACCTATCGATGGACTGCTATTGCTGGAGTGAATGAACCAATTGATGGAGTGAATGAACCTATTGATGGACTGAATGAACCAACTGATGGACTGAATGCGTGAATGAACCTATTGCTGGACTGATGAACCTATTGCTGGACTGAATGAACCAATTGATGGACTGAATTATCATATTGATGGACTGATGAACCATTTGATGGACTGAATGCGTGAATGAACCTATTGATGGACGGAAGGAACCTACTGATGGACTGAAAGAACCTATTGATGGACTGAATGAATCTATTGATGGACTGAATGAACCTATTGATGGACCGAAGGAACATATTGATGGACTGAAGGAACATATTGATGGGTTTCATCAACCTGTTGCTTTACGACAGGTCCTTGCTCTAAGTCTCAATGTAACGATGGCATGAATACACACAAAGTTGAGATCAATATCTGGAGTGATGTATTGAAAATTGAAGGTCAATATACACATTAAAGAAACTACATCCAATGAAATGCCGTATATTATCACAAACGCAGTAGGCAAACGGACATGAATATGTATAAATGAAAACGCTAAAAAAATACGAATGACCCCCAAAATGTCCGACTAAAATACCCCAAGTTCAGTGAAACTGTACACGCAATGTTTGGGATCAAAATCGGGTAGTTATGTATGAATATTTTGTCTTGACAACTCCTAGTTGTTCGTGATTACATTGCTTAAAAATATTTGTAATCTCTTGCTACATGTCAACATGGTTATAAAAATGAAATACACGTGGAAATACCATATACTAGTAGATCGTCGGACCGTATGCGCATCGTAGCGGGAAGCGCACGTAAAATCTCCAAAACAATCCTCTGAAAACATTTACTCGGCATCATGGTCGTTTTGTAAATAAACGCATGTGCGTAATTAAACCTCTCGCTGTTCATGAGCCGGTCCTTATTAAAACTTCAAATCAGCCAACACAATTCTGTCAAAATGACGACATATACTTTTCAGGATTTGTTAAACAATCACATAAAGCTAGAACAGTTTTAAGTAAACAGGATTTTTTATCAAAATACCTCATACCTCAAGCTCATTCTGATTGGTTTGGCGTATCTTCGTAAAAAAACATTACCTATCATTTATGTCTTCTTGGAGGTTACTTAAAGGGGCGAGTTGCGAATGTAATGCAATGTACAAAGATACGACAAACTACTCAGAAGTTGCATATGGATTGAGGTACATAGATAAACTTACTCCCGAAAACATAAATTGGTCCTGGCATTATGTGATTATCTTTCTGCAGACGGTCCCCCACAGGTGTCTGACAGGGACAACCATGTTAAACTGCTGACTGTATGTTTCTCTCGTGGCCTGCTCCATGAAACCGACAGAAGTCTTCACACGTACCAAAACATACGCACACGCACGCACACACACACACACACACACACACACACACACGCAAACAGATTATCTCATTTCTCTTCCAGTATGATGCATGTACATTATGGGGTTTATTTTTTCAAACTTGAACTCCCACCAAACTTCGTCAAAGTGTTGAGCAAATGAACTGTATCAACGTTTGTAAGATCAAGTTTTCGGTATTTCACAACCAATACATAATGGTTGAAAACATCTGAAAAGCGTCTAAATGGAGAATCGTAATCAGTAAACCAGAGGGTGTGGTGGACTCGGCTATCACTTTTCCACAGGATACTAAAACATGTCTTAACTAGATTTAACATGTAAATTGAATTAAATATTACCAAAGTGAATATCATAAATACACAATGTTAAGATCATTCTTAAGGCTATAAACATTCCTCCTGTATTATTTGTAATACACACTACCTGACTAAACACGGGTTTACATTTCACCTATTTCATACAATCATATAATAACCACGAGCACCTTAAAAAATCGAATCATCTAATATATAGGATGTGTAGGATTTTGAAATGGTGACAAACGAAATCATACATAGTTATGATGTCATTTGATAAGGTGCTTATCGTATTGTTGCAAATAGAACCTAATCAACTTACAAACAAAAAGTATGAAACTTATCATTAAGATATAAATTAATACACAGTTAACGGTGATGCGAAAAAGCGCAAAACGCTTTTATTTAGCGACCATCAACGGAACAGAGTTGCCTCCCTGTACGAAGGGAGATAATTCTAGAGAGCAGACGTTTTTCGTGAAATCTTCAGAAACGCCTTCCTTGTTCACAATGACTGACTGCTTGGCACTAACTCAATCTACTGGCACCGTTGAAGAGCAGGATTTGGTCTTGAGGGAAATGGTAATATAACAAGATTTCTTGACAAATGCGTATTAAATATTGCAGGGATTGGGAAAGGCAGGGGCCATGGGCCATTTTGCACATTAAAATAAAAAATGGCCCATTGAAATTTTACTATTGAAGTTTACTATTGATACAAGGGCAGTGAACATTTCTAAATTCAGAAAATGGCTAATAATCCTGAAAATGGCCCATTGTCCAAGTTCTCTATCCCATTCCCTGTATTATTGTTTCGGTAACCGTTGTTTCATATTTAGTTTCGTGGATAGTGACATGCCTGTGTCTTGTATACAGAAGAGCCGTCTGGAGGACGTGACACACAACTACCACACTCTACTCGGGGAGTGGCATAAACTACAGGAAGAACTCAAGGCGGATCAGGTATATCTAAGTGACAGTTAAACAATACTACAGTAATATTTGACTGTTGGGAGCTTTGGGTTAGACTCGAAAAGTCAGTGCATTTAGCTGTGTATGGAATAAGGCCCGTCCGACAGCCCGAGACGGTCTAGATTTCTGACGGAAGGTCTAAATTTACAGCTAGCCAGCCCGATGGTCTAGTGAAAATTTTAGATGTTCCATACATCTGGTCTGGATAAATCCATTTTGGGCTGGTAACATTTTGAAGTTACCGGCCCTGATGTCTGGCTGGACTTTTGGCTTATTTCATACACTGCATTTAGGTTTATGTTCTAGTCGTAAATGTTCTCATGCGCATGAGAAACATTGGTTGTTTTCTCATTCTCTCAACCACAACTATATTCCATCTCACTAACATATAACACATAACTTATTCTAAGTGCAAACCGAAAGTTCACAATGCCGACACACCACACCTCGTTATCGTTACATAGTGCTGCCCGAAAACGTATGATGTCCGAAAACATACACACACACGATACTTCTTCGATTGGCTACCGATCCCAAAATATGTTTAAACCCAATCAATATTGTCCTTGATCTCCTTCCCTTCAACACATAAAAATGAAAACCCAAAACAATTCCACAGATCGCATGACAAAATGCGTTTATCATATGATACTCCGCGTGTAGCGGTGTTATTGACACTGTTGTGTGACGCTATATTTTATAATATATATTCGGATGATGACTTGTACTTTAAGATACAGTCGTATTTTACAAGTGAATCATATGTTTCACAGCTTTTCATGTGATTAGGGAGATCACAGGTTGATGTTCTAAGGGGGAGGGTCACCAATTTTGTTCTGGAGAGGTATAGGGGTCATCAAATTCTGTACACAAAGTGGGGAAGGATCAGTTTTGATAATAAAGGCATTAAATTTTATTTTAAAATGATGCTTAAACGTCATGGGAAGAGGTGAGTGATGGGTGTCATTAATCATACACGCCCACCCCCAACCCCCCAAACTTTCACCTTTTTAGAAATCTCGTTGATACCAATTTAGTTTGGATCAACACTCAACTACTTATAACTTATGTAGAATAGTGTAGATTCTCAACCTTCAACACAAACAGTTATATTTTGATGATGTTACAGAAATTTTAGTTTTCTACTGAATGTACCTTAGACATCACTTGTACCAATAAATAATATGAAGACATTAGCCTTTCCTCTCAAGGTACCAAAGGACTATGTGCTGGTTCACAAGAACGACCTAGCTCAGCTGGCCACAGAAACCTCCCAGCTGAAACTCAACCTGCCCAAGGTGATAAACAGTGGTCTATCTACAGCCACAACTAGAGTTGACTCACTACAGGAGGGTGTGTATAACTACCCTGTGTCTAGTAGTACTGTCTAGTCCTTTATATATCTGTAGTATTACTATGGAGTGTTTTCTTGTCTGTTATATACATGTGTCCCCCATACTACAAGTCCCACTGTCTATACAGTACTGTCTAGTCCTTTATATATCTGTAATATTACTATGTAGTGTTTTCTTGTCTGTTATATACACGTGTCCCCCATACTACAAGTCCACTGTCTATATAGTACTGTCTAGTCCTTTCTATATCTGTAGTATTACTATGTAGTGTTTTCTTGTCTTTTATATACATGTGTCCCCCATACTACAAGTCCCACTGTCTATACTGTACTGTCTAGTCCATTATATGGCTTTAGCATTTACCCGTGAAGGTCCTGGTTAGAATGAACCTCAGTTTGGGGCGCGGTGGGCGAGCTGCCTAAGGCGCCAGGCTAGTGATCCAGCGAGGCTGAGGTGTCGGGATGAGCCCACCTGTGACCAGGTGTAAAAACCTTTGAGTCAACTTTGTGTGCAGACTCTTTCAGTGTTGTCTCAACCCCTAGTGTACAGTACACAGCCCCGTGTACTTAAAAGAACCCACGAATCCGTTGGTATATGACCACATGGTGGCCACATTAATATGTGCAATCACCTAGTTGCGGGTACAGCAACGTGCAGTAAACTTGGATGGACAAAGTACTGTCACGGCGTAAATCGAAACTCACACACTCACTCTTCAGCACTTAGTATACCTGAATCACTGTCAAATAATAATCTTGAATGCTTTCAAACTTGTTTCTTTGTTGTTTAACACTGCACTGGAAATTATGTGAATAGTTTAATCTATTTTGACATGATAAAAGTTTGACGCAATCAAATGATTTCAGAATATTTTCTCCTTCAGAAAGCAAGGGATCTTTTCAGCACAATTCAAAATTTCTGAGATTTGGGCAAGAATTGGGTTAAGCTCATCATCACTAAATCCATCTGCGATAACAGATATGTAATTTCAGACAGCAAAATCAATGGTCGTAGATCGGTAGTTTGATTTGTGTCCGTTGGTGGGCAAATGATAAAATTTAAATAATTAGTAGAAAATCAGAGACATGTATCAGCTGATTATATACCTCTGGTTGACTATAATTAACCAATCACAATCACGTATTTTCACGGTAGAATTTTTTCTATTGTTGCTATTTTGCTGTTTGTTTGACAGAGGTGGATCGACTGAGACAGCAGAATACCGTGGCTGAGGCAGACATAGGGCAGTGGAAGTCCAGGTTCGAGGCTGCAGTTGCTGAATGTCAGAAGGAGAAGGAGGTATTGTCATGCTGTTGTTGACCTTAAAGATGATCTAGGGCGGTACTGCTGGAGATGTGAGTGTGCCTATCTCGCGCCATTTCAACCCTCCTTTTTGTTGAATATCAGAAGATTCTAGTTTGTCTTCCGGTGTCTTTTAAGCACCCCTTCGATGTGCAAATATAGTTGGAAGTTTCGTGAATGACTTGAGATGAAATAACACTGCAAATGAATACTTGTGTAGTTTATGAGGGTGTTTATAGCTCAACCAGGACAGGTAGCACCTATTCCTTGGCAATACTAATTGGAGTCAGTCTTTCATACTGCAGCAGTTGTCTACACATCCACTACAGGTGTCCTATCTCAATATATATATGTGTCGAATTTCGACATAGAGATGTGAGTGTGCCTATCTCGCGCCATTTCAACCCTCCTTTTTGTTGAGGGGCGGTGGGGTAGCCTAATGGTTAAAGCGTTGGCTCGTCACGCCGAAGACCCGGGTTCGAATCCCCACATGGGCACAATGTGTGAAGCCCATTTCTGGTGTCCCCCGCCGTGATGTTGCTGAAATATTGCTAAAAGCGGCGTAAAACCAAACTCAGTCAGTCAGTCCTTTTTGTTGAATATTAAACGAAGGACAGAAGATTCTAGTTTGTCTTCCGGTGTCTTTTAAGCACCCCTTAGATGTGCAAATATAGTTGGAAGATGACTTGAGATGAAATAACACTGCAAATGAATACTTGTGTAGTTTTTGAGGGTGTTTATAGCTCAACCAGGACAGGTAGCTCCTATTCCTGGGCAATACTAATTGGAGTCAGTCTTTCATACTGCAGCAGTTGTCTACACATCCACTACAGGTGTCCTATCTCAATATATATATAAGTGTCGAATTTCGACATAGTGTGTTGTGTTGCAATGGCAAGTTCGCATCCTACAAGGACGGCATATAACTACAGGTCAGGGTTGCATCTCAACACAGGTCACATTCAAATGGAGGTATCCATGCAAGTGCCACGTCTCAATGGAGGTGTCGCATCTCAATGCATGTGTCAAACCTCAATAGAGTAATTTCATACCAATGCAGGTGTCATACCTTAATGGAGATGTCACATCTCAATAGAGGTGTCACATCTCAATAGAGGTGTCACATCTCAATGTAGGCGTCACATTTCAATGGATGTGCATATTAATGCAGGTGTCATATCAATGGAGTTGTAACATCTTAATGCAGGTGTCATATTTCAATGGAGGCATTGCGTCTGATGCTGGTGCCGCTGTGTTTGTTTCAGAGTAACCTACAGCTCCGGTGTGAGTTGCAGGAGCTGACAGAGCAGCTCAGCCAGCAGTCGGACTACAGCTCCAGCCTGGGATCGTCCTGCTGTACATTACTGTGGAGGGTGTCACGGTCGCAGGACACTGTACAGACACTGCTCAGCGGGGTAACGTCACAACGAACACCTTGTTCCATTGCTAGAGTGAATCGGGGTTCTGGAAATGTGAAAAATATTGTCATGTATTCTGCTAAAATGTGTAAGTCTGGTGTTGTTCTTGGGGTCGTTGTAGACATAGTGTGTTTCGGATAGTGCGTTGCGTGTTGTTCCCATGTGTCTGGAATCCGTTTTTAAACTAGACTAGATCTGAAAAGAGTTCTAATGATTTTACCGAAGTTCTAGCTATATCTTGCTGGGGCCACTGAGGCATTGACTTCACAATCTGTACTCATATGGAAACATATAGAACCTGTTTACATGACCGATCAGTAACTGTTATTTTGTAGTGAAGGAATTTGTTCATTTGCACAGACCATTTGCTCAACCAACGGTAAGAATGATAATAATGCCATTGTGTACAGAGTTGTGTTTATAACTGTACCAGAATTTGAGGATCGGGTGCATTCCTTGCTTGACCGGGTGTCCTGTTTTGCCAAAACGTTGACTGAAATTGGATGGTAAAGCTCCAAGACACTCCTCCATAATAAGGTGGTTAGTCCTACATAGTCCTGTTAAATAAGGCTCACAGCTTTTGATATGTTCTGGAAATTCAAAATTTGTTTCAGACAAAGATCGACGACTTCATAAATTTGGTGACCTCTACCGTGGAGAGCTACGTGTCTGCATACAAAGATGACTGGCCCCAAGACCAATCAGACGAGTCGGGTTTCATCCTGGCTCTTGTCGGTATTATCACCAGTAAGTTGGAGAACCATAATACCTAAGATCCGTTGTGAATCTGGGATGCCACTAAAAGGTCTGTACACACGGAACGTTCTCTCAATCTCAGCCACTGACATGACTCCGTGGTGTTCGGTGGGTAAATACACGTTATACCCTCTCAAGGTTAACTATTTCTATATGAGCCACTACATCAGATTACTGAACCATCCAACGGTAATTTAAACCACAGGTTTCCAAGTCAAACGTTGAGGATACTGCACATATAATGTAGCAACTGATGCATGTATTCACTTTGTGAATACGATGTTCAACACAGTTGTGGTGTTATTTTGTGGTATGAATGTCTCATTGATGTTGTTCATTACCGAGATCACATGGGTACAATGTATGAAGCCCATTTCTGGTGTTCGGATATTAACCGATGGTTTGGATCCGTCAGTCATGTAGCTTGAGGGGCGGTGAGGTAGCCTAATGGTTAAGCCTTCACTCGGAAGACCCCGTTTCGATTCCCCACATGTGTACAATGTGTGAAGCCCATATCTGGTGTGCCCCGCCGTGATATTGTTGGAATATTACTAAAATCAGATTCTCTGCACTCACTCACTCATGTAGCTTGAATATTGCTAAGTACGACTTTAAACAAGAGTCCCTTAGTGAGGTGTTCTCACTTCATTGTTGTACCAGTTATATATCATAACATGTCTTTGTGTAGCAGGTCAAAGTAGACACAGTTGACGGAGTAGAATGTTCGAGTGTTCGAACAGACCCGCAGAATTTAGATGAGACTTTCAGATAGAGTTTAGATTTATGGTTTGAGGTGTTTTACTACTATAATTTAACGATTACCTTCAATTGTGATTGGTATTCCCATATATGATGAATGACAGATGTTGCCGCCTCAGCATACGGACGAGACTTCCTCATCTCGCGAGACAGCGGACGCCACTTGGTCGGCACATTCACGAACTTCCTCGCCGACGCCCCGTTGAAAAAGAGTGCCCGGCTCAAAAAGTAAGAACATTTTGTTTAGATGTTTCCCAATCATACTGTATGTTATAAAACTTTAACAACCCGTTCTTTAAATACTGTTTGGTCTGGACGTTGGCGGCACGGGATGGTTCTACGAGTTGCAGAGTTATGTCCCTTAACGGCCAGTAACATGTGCCGGTTGTAAGATGCACCGTATATGATGGATCGGGCGTTCAAAGACCATGATGGTAGCATGCTCACAAGTAATATATCACTGGATTGTCTAGTCCAGACTCGATATACAGAACGCCATCACCTATGTTAAATATTGTTTATCATATAGACAACAAACACCATATTTCCCTATAACTTGCAGAGTATACTGCAAACTTTAACACGCTAATTTCCTATACCTTTGAATTGATGTGAGCACCAGAAAGTTTGAATATACTTCTTTGCAGGGCTTTTCAGACTGGACGCTTCATTTTCAGCATGTGGGAGTAATAATATTACCAATATCGTTTAAAGCCGAACCAATTGGTAATCAACAATTTTTGGCCGGATTTTAAAGTGTCTGATTCTCGAGCTAAACACTTGTCATTTTATGGAAACAAAACGTATACAAGCAGTGATCTGTAGATTTGTGTATCGTCACTGCAGTGGCGCTGTAGGGTAATCTTATGGTTAAATAGTTCGTTGGTCGCACCAAAACCCTGGTTCGATTCCCTACAATGGGTACAATGCCTAAACCCTACGTAGATGCGCGCGCACGCTCACACACACACACACACACACACACACACACACACACATCCATGCACATACACACATTCTTGGACGCGCACGCACACACATGTACACACTCCTGAACACACACATATATAAACACAGACCATGCTGGGTATTACTGTATTACTCCAAGGACAGCGTGACTCCAACTAACATAACACATCTTGTTGCAGTCTGCTGCTGATGGCTCTATACAACCTGAGTATCAACCAGAGGGCGCTCAAGTACATCTGCTCCAAGCCAGGCATCATGGGGCTCCTCGCCTGGCACCTACAAGGTGATCTTAACTCCCACCTCACTCACCCCCTCCCTGGGCCTCGTAACAACGTTTATCTTTTACAAGTACTGCAAATAATGAACTGTAATTTTAGGGCATTTTCATTTCAGTGGTGGCGTTAAAAGGTCTGCAAATTGTTCACTAGACTACATCTGATTTTCCTAGTTTTACAATTTCAGCCAAAAAAACCCCAGTTCCATTAAACAGCTCGCATTTGCACTCAGAAAACATACCGCAAGTACACCATAGTTAAATTTGAGATGAGAAGTGAAGAATATATACCAATGCGTAATAAGCAATTTGCAAGTATTGTTTGGGATGGAATGGGAATTATGTTTTAGAAAGCAGTATTTGTTCGTAATCATTAATTGACAGGAGCGGTGGGGTAACCACTTAGTTGGAAAATTGCTAAGTGAGGCTTTAAACAACAAGTTAGTGATTTTTTTGCAATACGAGTTCAACAGATAAAGTGAAACACCAAAGTATTGCGTCAAAACTAGAACAGGTTGTCAGAACCAGCGAGTTGTTTCCGGAAAGGGATTTTAACAACATAAAAAATCAACTCAACTGAAGCGAGCATAGGCCCCCTCTCACTTTATATTTTCAGAGGAGCCTGACTGTGACAACCGCCTAAACACGCTGCGTGTGGTTCACTCTCTGGTGTCAGACGAACACAACAACGCCATCTTGCACGAGCTGGCAGAGGCTGTGAGTAGAAAGACTCTCAGAATTGCCTGACCGGTTTCATTGTTAAATGAATGAATCATCTTCCCATACAAACCGAGACAGCTTGAGAAGACTCCATATATACTGAGATATGTATACATCCATGCGAAACGAAATAGATGGATTCAGGTTTTTTTTGAAGATTTACACTGGTAAAAAGTGGTTAAGTTGAGTGACCGATGTCATATTGTTCCCCATGTTGGTGAGATCATAATTTATGGCCGGCGTGCGCGCGTGTGCGTGTGCGTGTGTGTGTGTGTGCGCGTGTGTGTGTGCGCCCGCGCGCGCGTGTGTGTGTGTGTGTGCGTGCGTGCGTGCGTGTGCGTGTGTGATGCTTAAAAGAAAAGGAGGGGGAGGGGTCGTTGATATTGTACATGACATGCGGAGGAGTGGGGAGAAGGGTAGCTAACATTGTACATTCTTGTTTTTCTTTTTTTCTTTTTTGGGGGAGGGGGGGGGCATTCATATTGTGTATGCTTCTCCATAAAATCATCACCTCCACCCCTCCCCCTCATCTAGCCATAAATTATGAACGGTCCCTATAGTTTACGTTGTACTTATATTGTACTTGTGTGCATGCGTGCGTTCGATATGGAGGTTATGGTGCTAGCCTGTCTTCTTGGTATGAAGCCAGCGGCCTCCAGGAAGTTACTCTGTACACAAGACCATGGCCACTGGATCCCGATGAAAGATGATACACAATTTGTTGTTTTTGTTCACAAGGTATGATGATTATTATTATATTGTACAGGCCATGCATATATGGAGGAATATGCAAAATAAGGTGTCCATTTCTACCCACAGCTGCCAGAGCACTTCCTGCAGCAACTGACGGCAGACAAGAACCAGGACGTGCAGGACCTCGCTCTCGACCTCATCATGGACCTCAGACAAACCAAGCACGAGCAGTAGGGAGGTCATCCACTTGTACAACACTGACGTCCTCGACGTCCAACAGCATATCGACGTGGTTCATGGAGACATTGTTCTCGTTGTGAGGAGGTTTCACATCAACATATTTTTAAATCGTACTTTATACGACCTGCACAATGCGTCTTTGTAACTCTCATTGTCCCCTACACACAACAGAAACAGTCTTCCTACTGTATGTACGATACATATGAATATAGATGTTGATAATCTGTCATAAAATTGAACTGTTTACAAGAATTCTCTCGCCCTTACCTTTGATGACAGAATGTACATATTTAACATAAGAATTAGATTTTGAAGGATCGGTGAAGTGTATTTGCACTCTGTTTATATAAGATCTTGTGTGAAGCCCATTTATGGTGTCTCCCGCCGTGATATTGCTGGAATATTGCTAAAAGTAACCTCACCCACTCACTCACTCACTTATATAGAATCTATTGATCACGCTGGTCACCGTTCAACACGACATTAATAATATATCATGTATGATAAAGTAATTATGTAGCATATCGTTTGTTTGTGAAAGCATAATTGTTACTCATGATAAATTGTTGATTTTCAAATGGCCTTTATCTCGACTCTGTTACGAAGACACATGTTACATTACTCGCATATAGAGCATCATTCTATCTAAACCATCCACCTCCGTGCTCTGATGCACAGGGGGTCCTTAGCGCTACGCCAGTCGTAAGTATGTGTTATGGTATGGGAGTTACGATCACCTTAGCCCTAAGATCGCTTTGGACAACGGCACACTGAGCTGCTACCATCATGAGTTAATGCTGGGGCGTAACAAAACACTTGTAGAAAAAAAAAACGCGCACACACATACAACGTTTCATGTTCGTTGCCATATGAGTGTAATAATTTAACGCCAGAGTTAAATCCTCACTGAGCAAAATGTCGTGCAGTACACCCAACATCCCATTATAACACGCGACAGTGGAGATGATCATTGTTCCACCGTTTCATGTAAACAACACACACACACACACACACACACACACACACACACACACACAGTTGTTAACACAACAGTAGGTTGGATATATATTGACACATACTTAGGTTCAGTCCATCTCTGAATACACAATTAGTTGAGCAGGACTGTCTCGTCACAAAAGGTAAAGAAGAGCGACCTAGGTTCGACTCGATCGACTGACTGTAAAACCCTCTAAACTATAAGACCATATTTTACTATAGAGTGAAGCCGACCAGGGATTGGGATAGATTACTTTGACAATGGGTCGTTTTCATTATTGTGTTCTAGTGACTAATTCAGGACACCCATCGTCCAAATATTCAAAAAGTCCAAAACTATGTTGTCAAGACATGTGAGACTTTATTGTAATATATATATGACGCTAACCTGTATTCTTAATCACGACTGTAATCCTTATCACTACCGCATTGTAAGTTGACTTGTCAGCCCTTTAATTATTGTATAAGACATTTATAACCTTCATTGGTAATCCCCCTTGGCCGTGTCTGCCATCACATCAATTGGTCAAGGAAGTGCTATTGTTTTTCTGTCTGTCCATTGATGAGTCGTTGCCTGTCCATTGTTGTCATAAACAGTAAATATACTTAGTATGCTCACATCTAGACAGTAAAGGAGTACGAGTCTGGTATTCCGACTCTGTGTAGGGACGTCCACGAGCGGGATAATGCGGCACGTAGGAAACGCCCGGGGGTTGAGCAGGTACTCCGCTCACCCCCTGTATTTCTTGTGTATTTGTTTGTCATGTAACTAAAGAAAGAAGTTTGAGCTCAACGTATATTCCTTCGTCTTGTCAACGTATAGTAACCTTCATCTTAAACATGAGCTAATTCCCCAGTCGACGCATATACCACGCGTTGACAATTGTTAGCAATTTTCTGAATTTAGAATGGTCCACTACCCTTATCAATAGTAAACTTCAAACTTTTATTGGGCCATTTTTTATTCTAATGTGCAAAATGGCCAATGGCCCCTGCCTTTCACAATCCCTGGCCGACTAGTATGTCAAGTGACCTCAGACACTGAGACTTGTATGCATGGTAAAATTCATATCACATAATGAACTCAAGTTTATGTCGTGATCTGGAGAGCTGGTGACGGTGGATCCCATCATTCCATATTCTCTGCATCGTTTTCATCGAACGGCATCCACAACTTCGTAGCTATTCAGTCAGGGTTTTCTAGGTTTTCTTTACCTTGCAACGGCCCAAATAAGACAGAAGACACGGCTATCGTATCTATATAAAGTATACTAATTACTAATGGTATACTAATGATGCTAAACGCATTCCTGCTCCAAAGCATGTTCGTGCAATGACTAGAAACAGGCGATAAGCATCGCCCAGTTCAGGTTCCCGCACTCTGTTGTAACCATGACTTGCCAGCCTCTAGATCTGTGCTGTGACAATCTAGTACCAGCAAACATCATCCTACTCAACTGTAGCTGAATATATTTACTAAGCGACCGCCAACTTAAGCAGTAGGGATGATAGCATCTGTATCTTGTTGCCTTCGTTTACTTTGTGTGGTAGGGTCTATTGACGAAGAGAGCTTTTCTTTTATGAAATATGAGATGGCCAAGTGAAGTAGTGTTTTCCTGGCACGCCGGGTTCAATTCTTTTTATCCGTTCTATGTAAGAGAATGGACCTGGCTGTCCCAGAGTTAACACGGGATGGTTGGAAGCCGTCGATGACCAGATTTCGACAGGTTTCACACTTCAAGTAGTACATCCACGACAGGGTATCATGGCCGCTGTAGACGTACAGCCAATGTGTCGGCTGTCACGTCATGTGTGAAATGTGCGGGAGTCGACCGAAGCTAAGTACAAAGCATGTGGCGGACGAAGAACAAAGTTTTGGTAAATAACAAGTTTGATCAAAACAACCGGTTTGCTCAATCTCTTTGCACGCGGAGAGTGCGTCGAATGAACTCATATCACATATCAAAATGTAGCTGTTCATGACGGCGAACGAAGGACGTTTGGCTGAACATCCACGCAAATATCGCCGCCACCTGTTCCATTCAGTTCCAAAAGCACAAAGTAAATGCCAGAGTAATATATTATATATTTACACTGGATGAAGAGTGAGTGAGTTTAGTTTTACACCGCACTCAGCAATATTCCGGCTATATGGCGGCAGTCAGTACATAATCGAGTCTGGACAAATTGAAATCCTATATCTCAAGAGTTCCGTTTACAAAGAAAATGGTTTGAACAATTTCCAACTTCCAAATTTTCATGTACCAGTAGTCCCGCAACACTGTTACCTTCCATGTGATATCCTGGTTTTAGTATATATGATGATGTAGTTGCTGATGTAGTTACGGTTTCTGTTCATTTTTACTTCTGGGTGTTGGTGGTGTTTATTTTCCTGTGTGTGCTAGTCGGCTTTACACTATAGAAAAATATGGCCTTATACTTTAGAGGGCATTTACAGTGAGATTTGTTTTGTTTTTTCTATTTTATTTTTACTCTGTGTGTGTGTGTGTGTGTGTGTGTGTGTGTGTGTGTGTGTGTGTGTGTGTGTGTGTGTGTGTGTGTGTGTGTGTGTGTTTTGAGGGTGGGTGGGGTGTTGTTGTTGTTACATGTGTTTACATGAAACAGTCGATTCGTTAAATAAAATCGCTTTGGGAAAACATTTTGTGTTCAGTGGAAGTGATTTTGTGTCAGTTTAATTGGCTTCAGATGAATGTCTTTTGTATAATATATTTTTACCGATCGTTAATGTACACACAGAAGCGGATGTAGGCTTTTCAGATGGTATATTGTGTGACTGTTTTTAGGGTCTGAATGTGGAGAAAACTCGACGATACGTTATAGTGTGGCGGTTATATTTCCGTGCCGTTTTATATCATTTCTCTGTTCCTAAATACATTTCCTAACTTTCTTTCTGTGTCTCTTTCTGATGTATGTTCGCCCAGGATGTAATGTTGGATTATTTTGGGACGGATATTGATTAAAAGATTGAAACTATTTGTTGATTACAGACCACACCGACCTTTGAGCAAAACAGGAAAGTGCCTATGACGTAAATTACACGCTGTTTATTTATCGTTTTGTTATCATTCAGATTGGTTTGTTCGCACTCAGCAATATTCCAGCTATATGGTGGCGGTCTGTAAATAATCGTTTCTGGACCAGACAATTTAGTGATCAAGAGCATGAGCATCAATCTAATTGGAATACGATGACATGTGTCAACCAAGTCACCCGATTCAGTTAGTCGCTTTTAACGACAAGCATGGGTTACTGAAGACACGGGTTGTCATCATTAAGAAGTCCATCCACTTAAATTCGAGCGAGACCCAAACGACGCCCCTCCCTCAGCGCTTGCCGATTATGTATTTGTGTTCCGTGATACACCGGATTTCATATTCGTCACACATGTCTGGTATAGTATTGCTATAGTGGACGACAGTCTGAACACCAGGCCATGCACACGATACACAACTACATGAGACAAGCCTGGTAACTGCTTTATCCTAGTGGATGACAGTATGAGCATCAGACCACGTTAAAACCCAACCGGACCTGTCACATCTCAAACAACTCACAAATAATACAAAACAAGGTGAACTAAATCTGTATATATATTAGAAATCAACTGTACATAAGAATAGGCATCTCGGAAACAATATCTAAACATTCAACTTCAAGTGGTTATTACTGACTTATGAAAGACATTTATAAAAAAATCTATTGCCAAGAAATAAGATACATACATATGACATCTGTATCCAGACAATACTCGACATATATTATCTTAGCCCATCTGTATCAACAGACAGATACCAGACCTATTTCTCTTATAACATCTGTATCCAGACAATACTCGACATATATTAACTTATCCCATCTGTATCAACAGACAGATACCAGACCTATTTCTCTTATAACATCTGTATCCAGAAAATACCGGACATATATTAACTTATTCCATCTGTAGCCAACAGATACGGGACATATATTATCTTATACCATCTGCATCTAGTTATTCGATTCGTGTCATTTTTTATTTGGTGAATTTCTGCACACTGGTGAACCTAGCCTCTGAACACAAAATGATCTATTGTAGATCCAGTACAACCCAAGTTAATTACATGAAAGTAGAACAGTTAAATAACAGTCATCAAGGGTTTTGGTAGATAGTTCACTTAATCGTTTATCACATCTCACCATAACTATGCTAGAAACGGGTTCACCTCTAAGATAACCCACAGAGGAAAGTGGGATCCCCTTCAACTTGTATCCATGAGCTGAAGTACGCGTGGATCTCTTGGAACTGAAAAATATTTAAATGATAGCAAGATCGGCAAGAAATGACGTGTTACAGCTACAATATTGAATAATGGCGTAACAGAAATAAGAGGGACACTTTCGCTGCAATTTTACTGACCGTTGTGTAAAAAATAAACTCTTCGTCTTGGTATAATTGAATAAGAAACAACAAAACTACAACACTTTTGTTTTCTCAACTCTTTCTTAACTGGCCGCTGCGCAAGGACAGCTTTTAACCAGTCATTAACAAAACAAAAAAACCCCGACACTTTCCTTTTAAACGGCTTCATGGGCGACGGAAACAAGTGCTTGGTAGACATGCTGTGTGCTGCCCCTACAGACAGTGTAACACCTACAGTAAGAAGGTACTTCATTCTCAGTCTATTATGTATATTTAAGTATTATAGTAACATTCGAGGTGTTGATGGCTCGTTAATCAGAGCATTGTGCAAGTAGCCTTGCTTATCAGAATCAACATAGCAAATCTGTCAAAAAACATATTGAGCCATATACAGCCTATCAAACTTCAGAATCCTGGTCACACTAAGTCTCACGGTCTGGCCTCCACCGTTGTCAAGGAAACCGTTTACAATCACAACACGTTGCAACACATGCAGTCAACAAAGGTAAAGATAATACTACATTTCACTTGCACGCTGTTTACATATTGATAACACTATACAAAGTTTTCCTGAAATACATACCGCCGTGTTTATTGAAATCAGACGACACTGAATGCAGGCCTTGTAGATATGAATCATCCAGCTAAAAACATCTCACTGGGTTTCTTCCTTGTGTTATGTGAGCTAGTGTCACAGCAATACCACAGCTGAGAAAATCTGAATTTCGTTGAATAAAAAATTCAGAACACGTGATGAAACAATTATATTTCAAGGATGGCGTATCACTAGAAGGCTGACCCAAAGTGGGATTGCTCTTAACCTCTTTTTGCTTGGTCACATGATCATATGACCATTATGTACCTGTCACGTGATCAGTATTCGCTTTGTCTGCTGGAAAACAACATGGCGTCTGCATGTCGCAACAGAAGGTTCGACGATATTTTTTCTTTCAAACAGATAAAATTCAACACTAATTACTGAATGTCTGTGTAACAAAATAACGTGTGACTCTTGGCAAAGCAATCATGGGAAAACAAGAGCCGACCTCGTGTGTTAATAAGACACACTCAGAAATAAATATACCCAATACAAGCAATGCAAGTCTCTGAGCTTCATTTCATTATAGATATTATTAAGAAAACTTAGGATTTTTTCCTTTTTGTGTAAAGTAAGTTGATTTCAGAGACTAGATGTGTTAGTCTAGAGCCGACCTTTCAGTGGCCTGACCGGTATATCACATTCAGCATAATTCTTGTTGCGGTAAACAGACATTAACCCCAGGTGTCATTCCCATGCTTTTCACAATCTCAAACTAACTGCCTCCATATGCTTTTCATTACATTTGACTGGTTGGTAACTATTGATGACAGGAATGGCGAGTTATTTGCGATCGAAAGAACCACGGTTGTGAATCCTGGGTTAGTGCAGTAACACTGGAACAGCTCAGTTTCAACATGCTACAACAAAGGTTCCGGTTAGATCACTGAAGGTGTCGGGTCCGTGGGTCATTGCTTTCACATACTGGCCAAGGCTGTCCCTGGAGACATAGAGGGTGAGGAGATGAGTACTTGCTGGGACTTATTCAGGCACTGTCACACAGATGGACAGATGGGTCACACAGGTGGACAGGAGGGTCACGCAGGTGGACAAGAGGGTCACACAGGTGGACAGATGGTCACACAGGTGGACAGATGGTCACACAGGTGGACAGATGGTCACACAGGTGGACAGGAGGGTCACACAGGTGGACAGATGGTCACACAGGTGGACAGATGGTCACACAGGTGGACAGATGGTCACACAGGTGGACAGATGGTCACACAGGTGGACAGGAGGGTCACGCAGGTGGACAGATGGTCACACAGGTGGACAGATGGTCACACAGGTGGACAGGAGGGTCACGCAGGTGGACAGATGGTCACACAGGTGGACAGATGGTCACACAGGTGGACAGATGGTCACACAGGTGGACAGGAGGGTCACACAGGTGGACAGATGGTCACACAGGTGGACAGGAGGGTCACACAGGTGGACAGATGGTCACACAGGTGGACAGATGGTTACAGAGGTGAACAGATGGTCACACAGGTGGACAGGAGGGTCACGCAGGTGGACAAGAGGGTCACACAGGTGGAGAGAGTGGTCACACAGGTGGACAGAAGGGTCACACAGGTGGACAGAAGGGTCACACAGGTGAACAGGAGGGTCACACAGGTGGACAGGAGGGTCACACAGATGGACAAGAGGGTCACACAGGTGGAGAGAGTGGTCACACAGGTGGACAGAAGGGTCACACAGATGGACAAGAGGGTCACACAGGTGGAGAGAGTGGTCACACAGGTGGACAGAAGGTTCACACTATTGGACAGAGTGGTCACACGGGTGGACAGAAGGGTCACAAGTGGACAGGAGGGTCACACAGGTGAACAGAACGGTCACACAGGTGGACAGGAGGGTCACACAGGTGGACAGAAGGGTCACACAGATGGACAGAGGGGTCACGCAGTTAGACAGAGGGGTCACACAGTTGAACAGAGGGGTCACACAGATGGACAGGAGGGTCAAACAGATGGACAGAAGGGTCACACAGGTGGACAGAAGGGTCACACAGATGGACAGATGGTCACACAGATGGACAGAGGGGTCACGCAGTTAGACAGAGGGGTCACACAGTTGAACAGAGGGGTCACACAGATGGACAGGAGGGTCAAACAGATGGACAGAAGGGTCACACAGGTGGACAGAAGGGTCACACAGATGGACAGATGGTCACACAGATGGACAGAGGGGTCACGCAGTTAGACAGAGGGGTCACACAGTTGAACAGAGGGGTCACACAGATGGACAGGAGGGTCAAACAGGTGAACAGAAGGGTCACACAGGTGGACAGAGGGGTCACGCAGTTAGACAGAGGGGTCACACAGTTGAACAGAGGGGTCACACAGATGGACAGAGGGTCACACAAATGGGTGTTCAAGAGTAGACCCAAGAAAACAGGGATAACTGGCCTGAGGTACAGTAGACTGAGTGTATTGACTCTATGGTTAAAAAGTTAAAGCTCATAACAATATTCCAGTTCAATGTATGCTATGCTCAAATACTTTTGAAACAAGTATTCATCAACCTATGGTACAGAAGTGGATGACAACGCTTCAACACCTACAGCAAGGCTCTGTAGCTAGTCGGAGACAAGGGCACCTGGTTCTTAACAAACCCTAGGTTTCTATAGTAACGATCATCAAAGTCCAGCTTCCCGAGGTGCTCGTCGTGCGTCATGTTGAAGTACCATTCCTCCATGCAATCCAGCACTAAAGGCTCAAAGTCCAGCTGGAACTTATTGGCGAACAGGTGCTTCCTCTGGACTAAGCGATGCAAGTCCCCCACGCCGAAGATGCAGATGTGGCGGACGTACTTGCCTTGACAGTCATCTAGGAAGAAGAACAGCCCCTTGTCCCACACCTTGTACCGCGCCAAGAACGGTTTCGTGATTGGGTCAGTTTCCGGCTCGCCTGCAAGGGAAGTAATTCGTATGCAATTAATATAGTAGTCCAACCCATGAAACAACAACATTGCGATTGTATCAAATTTACTATTTTCTCATGTTAGATTACGTTACAGACGCAGGTACCTAGCAGTTAATTTCCAAGTATATACTCCGACATACATCACAGGAAGAAGAGTCGTCAAAGAAACAATTATTTGTTGAGTTGCGTCCCTTAGCCCTGTGCAGAGTTGCGTCTCTTAGTCGAATCCCAATGTCATACTCGTACTCATGGGCTGTACCAAGGTCTGTTGATGTTTTCGTCTAAAGCTGCATTCAGCAAGTTATTCCAGTTTTATGACGGCGGCCTGAAAATAATCGAGTCTGGTCCATACAACCACGGATTGATATCATGGACGCTGATCCAAGCATCAAGCATGTCAGCGAGCTGGACCACACGAGTCTGTTAGTCAACCGGCCTCTCAGAAACGTTTCACGTGCCTGCACCAATTTGGTAATCATCTAAGATATGTGAAGTCACGATAAGGTGAAAGCAGGTTATCATTGGTCAAGTATCTGTCGAGTACAACTCTGCTTACCTTGATATGACCCAGGTATCCGGAGCTGTGGGTTGTGGTTGAGGGTGGCGAAAAACGTCTCGTCGGGGACCTTGGTCTTCTTGACCCACTGCAGCAGGTCATGAGCCACGGGGTGGTGCACGGCGTAGTCGACGAAGTGGCGGTTGGCGATGATGTGCACGGCCCCTTTGACTGGCCGGATGTCCGCGGGAGGGGGACCAGCCAGCCACCAGCGATAGGCGTTCTCAAATATCCTGGAAAGAAGCACGCTCTAGTCAACAATATCTGAATAGCATAGACATGGACAATACGTGTAAGAACAGGAATACATGGTCATCAATGTCCCCATCCCCCGCCACAATGGTCTGTTCCTATTTGGTTCCTCTTTTTGTTTTACTCCACCACGACATTCATGTCCTGAAAACATATACCAAATTTGGTATCTCTGTCTATAACGGTTACTGAGAAAATCTGTTCTCATATTGGATAACGTCAAGTCAAGAAACGCATGACAAGGGCAATAACTCAGTAAAGAATTGTAACACCGTTTCGGTTTTCGAAATCCATTTGGTTTCTATATCTACAACTGTTTTAGGGAAAATCTGTTCCCATTGGGGATACCGTGCAATAAGTCAAGAAACACATGACAAGGGCCATAACTCTGTAACAAATCTGTCTCTCAAGGGCTGAAACCTATATTCCCCTAATGATTGATGTGGACGTCGACATTGGTTTTGTTGTCCATGCATGTACATATTTAGCTCTCTGCCTCATATCTTTCATTCACCTGAAGGAGTAAGGGTACACTCCGAAACATTGTTTTTCATGATAAAGAAGTTGACAGCCACATAATTCGCATCCTTATGTGTATGACTTCTAATTGACATTGAAAGACCTGACGATGATGATGATGATGATGAAGATGATGATGATGATGATGATGATTTTGATGAGGCGTAAGGGTATACTCCGAAACGCTGTTTTTCATAATAAAGAAGTTGACAGCCATACAATTCGCTTCCTTATGTGTATGACTTCTAATTGCCATTGAAAGACCTGACGATGATGAAGATAATGACGACGATTACGATGATGATGAAAAATATTTGTCAGGGGGGTTCTATTTTCCTGCACTTGAGTGATGGGTATAAAAGGTTATGACTGAATGCATTATAAGGTACAAGGCCGCCACCTTCACCAGCTGGTCACCGATTGTGGTAACAAAACATCGGGTCGAATCGAACAGTGTGACATACACATTCCCAGACGCTCCGCTGAATATTCCCGGTTTAAAATTTCAGCAATCCTTTGTAACGTGGTTAGTGTAGCAAGTCTCACCGCGTGTCACATGAGAGTACACGTTATACTGTATATGGTTTCACTGACCAGGGTTAATCATAAATAGATTCTAGTACAAGGTTCTTCATAAGGGTCAATTCATTCACATGAGTTTTGTTTGAAACTTTAACATGAAAGCTCTAGTAAAACCCTTTACTATTAAACTATATGTGTTAGTCTATTCGTCTACACAGAATTACGTCAAACTGAGACGAACTGCGAGAATGTGTCAGGTGTTGTGAACAATGTTATTCCTTGAGGTCAGAAAGTCCAACTGGACTGAGATGATATTCATGGAACCTTCATGAAGTGTGGGGCGGTGGGGTAGTCTAGTGGTTAAAGCGTTGGCTCGTCACGTCGAAGACCCGGGTTCGAATCCCCACATGGGTGCAACGTGTGAAGCCCATTTCTGGTGTTCCCCGCCGTGATGTTGCTGGAATATTGCTAAAAGCGGCGTAAAGCCAAACTCAATCAGTCAGTCAGTCATGAAGTTGATCAGACAGTAGAAGCACTATAATATGTAAATGGAATTCGGGGAGACCATATATCGGCAGGATAATTTGGGGGTGACTTTTGTGGTGAGTTTAGCTTTAGGCCATCTTTAGAAATATTCCAGCAATATCAGGCGGGGGACACCAGAAATGGGCTTCTGGAATCAAACCCGGGTCTTCGTCGTTACGAGCGAACGCTTTAACCACAAGGCTACCCCACCGCCCTCGGGTGGATTTTGTAACACAGAAAACGGCGGAGACCGTCAGTACTCTGTACCCGTGTACTGTGTTTACAGTGCGTGATGTCTGGCCACACTGATGTTGCTTACACCGCCAGCCGTTGTTTGTACTCTTTCTGTTGGCTCCATTATTTACAGTTCCCCGGGATTGATGAAATATAGAGGGCTGCAGCTAAACGATTTCATGCAGTCACTTCTCTGTGCAATCGCTGTGTTCTTTATTGTGTTGTTAGACAATCCGCTAAGTAAGTTAACAGCTAAAATGAGGACAGTTATCAAATTGAATGGTGGCCATCAAACCGGTTAATACAGAAGTCACACAGTACAGGGTCGTTGAGAGTGGTTTCAAGGAGGAGAGTGAATGTGGAGTGCATTGCTGTCAGTCTCTCCCGACATTTTCCTTCACCTTGAAGACAACCAACCCATTCTGTACTCGAAACAGGTCGACCTGTACAGGTTTTCAATTAAATATTAAAACGATCCATCCTAGCATTATAAGTACAATCGGGTGTCAAGGTGGCCTTGAAAGAGGCGGGGCTTGTTGGGTTCATTTACCATGTCATCACATGGTAAACGATCGTTCGTTTGTATTCTACCTGACACCGCAGCAGTTAGGTCAATGCAAGTTTTTAGCAGGTATCTTAGCAGGATACAAACATTGTTCATGCAAGCTATCTTACCATTTGATAAAGGGGTGGCTTGAAAAACATATGTTGGAACGACAAAAGCCTGCCAAAAGCAATACACACATCCAATGCGTTTACATTTGCCTGAATCATCAATGTTTTTTTCCTGACACAAACCCCGCACCTCGTTATACCGGGGACATGAACATCAGAGAAGCTTGAAGCAGTGTATATAGGCAGGTGAAGGAAACGCATGCATCTGTATTGCATATATCTGGTTGTAATTACGGTTGTAATAGGCATGGAAAAATACAGGTATGACAGGGTACCAGTTTGGAGGGACATGTTGGCAGATGATGGTCCAGTCGTCGGGATGTATGTACGGTACTTTTCGGTCTTCTGTATGTATGTACAGATCTGTACACGATAGCTGGATCGTCTACATATCTCTGCGATATGGTTCAGTTGTTTGCAGGTATGAGCGATATTAATCAGTGTCCTGCATCTTACTCCTTCCTGTACCACTGTGAGTGAGGGAGATAGGTCATCAAAGGCCATAACAACCAGTAATCTACCACCACAAATGAAACTGTTTGTAAAATACATCAAATTAGGATGATTAACGACTTGACACGTCACACAGTCCATGCAGTAGACATCTCTCCTGAGAACATTCTGAGGAGTCAACTGACCATGACAAGTTAATTACATCTCATTAGAAAGTACGTCTTTTTTAGCTGACTCAGCCAACTTTGTTGTTCGATTTGTTACCATGGATAATAACTTCTTGTTTATTGTATAGAGCGACGCTGTAATGAAGATTCTTACACCGTTACCAAGCAAGTGACTACATCCAAATAGCATCGATGATGGCATATGAAGGATTAATCAAGCTATAGGCTTTATCATGGCACCCTACCAGCCTGTATTTTACTACTGAATCCCCCCTTGTTTTTTGTTGTTGTTTTTTTAGCATCATTTATTAGATATACAATTCCACGAGTTTACATCTCCTGTACAGTGTCACGCGGATGGACATACCAGGGTGTTGGGGTTAAAACATTATTAGTCATAATTAGATATACTCTTGTCATAAGTGTTAAACACTATGCACCTCAAGATTTCACTTTCTCACTTACATTTTTTCTGTTATGTTTCAATATTTTATAATGTAATTTTAGATCTTTTATGAAAGTGTCAAAATTACAATCACTTCCATTGACTTTGCAGTGATACACTATAAATTTAGCAAACATCAATACATAATTTAATAATTTACAGTCTTCAGAGTCTCCGTTAAGGCCATATAATACAGTAACAACATACTAGTGGTGGACGACCATCAATAAAGTCAAGCGTTCATGACAAATATTACGCCACTGAAGGTGTTCCAGGACAACGCTCTTGTACCCTGTTGGATGTGTGGACCTAAACGGGACTATGTTGAAACAGTATTAACCATGCACTCCAGCTTTGTTAGACTTAGATCTGTAGTAGGACTGACTGCCGCTTTAAGCAATATTCCAGCAACATCACGGCGGGGGACACCAGAAATGGGCTTCACACATTGTACCCATGTGAGGATTCGAACCCGGGTCTTCGGCGTGACGAGCCAACGCTTTAACCACTGGGCTTCCCCCCCGCCCCCTGTAGTAGGAAACGTAGTATGTGTAAAGTGGATAATTGTCTTCGTTGCTTTCGTATTTGTTTTGCTTCCAGTGCCACTACGACTAAATAATTGAAACTTGGAACTGAATACGTTTTATGGCCTGCCTATAACAATCTGATACGGACAGTTTTTTTCAAAGTATGCTCATTTTCTCCAACCCAATACATTAAAAAAATGTCAACTTGAAAATTCGATTTGAATATACTCAGAATAACGTAATCAAAACGTTACACGGTTGCCGAAACACTTCTACGTCAAGGTCCAAAAAATTACCATGACACACGTATTGAGTACAATACCACAGAATAACCAGTTGTTGCTTGTAGTATTTTTAGCTACCATTAGACATGGGTGTAGACATTCACAATTTGTGAAAAACATTGAGGTAACAGAGTACAAGTGTTGGGTTTAGGTCGCGATACTCCAGCAGTAGCATGGCGGAAACACCCGGACTGGGGCAGATGACATAGTGAATTAAATATAGTGCCGCAATGATGTTCCTGGCCCAGCCTAGTGCGCAATGATGTTCCTGACCCAGCCTAGGGCGCAATGATGTTCCTGATCCAGGCTAGGGCGCAATGATATTCCTGGCCAAGCCTAGGGCGTAATGATGTTCCTGACCCAGGCTAGGACGTATTCGTGTTCCTGACCCGGTGTAGGACGTATTCGTGTTCCTGACCCAGGTTAGGACGTATTCGTGTTCCTGACCCAGGTTAGGACGTATTCGTGTTCCTGACCCAGGCTAGGACGTATTCGTGTCCCTGGCCCAGGCTAGGACGTATTCGTGTTCCTGGCCCAGATTGGGACGTATTCGTGTTTCTGACCCAGGCTAGGACGTATTCATGTTCCTGACCCAGGCTAGGACGTATTCATGTTCCTAACCCAGGCAAGGACGTATTCACGTTAATGGCCCAGGCTAGGGCGTATTCATATTCCTGACCCAGGCTAGGACGTATTCGTGTTCCTGACCAAGGCTAGGACGTATTCACGTTCCTGACCCAGGCTAAGACGTATTCATGTTCCTAAGCCAGGCAAGGACGTATTCACGTTCCTGGTCTAGGCTAGGACGTGTTCATATTCCTGACCCAGGCTAGGACGTATTCGTGTTCCTGACCCAGGTTAGGACGTATTCATGTTCCTGACCCACGCGAGAACACATTGATATTACTGAGCCAGGTTTGAACACACTGTGGGTCCTTGAAGACGTGACCTAAAACATATTCTATCTTAAACAATATCCCAGCTCTCGGATCACCCCCAAAATACTAGATGCTAGGTGCCCTTACCCACGATGTCCGCCAATATTTCTAGGTCCGCATCTCAATAAAACACCCGTCAGATCTGTGTATCCATTAACTAGCAGTCTATAAGCATGGTCATTTCAATGCACGAGGCTAAATTCGTGTTGAATCATTATGGGAGGACACATCTCCCGTAACTGAGTACCAAACTCGATTCCCTGTCAGGTTCATGGATTGATCATGACTGTGACCGTCTCCACATACGTGATGTCTATACCGTGGGTCCACTTACATGATAGAAAACATCCACGGCTCGTTCTGACGTCGTGACACGTGACACCTTCATCAGAAACGCTTTGACACGTATGAACACCTCCATCAGAAGGACATGACTCTGTGAGTGAGTGAGGTTTTACGCCGTACTCAGCAATATGGCGGTGGTCTGTAAATAGTCGAGTCTAGCCAAGACAATCCAGTGACCAACAGCATGAGCATCAATCGATGCAATTGGGATACGATGACATGAGTCAACCAAGTCAGCGAGTCTGACCACCCGATCCCGTTAGTCGCCTCTTACGGCAAGCATGGGTTACTGAAGACCAATTCTAACCTGGATACTTACGGGTCTGAGACTCTGTGATACCATCTTAACGGTAACCTGCACACGTCTTCAAGATCAGATTTGTCAATTATACCATCTAATCCCATGAAGCACTTCATCGAACAAATATTTTTACGTCTTTTATCAACTCAAACGTGCAAAACGTGTCATAAACAAGTATTACACAACTGTTTGCGCCTCATAAAAACTTGATAATGGAACTTGCCTTTCGTTACATATATATGTATATTTGAGAATGGTTCATGCTTCGGTAGATCCTGAAGCATTAATAACATACCGCCACCTGCTAGATTAAGCTACAGTATCTCGTCCTCACTCATTCTTTCATTCACTCATTTTACCACGTGACCTACCTAGAGACTGTGGCGCTAACATCATTCGCTCCACTGTATGCCCTGAGTATCTTAACCAGTTGGTAGTTCGTCTTCAAGGGAAACTCCTGACCGGTGAGGTTGATGAAATATTTCCACTTCCGGTTGTGTTTCAGCAGGTCCCGGATGCACACCAGTTCCGGTTCCAGCACGGAGAATTCTCCCCATCTCACGTCTACCGAGCTCGACGACAGAAATATGTTCGGAAAACAGTTGACGATGTTGCTAACTGCATCCCTTATTACCCCGGAGGTTTTGCTGTCGACGTGGACACAGTAGTAGTTGTGAGGTCTGTATACAGCTCGCAACAGACGCTCAAACTGTTCCACATTCCGGTACATCAACACACTGAAGGCTATAGGGAACTCTTCTTCTTCACGAGTTACGTTTAGTATATAATTTCGGTGTCGTTTGAACTCCGTACAGTTCTGTGTCATGACGGAGTAAGCGCCATGATCAATACTTGGTCCAACCCGGACGTCTTTAAGCATCCGTACCCTGGCCCGTTCAATCTCCAGGTCATTATTACGGAAAAGATATTTACACTTGAGCGGCAAATCGTCAAACGAAAACTCCATGGGAATTGTCCGCATTTCGTCCTTGGCCTTTCGTAGCACGTTTCGGAGGATGTCGTCGAAAACGATGAGTGCGACGGTACCAAGGCTGATGATGATGGCGAACGCCACATGATTTGACTTCATTCTGCATTATCCTGAAACAGTTAGAAGAAGACGTTAGAACACAGGTACAGAAGCTCACCTTTTCAAAACGATATGTCAGAACTTTGTTAACAGTTAGTGTTGTTTTATTTCCCCATAAAGCGGTACTGGGAAGTGATGACATCTGTTTGATAATATCTCACTATTTTGTAAAATAAAAATGTATTTTTCTACATTCTACATCACTATCTACCAGATTTGACGGGAAACAACATCCCTTGATCCAAGGGAATCACCGATTCGCCTGTGCGGCGTCAGGCTGTAGATATTCAACTTTTTAGGGAAACTGTGCGAGTGGCGGATGTGAATATCGCATTTCACCAACTCCTGGGGGCATCACTAATTTTCTAATCTTCGACTACTTACATACCTGTTATCAAATTTTCGTGAAATCGTGTAGGCACCTCCAATTGTGCCGATCTGTTTCTTTATGCACGTAAAACGAAATTTGTTTATGGGAGTATTGACAAAACGTGTAACTTAGACTTCAGGTGTAAATGTGATCTGACATCGTTCGATGAAAGGTTTCAATACCGACGCATCAATGCTGAAACTGATACACTTCCCTATCTGTGATCTGCACCATATGCGTCCGCGTATGTCCGTAATGCCAATGCATTGTGACCGTGGTGTCATCACAGTATGTCCATCATGTCACCACAGTAGGTCCGTAGTGTCATCAGAGTATATCCGTAGTGTCATCACAGTATGTCCATAGTGTCATCACAGCATGTTCGTAGTGCCATCTGAGTATATCCGTAGTGTCATCACAGCATTTCCGTAGTGTCATCACAGTATGACGGTAGTGTCAATGCATTACAGTTACAATCGCAGTACCATCACAGTATATCCGTAGTGTCATCACAGCATGTCCGTAGTGTGATCACAGTATGTCGGTAGTGTGATCACAGTATGACGGTAGTGTAATCACAGTATGTCCGTAGTACCATCACGGCATGTCCGTAGTGTCATCACAGTATGTCCGTAGTGTCATTACATATGTCCATAGTGATACCTCTACATGTCATCCAAATAGTGTGTGCCTAATGTTATAATACTCTCTTCAAAGGTGGTTGAAGAAGAGTAAAACTATTGCCTTCCTGTGACGGTGCGTAAGTCCCATAACATTCGAAGTAAATTTATATCTACCAGATTTTTAATCATAAGATATTTGTGTTTTTAAGCGATGGCTAAATTTGAGTCCAATCACCAACATCTGAAGCGACGATGTAAATCTAGCTAGGGTCCATGCAGATAGTAAACGGACTGTAAGTCCCCATGGTCCCGAGTATGGTGATCTACCTACAGTTGCTGGCAACTATAACCTGTTTTAAGATTGTGTATTGTCCGTATAGTAGTATAATTTTAACATTAAATCTAACAGTGATACTCCAGTTGCTTTACTGTCCTTGGCGACAGGTTGTATATTATACATTTATTTCTTATCAATACAGTCAATCAATGTCACGATACGGCTGAAATATTGGCAATGTGAGGATAAATATTCACTAACTCACTCACACACTCACTCACTCACTCACTCACAATACTCTACCGATCACGCCCTCTGGATCCGCCTATGCAGATAATGTCATCATACTGTGTCTACAACGTTATATTTTCCGTATTGTCATCATGCTGTGTCTATAATGTCATACCGCCGTGACATTGCTGGAATATTGCTAAACGCGGCGTAAAACTCACACACTATAACGTCATAATGTGTACGTAATGTCATCATGTCCTGTCCGTAATGTCATAATATCGCGTTCAGAACAACACAAAAACACGTCTGTGAAGCGATCATGTCTTATCAGAAACGTGGGTCGCGCCTGAACGACATTGGCCGTCCCCATCGTAACCTCGTCAAGCTGGTTCTCAGTGTCCCATTACGCTTTTGTCAGTACACCTCAACCCAGACATTACACAAACCATACATCCATTGTTGCTCATTGAAAACACATAGATAGGTAGTGAATAGCGGGTCCGTCTCCTACATAGGTATTCAGCACAATGATGGATGCTGGTACACACTGCGGGCGACGTATTGTTGATAACCTAGCGTTAAATTGAGGGGTTTGTGAATGAAACCCCTCATGTAGACTAGCATCTAGTCTCTGAAATGAACATATTTTACAGAAACAACAGTTCCTAAATTATAATCATAAAATATAATGAAATGGATCCCATGGCTTTCGTCATTTTCAGAAACTGTTGTGATCTAGACTTGACACATATTCTAAACTTGCATGGGCTTTCTTGGTATAATTGTTTGAGGGTCTGTATGACAGACTGCCCCACAGGTGTCTATGCTAGTTATCAGTGGTTACGTTTCATCTGAAAATGGCGAGTGAGTTACATTTTACGCCGCATAGAGCAATACCTCTGCAACATCACAGGAGCACAATAAACATGCATTGCACCCATGTGGCGAATCGAACACAGGCGTAGTGCGTGACGAGCGAAAAGTTGTAATCGGGTTCGGATCCCTGACAGATCGGGGCTGGATCGATAGTACCTAACCAATGGGGCATTACAAGGGACACTGTCAATAGGCGCCCACTCAATAGGGACACTGGTTAACACTTAATAAGAAAGGCATGTATGTAGATGGTATGTATTCAGCTATTCGTAAAATATATATTCCATCTTACCTAAATGTGCATAGCATCCTGAGTACCAAAAATGTCAAAATTATTAAACATGTAGCCATATTTTTAGAAATGTATTTAATTTACATCTAACGTCACTGTCACGTGATATTTAATGTATTTAATTAACTTTATTTTACTCTAGGCCATGAGGCCCTAATACTGAATAAATTCTGTTCTGTTCTGTTCGGTATGTAGAGGGCATGTAGAGTCCCGAAATGACAAGCCTACATCCACCAGGGAAAACTCAATATCCTGCATTATAAATGTGACAACACCTTGAGCGTTTCTCTCTGTACCTTATACCCAGACATGTACATACATTATAAACCTTCAGTGACGTCACTCTATTGTCTCGCCAGGTTCTCCCTACATGGAGTAAACCTCTGCAAGCAGTTTCGCCTGCATTTGCAAAGAAATCGGGGATTTTGTACGGGGATTTTCTGAAGAATAGCCCTTGACTTTGAATTATGTTACTTGTACAATTGTAAAAGATCATATTAAAACTTCTGCAACCCTACGCTTACTAGCTTGGCGGTTTTATCCATTATAGGCTACGGAGGATCGCTGTGAAGAATGTGATTGTCAGTATAAACCATGTGTTCCTCACAAGACGGACACGTGTAGCGCGTGCAAGGTATTGGTAGCAGTCGCATCCCAGTTGATTTCAACAGTAAATACCAAATAATTAAAATTATATCTAAAGTATATTTTCGGTTGATTCATAAGTTGGATCAAAACGGTAATTCAGGACCCTAGCTGCTGTATACATGGCCCATCCCGTCACCCTCATCACCACGTAATGTAGTTAGATTCATCACAATAACAGCCTTTTAATGATACTGCTGCTGGAGAGTGAGTGAGTGAGTATGGTTTTACGCCGCTTTTAGCATTTTGCAAAATATTCCAGCAATATGACGGCGGGAGCACCAGATAAGCATCACATTGGACCCATGTGGGGAACCAACGAGCGAATGCTTTACCCACTTGGCTACCCCGCCTCTCTGCACATATAAAACTTGATCATCATGATCTGGATAGTTTTACAAGGTGTAGTGAGATGGTGAGTGAGGGAGTTGGACTTGGGTTGGACTTGGCGTGCAGGGTTATCCTACTAACAGATCAAGGAACATGCACGTACGAGATGTGTGAGATCTGAACTTAGACAAGTTAGCTACCTCACTGAGATACCATGTCGCAGTTTATCATGAATACCCTACTCGTGATAATCGGGGTTCTTATCCACTACAAGTCGAGCGCCAAACACCTCAACTCTCGGGATGGGCGCTCTACCCAACAGACCATGAGACGGTTTGTAATAGAACAAATCATGATCATTTGGTATGCACAGTTTAACATTCTTGACATTTCATGATAATAATATTTCTCTTCTCCCACAGAAAACGTTCGCTCCTGACACAGGAATACTTCTTGTCATATGTAATTGAACAGCTATATCGTGGTTACAGTACACACACTCAGTAAATGTGCCGGTGACAAGCCCAATGTCCATTGTGAATACTTCATCTGAAAACTCATACATAACTAGCCATCCCTTTGGTGTCCACCGAACCGTCAGCTACCTACCATAATTAAGTTGACCAGTCAGTCCTCTGTAAATATCACCCCGAGTTCCCATCTCAACCTAGTTCACTTTCTCACGCACGCCGTCCATTGACAACACAAATGCTCACATTTTTACTTCATCAGAGCGCACTAGTCTGTGGATCTCCTTTATGTTTTGAACACCAACCTTCAGCAAGCAAAACCAATCTTAACCAAGTTTTCTGATGAATCAGCGTGTACTTTAGGCATCCTTGACAGGCGCAACAGAGCGTGGAGTGGACAAATGAGTGATTTCATGTCGTTGATGTTAGGCAGAACGATCTGTTTCGGGGTGGGTAATTTTCGGCAGATTCTTGAACAATGGCAACACAAAACTATTTCACCACGACACAACCCTTCTTCTCAATAGACCCTCGTATTTTACCGGGGCCGTTGGTGTTCATATGTAATGTTAAACCATGTTGAAAGACATAGCCATGACTGCCCCGATTCCCATCTTTCACATTTACGTACATCGTTTATTTACCAGGGGTTCGCGTCATTTGGATCCGATATATCAAGGCCAGTGTCACCAAGTGCTTCGTAAAATCATGTCCCATCTTTAACTCTTACATGTATACTACATTCAAAAGAGGATAGGTATGTTTAACAAATATGACGTAATTTTACACAGGTGTATGTTTAAGTTTTAAAAAAATAATAATAATAATAATAATAACATGTGTTAGCTTTTTCTTTTATTTATCTATGCCAATATATCTCTTATTAGCTTTGTGATTACTGTTCCTGGGCTACATCGTGTTATCGCCAACGTGAGGAATGTCCTGATGTCTGTGGCGCATCGTGGGGGACGTCACTAGAGGCCTGTCCTCCAGAAACAACTTGAGTCAAAGAAAGCTACAAGAGACATCAGGAGATACCATCCAGTAGGACTGGGACGGATCCAAATTTTCTACCCGGGTACTGCAGCCCCTACTACCCTACCCTATCCGTTATGTTAATTCCTGACATCGAATTTGTAAGAAATGGCAACATATGCTTCTGTTCGGAGCCTAAAATTTCGAGTTTTTCAATACCGTAACCATGTATATTCAAAAGAAATGACTGTAATTATGTCTAAATCTCCAAAGACAATACAACCTATTAATCATGAAAGAGTATCATATAACATTCTTTAATCTATTAGTCACATGATCGCAACGGGTCTGGGTATTGAGACGGGTACCCGGGTCCAACTCTGTACCCACCCGTCCCGGGTATCCGGGTAAGCCAGCCCTACCATCCGGCCATCAACTATGACCAGGGGACATGTCTGTCTGGGACTTGCAAATTACCTATTTGTCCATTACCGGATTAGTGCTTGTTTACCCTAACTGCTGTCTTCACATATTAACACTACATATACATGGAGTTGCCCCTGGCAACTGTTTGTCCTGTGCCATTATCAATCAGCGCCACTTAACAACTACGTGTGCACCTTTGTCATCTTATCATCTTATCACGTTTGTTGTTTCACATATAAATACAAAGCTATCAGCTTCCTAACTTTTATTCACCTGGTAAAGGAGTAAGAATATGCCCTGAAAAGTCGTGTTCCTAACATTACAAAAATTGACATTCATAATTCTGGAAACTAATACTCAGTATCCGAACTGCAACATTATATCTGAGACATTTCATATCCGATATATCATATCTCCGTGACGTCATTATTCGTGTTTGTCACGCTCAGAACTACGGGACGTTGCTGTGAGCATTTGTCATGCACATACGTGACTGGCGAGTCTCACAACAGATACTACAAGTTGCTCTCTAGGAACACCTCTGACCTTGGGTATGTGACATGCAAGGGAGATGAGGAAGAGGAACACTCGCGGGAAGATGGGGTATGGAACTACAGCAGCTCGACATGTCAACCCCTGGTCCCACAGTCACCATAGCCTTACAATGGTGTATATGTCAATGTGTGTGCGTGCGTGCGTGTATGTGTGTGTGTGCGTGCGTGCGTGCACACTTGTGTGTGTGCGCGCGTGTTTTTGTGTGTTTTGTTTGTTGTTGTTTGTGTGTGTGTGTGCGCGCGCGCGCGCGCGTGTGTGTGTGTGTTTTGTGTGTGTGCGCGGTTTTTTTGTGTTTTGCTTGTTGTTTGTGTGTGTGTGTGTGCGTGCGTGCGTGCGCGCGCGTGTGTGTGTGTTTTGTGTGTGTGCCCGGTTTTTTGTGTGTGTTTTGCTTGTTGTTGTTTGTGTGTGTGCGTGTGCGTGCGCGCGCGCGCGCGTGCATTTGAATAGTGCAACAGAATGAGTGAAGTGCGAGGGAAACTGTAATATTGCTGGTATATTTGGACATGAAGCATTTTAGAAATTGGGCAAACTTTATATTGTTTTTTATCAAAATTCTAAAGGAATTCAAACTCAGTAAAGTGCGAGGGAATCTGTAATATTGCTGGCATATTTGGACATCCTATTCGGGATTCAAACCCGCACTCTCCGGCTGAAGTACCTTATCGCGGCAATATCAGCGGCGGAGTGGGTTAGATCTCTGACGTCGTATGCTGACGATTGGGTGCTCCGAGATCTAGTGTGTGGGTTCGAATCCCGGATGGATCGCAGACCAACCTGGAAACCTTCAACTGGGTAGGGATTGGAACCCACTAACAGAAGCTCCTGGCACTGCTGTGGGGAACAGATTGACGTAGGGAAATCTTGACTTGCTTCAGCTGGGACTTTTGTATAGCAGAGGGGGTTGGGCGGAAGGGGGATGATGTGGGAGACAGTGTATCCGTGATCTTGAACTACGCTATACATTAGCACAATAATGAAAACAGTGACGAAATGCAAAGTCACATATTGACGTTACCTGAGGTAAATCTCAGTTATACACGATCTGGGCGCATCATGCAGAACCTGTTACTACTGTGTGTGGGGGCCGCGCCTGGTACTCGGTATATATGAACAGTATCTCACCAAGACAAGCAGTCGGAATAACAGACATAAGTTAGTGTCCAGCCAGAAGAATATTGTCATATACAAAAGTAATCACAAAATACATGTGTGTGTCTTTAGATTATTCATATAGCCTGTAAACAAGATAAAAGTCATACATACAAGCATATACCTATTGTGTCAAAAGAAGGTGCATATATCATATATACAAGCATATACCTATTGTGTCAAAAGAAGATGCATATATCATATATACAAGCATATACCTATTGTGTCAAAAGAAGGTGCATTTATCATATATACAAGCATATACCCATTGTGTCAAAAGAAGATGCATTTATCATACATACAAGCATATACCTATTGTGTCAAAAGAAGATGCATTTATCATATATACAAGCATATACCTATTGTGTCAAAAGAAGATGCATTTATCATATATACAAGCATATACCTATTGTGTCAAAAGAAGATGCATTTATCATATATACAAGCATATACCTATTGTGTCAAAAGAAGATGCATATATCATATATACAAGCATATACCTATTGTGTCAAAAGAAGGTGCATATATCATATATACAAGCATATACCTATTGTGTCAAAAGAAGATGCATATATCATATATACAAGCATATACCTATTGTGTCAAAAGAAGATGCATATATCATATATACAAGCATATACCTACTGTGTCAAAAGAAGGTGTATATATCATATATACAAGCATATACCTCTTGTGTCAAAAGAAGGTGCATATATCATATATACAAGCATATACCTATTGTGTCAAAAGAAGGTGCATATATCATATATACAAGCATATACCTCTTGTGTCAAAAGAAGGTGCATATATCATATATACAAGCATATACCTATTGTGTCAAAAGAAGGTGCATATATCATATATACAAGCATATACCTATTGTGTCAAAAGAAGGTGCATATATCATATATACAAGCATATACCTATTGTGTCAAAAGAAGGTGCATATATCATATATACAAGCATATACCCATCGTTTCTTTAAAAAGAAGATACATATACCATATGCATACAAGTATACACTCATTGGGGTTTTTAAAAATCCATGCATCATATATACAAGCATATACCTATCTTGACAAGATACTTTCGAGTTTTCCAGGGATTGACACATCGCAAAATAATCACTAAATAAGGAATTCGCAGGGACCAAGCTTATACTCAAAACTCGAAACAGATCGACACATCAACGTTCGCCAGTGTTTGACTGTATCATACTTAGACTTATTACCTACGATGGCGAACATATCGGGGTTCATATTTTTCATACGATGCCCTAGGGCATCGGCTGGTAGCCAGACTATGTTTGAAAGTAGATTTGGGTTTATTTTTCTCAATTTGACGACTTCGGTAATAAACAGAATATTATGTTCGTGCCCATATGATACTACGTTTGCGACACTCGTGCCTACATCTCGGTATATCCCTCTTGCTCTCGCTCGGGAAATACCAACATTTAGGCACTCGTGTAGTAAAGTATAGTATGACATGGGCACTCATATACTAGTAATATACTCTATATATACATCGGTTTTACAAAGTTGTATACGTATATCATATACATAAGTATATCTGTACGAGACACACTAATGTAAACACAGGGCATTTAAACCGCCCATGTCAACCCGTGACGCTCAGTTAGGAGTAAACCTACATATCTAGAAGCAGCTGTTATTACATACAGCTAAAAATAATCAAGGTGGTTAAAAAGAATAACTACATGTCTAAAAAGTGACAAACAAGCTTCGTGGTTGCTTTTCATGCTAAACATCTTAAATACCTACATGCAGTGATATCTATGTTTCTTCCCAGATTTTGGAAATTGATATTAGCTGTAATGAAATACTTACTACTTATTGAGTGTTGCACAACAGTGAGTTCATCTTCACCTTACCCTGCCTCCCTGACGTTCTGTCCCCTGCAGACTGTCACTCACAGGCATAGATGAGACGGCCGAGTGCCCCGGAAAGATCCCGATACCGCTGATACCCCGTTATAACGCGATGGAGTAGGAACGCCCACGAAGAGAGCATGGCTCCCATGTGTCGTGTGCACGACCGGTGCCTCTGTACGTGTTGTCCCAGTAAGCAAAAACATAACGGGAAGTTTGGGTACATAGACTGGCGGCAAGACTCCATCACTCCCTTTCCCTGGGCTGTGAGGGGGTAACCCAACCTGCTCCATCTACCTCAGTGTTTACTGAATCCCCCGTCGACTTCACGCTTGAATTGAAACACTTTTGAAATGTTTTTTTCACTTCTTCAAAAATATCTTTTCATAAATGTTCCTATCATGTCTAATTATATCATTTCTTAGCATATAGCCTATGTTTACGTTAGATGATCTATGACAACGTTCAGGTCAGTTCTAATTTATCCAGACTTTAGTTTCCAGGGATATCAGCCATATAATCTCTGTGAGGTGAGGTGAGGTGAAATTGGGTTTAACGTCATGCTTGAGAATATTTCGCTCATATGACGACGTGCATGCGTGTATGTGTATGTGCGGCTGCTTGTACTAGCCCAGACTTTAGCTGGTTTTATAGTGCTAGCTCACTGAGATACCATGCCGCAGTGAAGCATGAATACCCCACTCAGACACATTATACTGACTCCGAGCCGACCAGTCCTTGTTGTACCCATTAATACCAAGCGCCAGGCAGGAACCAACAAGTACCATATTTTAACGTCTTTTGGTATGACGCGGTCGGGTATCGAACCCGCGACCTTCCGCTCTCCGGGCGGACGCTCTAACCACTACACCACGGAGGCGGCCATATAATCTCTGTATTTTTTTATTGTTTAACACCTGAAGATATTCCACAAAATACGAAATACCTGTGAAGATGCGGGTTAGAATTGGTCTCTAGCAACCCTTGCTTGTCCCTTTAGATGCGATCGGTGGTCAGGCTCGCTGTCTTGGTTGACACATGTCATTTCATCCCAGTTGTGCAGATCGATGCTCATGATGATGATCACTGTGTTGTCTGGTCCAGGCTCGATTATTTACAGACCGCCGACATAAAGCTGGAATCGTGCTGAGTGCGTCATTAAACAGAAAACCCACCAACCCATACGGCAATAGGACAGGACTTCCCATCTGACGATTTATTCGTAGGACGGTGATCTGATTTCTCCAGCCTTGGTCTAGAGCGATTTGTTAACTTGAAATCACGTGATGAGTATCGCCGGCACTTTGGGGGAGGTATTTTACCGGAGAGTTTTGTATATTCCCCTGAGGAAGGTGAAGTGAATATATATCTAAATATCCCCATTGCTGACAATACACACGATACAGCAGCGTCGACATAATCACTGTAGCCTGCAATAGAGTCACGCATGGAAGAAGTTTTTCAAGATACTTCTTGGAACCCTGTAGTTTTAGTTGAACAGCTCACACAGATCAGACACAGACCTTTTCCGTGAGATTATAATTGAAATAATGATAACATCAATTGATTGTAGGTCTTTTAATATATTTCGCACTGTACAATCCATACATGGCCAGCAAAACATTGCATTATTGTCTAAATGTGTGTGCTGTACGACATGATGTTACCTTTTTACAAGGAGATATTGCTGTTTTGAACAGACCTGTTGGCTTGGTCCTCTCATCGCCCATAAACGCATATAATTTGTATGTGATGTCCGTTCTTTGTCTTTTTCTTTCCTTCGTGTTTCGACATATATTGTCTATGTTAAACGACAGTTTTGCTGGAAGATACTCTGGAAGCTCTCAAGTTAAAGGCTTACAGAAAGTTGTCACGGCCAGCAAGTTGAGAACACTATACAGGGGACGTTTGTTCGACAGTAGCCTCTTGTTCTGTAATACCCGACACCGCTCCATATAACTGGAAGACTAAGACTGACAACCCCGGCGAATCAGAAGAAACGGAAACGGCCGAATCGTCTCTTCAAGACCATAAACGTGAGACGCTCGCAGCGTCTCAGTTGGGTACGATATCCATGGTGTTTCGATAACAGGACACTTATCAAAATACCGTATTTCCACTAATAGGCGCCCTGGCGCTTATTTTTTCAACGGACTTCCAGACCAGGCGCTTTTATTGGAGGCCAGGCGCTGATTGGAGACCCGGCGCTTATTGCGCTTACTGGGTGTACCGTAATTAGTTGCTAGTGAGCTTTACGTCAAAGTTTGGATCGAGGGAGAACCCGGCGCTTATTGGAGACCAGGCGCTGAGTAGAGGAAATACGATACGTTGTGTATTTTAAAATAATCCCAAAGAACCAGGTGTTTACTTTGTATTGTCATTCAGTTTTGTTTTGGTCATTTGATTGATGGTTTAGCCAAAGTGGATCTGATTAAATATCTTCAATGATTTCGTGATTTGGTGTATGTTTTCAATACAATCCATCGAATTAAATCGTAATTCGTTCAAATAAAAAGAATTGTCAGCCTTGGTAAAATTAGTCATGCAATTGTGGATGCTTCTGTTATGGAATCACATGGGTACAATGTGTGAAGCCCATTTCTGGTGTCCCACGCCGTGATGTTGCAGGAATATTGCTAAAAGCGGCGTAAAACCAAACTCAGTCAGTCAGTGTATTATGGAAAGCAGCTTGAACTAGTAATATCCTTTTTTCAAACATATCTGGGAGAGTGCTAATCATATACGATGTACCTTATGTTGAAACGTCGTTTTCAGCACTTTTACTTTGTCTCAGGTGATGGTGGATGGTATAAAAAAAACAGGAAATTTGAAACTGTGAAGTGTATTTGTGTGTGTAATTTATTTTGAATTGTTTTCGACTTCAAAGTGAAGGTTGAAGAGGAGGGAAATATATGACCCTCTTATATCCAGGAGGTAAAATTGTGGAAGTATTCGTCATTGGAAGGTCACTTGTCTTCTGGTTTAATCCCAGCCAACACCCGGTTTGACGCACCTTCCTCAGAACTACCGGGTACCCTTGTTCTTCGGTCCGGACGATTTGGGATGTGCGAAATCTGTGTTATAAGCGCTGTCGTTGCCGTTGTTAACGGAAATGGTGACACAGCCGGTGTTGTTATTGTAAGTTGAGTTGTTCCAACACCGCTATTTTAGGTCAAGTCGCCCTGTCTCCTGTAACCGGGCCCAGGTTCCATCAGTGAACGTGTTATAATAAATCAAATTTAGTTACTTACAGATACATAACATTTACGCCACTTTATGTGAAACGGGGGCGGTGGGGTAGCCTAGTAGTTAAAGCGTTAGCTCGTCACGCCCAAGACCCGGGTTCGATTTCCCACATGGGTACAATGTGTGAAGCCCATTTTTGGTGTTCCCCACCGTGATATTACTGGAATATTGCTAAAAGCGGCGTAAAGTTAAATTCACTCACTCACACACTCACTCACTTATGTGAAACGCGCTTAAGTGTTTCCGTTAGTGAATGTAAAACCCGAGGATACTCGTCCATCGCGGAATGCGATCTATTTCACAGTGTCCGTGCCTGCCTGCGTGCGTGCGTGCGTGCGTGCGTGTATGAGTGAGTGCGTGCGTGCGCGTGTATGTATGACAGACATACCAACATACCAACAACCCTTGCTTGTCCCTTTAGATGCGATCGGTGGTCAGGCTCGCTGACTTGGATGACACATGTCATCGTATCCCAGTTGCGCCGATCGATACTCATGCTGTTGATCACTGGATTGTCTGATCCAGACTCGATTATTTACAGACCGCCGCCAAATAGCTGCAATATTGCTGAGTGCGGCGTGAAACTAAACTCACTCACTCACTCTTTACACATCTAAACCGAAAACATGCTAGAAATGTCGCCTGAACGCAGCCAAAAGATCATCTCAGCGAGGTCTGTGCAGAACGTGATTTCTTCAGGAGAGTGACGTCATTAATCAGAGGTAGAGAGTTTGCCTGACCATATACACACGTCAGAATTGCGCCCCTTGGGCACTCCAGAATCCTATGACGGGTTGCTTCGAATCCCGGCCCGATTATGTTTCTAGGTATGAGCACTATGCTAATGAGTTTGACCACAGTGGCAACCATGTGTGACTGCCGCACTTCCGACATAGCCGACATGCCATGTTATAACTGGTAACCCGCATAACTGGTTCACGTGCATGACCACGGTTGGTTTGTGATGAGAAAAAAGATACTTTGCTGTGTGTACTTACTTGAAACTTTCAAAATAACAGTCAACAAAACCGAGGGCGTGTCACCCGTGGAGAATCGCACTGTAAAGTTTACGTTTGTTGAACAGCCGGGAGAGGGGTGACCGAGAACACAGTTTCCGGAAATGTCGAAACGTTTTGCTCAGACGCAGCAGGGCCGACCACGCAGACCGTGCAGGTGAGACGGGGACGATGGAGCAGACGAAGTGACGGAGGGAGGGGCGAGTCTTGGCAGTCAGGTGGGTGACGACAGTTCTCGGTGACAGTTATGACAAAATATTCCTTGATACTGAATATGAGGAGTAGCGTTATAACGGGGTATTATTTCTCCCTGTTTCGTATTTGAGGCCTGTTTCACTATGAAAGCTCACTGATTGCTTCACTATACCGTGTATTTACATAAAGTGACGTACATGTGCAGCGTGACAAATCACTCACGCACAACGTCAAACATCCTCCCGGTGAAGTGTTTCATTCATGTGTCGACTGTATCGTATTTGTATAACGTTGGAAATGTAGTCTCAAAAATAGACCTGTATTATATTAAAAGTTAGCTCGGTGTTGAACTGTTGATGTTGATACTGTTAATATGATCGATACTGATACACGGTGACACTTGTGGATGGACATAGCATCAGCCGTACGCTGGGTTCCTATGTCCACTGTTCGTCAAGGAACGAGCCTTCTGTTCACCTCGTTATAGAGCGGTTAAGCGTATTTATCGTGACCGCTGTTGCCAGAATGAGAGGTACACACAGTATGTAAAGGATGATTATTTACATTGGCCGTGTACTCGGGGCTGCTGCTGTTGAAAATCACGTGAGTGAGGGTGATTTTACGCCGCTTTGGGAAATTCAGTAATATCACTGCATTGGAACCAGAGACCGACGTATCACATTATCATTATGGAATCGATCCCGGATCTTCGGCGTGACGACCAAACACCTTAATCATTAGGCTACCCCATCGCTTCTTATCACATTGGGTATAAAAGAGGATATGTTTGGGGGTTGGTTTGGATTTTGCAATTTTGTTTGTATGTTTGTTTTTTCTCTCATTCACCGTGTCTTTAAAACATCGATCATGGTTGGAAAGATGTATAAATATACCACTGGAATAAAGTACCTGTGCACACACGTGCGGGGTCATGTTTTCATAAAAGCGTGTGTTGCATGCACCGCGCATGGTTGAAATGGTCGGATGCGTCAGATTAGACCTGGCCATTATGGTATGAGCCCACATTAACTACCTTGTACAACCTAATTCAACATTACTCATTTCTCCTGGTGTGAATCTTTGTTGTTACTCAGTATACTACACGCCAAAAGAAACGTTACCCTCCTACCTTTATGAATTAGTGAAAAACTATCAAAGATATGTTAGAAGGTACTAGTTTACAAGAAAGCTTAACAACACAGCTTTATGAAAAAAAATAATCTCAAATGCATTCATATTTAGGTGGAATGCATCCTTTTCAGAAGAGTTTAATTTTCCTATTTTCGTCCATGCCGACCAACAACAGTGATTTAGATGTCCAAAAGAAAGGTTGAAATATAATTCTGCTTTGAGACAAAGATAAACCATTTAAAATCACCATGTTGCAACTATTAAAACAAGAAACAACTGTTGTAGAGTGTGTAAAATTGTAAAATAATCATTTCTATGATTCCAGTCTTTTAAAACATTTTCTGCTGTTTTGCATTAGTGAAAACAAGTAAAACGTGTCTTTGGTATTGTGAAAAAAGTGTTTAGGAACATCTAAATTTATCTTTGTTAACATTTTTGCTTGCAAAGTAACATTTTTCCATTTTCTGTGTACACATAGCAATATCAATCGCCAAAACGCAGCAATATTCAAGCAGTATTTGCACCCATTTCACATGTAGAATGATTCAATATGGTATGAAGAGAGCCTAGAATACATGATATTATACACAAGTACGAGAAATATGCCACGATTAACAGCTGAAGAGAGAGAAAGAGCCATTGGGATGGTGCAGATGGGGTCGACGTACAATGCTGTATGCGGATGCCACCGTAACACGGTTATAAGACTTATTCTGGGCTTCAGACAGACTGGGGTCACCGTAGACAGACCAAGAAGTGGACGTCCACGCATCACAACGCCAGCTGAAGATAGGTACCTCCGTCACTAAGGCAGGAGGGTAACGTTTCTTTTGGCGTTCAGTGTACACATCTGAACCTGTTCTATTCTTTGAAAGTTATTTTCGTGTCATATATATACCATGTGATATGATGAAGTAAACTTATCTGAAGGAGAAAATATTTTCAATTCAGTGATCATACGGCAAGCTATTTGAAAGCTGATTGATGAACAGCGAGAATATAGAACCCATGCTCGAGACTAAACATATCTTGTCGTAAACTGGCTTTTTTATGCATGTGTAGGTCGACTTCGAGTTTACATATTGTGTGATTCACATCTAAATCATTTTGGTCATTTTTAATTTTGCCTTGCCAGTTTGTTGTTTGGCATAGATTAAACAATGTTCCCAATACTTGGTGTGAAAGATTTGCCTGGCATAACCGATTATGATGTCTGCCATTTTTGTTGCCGGTTCCTGTCAAAATAGGGACAAACATTGTGTTCGATTATGTGAAAACCTGATCGATGGCTTGATCGTTTGGTCTTCGATTATTTCGATTAATCGGAACACCACTACTTAATGTCTTAATGTCAGGTGTCCCGGTCTCAGCATGGACATCAGTGGGACTGCACGGAAACACTGCATATCCCTTTGATTCCGGATGAACAAATGCCTCATGATGGAGTTTCGCTGTTACCCAAGGACTAAAATAGATCACGGTTCACGGGTATATCACTGCGCCGTACACGCATGCCCTTTGCAACTACTGTAACGTCGATCAGACGGCAACGTTACTTCCACTGTGGTCGCTGCACAAACGCGTCAGCCTGTAGCATAAACGGAGTCCGTACATTTACCCTGTGATAGGGCACATATGTTATATTTGGGATTGCACTTTCTTAGTAGAGTACCACTCATTTCAGCCACCGCGGCTTCCACAAGAAATGGAAGTCTGACAATCGGGCCCTGGAAGTCTGGAACACGGACTTCGTGTACCCCTCTGATAAGAGAAAATTGGTACGGCTCCCACGGCCGAAAGCGATGAATACACATACCGGAATTGAACCCACACCCTCAGTCAGGTACCTAATCGCCAGCACACAAAGTCAGCCATCTAACCCATGCAGCCGATTAGGTGCCTGACTCTGACTGTGTGGGTTCGAATCCCACCAAAAGTACTAGAATCTGTACTTTACTGAGAAAGAGTAATCCCAAATATAACATGTTACATTTGACCACTTTCTAAATGGCATTGGGGGCAGTCGTCACGCCGAAGACCCGGGTTCCCCACATGGGTACAATGTGTGAAGCCCATTTCTGGTGTGCTCCGCCGTGATATGGCTGGGATATTGCTAAAATCGGCGTAAAACTAAACTCACTCACCCACTCACTGAATGGCATTGTGAAGTCACGTGATGGAGGTGTTTGTTTGTTTCCTTTTAACAAGTCATCTGGTACAGGGAGGGTCAAAGGTTTCTGATTGAGCCTCTACCTGAAATAAGTGCCCTCTCCACTTTATACTGTATGTTAACTTACCTTTTTCATGACTCACACCAAATATGTGTTTTATTACCCTCCTCTAGAACCTGTCCTATAATCTTCAAAAAAAGGAGGGAACCTAAACTTTTTGCAATTTGGATAGGAAGTATAAGAGATAAGTAAGTTTTCAAAGACAGACATCTTATGAACGCACCACCATTTCTCTTCATCACCACCCCTAAACACACCGCATGGATGCACGTGCACAACGTATTAGCCCCACACGCGTGCATGGGATGTCATTCTTGATTTTGACGGTTTTCATAAGGTCGATAAATCACTGAAGACCATTACTTTTGACAGTCATTTTGCATCACATAGTTGTTAGTGTTTCTTTCTGGCCAGTATTTTTTTGTTTGAAAATGAAATTCGTACACATGCAAATTTCACGTCACATACCAATCATCTTTCAAGAGCGATTACCGTACACACAACGATGGCCATAAGGAAGTGCAAGTGGTGATGCACTCTCAAAACATTCATTATTATCATATCAACTTTGATTGATTCCGATATATCTCCCAATGTTTTCAGTCGTACATTAAAAAGTTCCCCTGCTTTTTTAAGAGTATATTCTGGTGACTCTTCCCTGATCTCCGGTGACCGCCCGCCTTTGTAACGAATGGCTGGATCCTGTGCAGCGGTAAACCCTGTGACACTTGCACAACGAGCTTATACAGGATGTTTGTCACCATATGAGAACGATGAATTGCAAATATAGTGAAGTGGTTTCGTAGGCCTGGTAGGAAAGGTGACATTCATCTGTTGCCACCACGTGACCATATCTACTTCAAGGCTAATAGACGTCGGCATCATGTTTAAAACACCATTCCCCATTACTGTAAATCAGATTTTTTGCGTCACTATATTTTTGTTTTGTGTCACGCTCAAAACTAAATTGTAACTAAAAGTTCAACCTAAAGTGAATCCAATCACACATTAAAGGTTCCGCTAATCCTGCACTGAGCTCAGGAGAGTACTTCCGTGTGTAAGCAATCAGTGATGTTTTCCTAAAACCAACACACGCTACATAGGCCATAGTATGTGAGATTTGTTGCATTTCATCGTTCTCGGAGACAAACGCGGTGCAACTCCTTTAAACGAATTAATAAAAGTGAAAGAGATGCAATGTGTTATACAAATAAAAAACACATGGAGTATACAGAAAATAACTTAAAGAAATACATGAAATTGTACATAAGAATAGGTATATAGACTGATAAGGCCCTGCTACTCTGAACATGTATAAGCACTGGATTTGTTGTCGACATATTGAACCAGTGCTTCATAAAGAATATATATGTGTGTGCATCACGTTGTGTTTTGTTTCGTTGCTGTTGCTGCTGGTGTTTTTCCGGGGGTGGGGTGGGGTGTTTGTTGTTGGGTTTTGTTTTGTTTGTTTGTTTTTTGGGGGTTGGTTTGTTGTTGTTGTTGTTATTGTTGTTGTTGTTGTTGTTAAAGCGGGGTGTTAAAGCCATAGGTGTTTTCAATGTTGGGGAATAGAAATATCATTGTAGTCCATGGTATTTTCTATAAAAACGGGAGCCGGGCACCTCGCTAATCAGGAGTAATGTGTACCAGCACCAACCCATGGCCAGACAACGAGAGACGTGTCAATAAACAATGAGTGTATTGACCAACTACAGAGTCATCATACATCATCACTATACGTGGCGGTGGGGTAGCCTAATGGTTAAAGCGTCTGCTCGTCACGCCGAAGGCCCGGGTTCAATTCTCCACATGGGTACAATGTGTGAAGCACATATCTGGTGTTCACCCCCGTGATATTGCTGTAATATTGCCGAAAGCGGCGTAAAACCATACTCACTCACTCATCAAGCTACAATAGAATATCCATAATCAGGTTTTGTGACATTTGTAGAGAAACATGATAACCAGGAATCTTAATAATATAACATTTGTAGAGAAACATGATAACCAGGAATCTTAATAATATAATATTTGTAGAGAAACATGATAACCAGGAATCTTAATAATATAACATTTGTAGAGAAACATGATAACCAGGAATCTTAATAATATAACATTTGTAGAGAAACATGACAACCAGGAATCTTAATAATATAACATTTGTAGAGAAACATGACAACCAGGAATCTTAATAATATAACATTTGTAGAGAAACATGATAACCAGGAATCTTAATAATATAACACAAATACACAAGGAAAATAGCCTGTTAGTTACAGTACGTGTTCAGGCGCGTAGCAGGCCACGTTTTTAGTGTAAGCCCGAGAGGTTTATATTTAGATAGTATTGAGGCTTTCATTTTTTATGAGAAATGAAGTGTTATCGTTTGACGTTTGATGATTTCAACAACTGCAAAATGTTGTTATCTTATCAATGTTTTGAAATGATAAGGAGGAGAACTTAAGAGTAGCCTACTATTAATTGTAGTCAGTATGGTTCATAGAGGGGTTAGTATTTCTCAAATTATTCTGATAACGTGACTGTAGGTTTTTTGGCAAGAATTAGAAGAAAAACAACGATTGTTTTATAGCAAAACTCATATGTAAGCCAAGGCTTTATTTTATGATGGTAGCTACGCCCCTGGTGTTCCGATGTAACCAGCGTAACACAACTGTTTATACATGACTGAATATCATATATTGTCTGACATAGTCTAAGACATAACCACAGTAGGTATTCACACAATATATACAATATACATGATCATAATATATATTCAAAGGTAAACAGTGCAATAAAGTCAAACTGAATTAAAGTAATATGTTATAACAGTAGTACATGAGATTAGCAGTGGAATGACTAAAGTATGACGTGTTCCACATAAACCTGACGGTTGTGCCAAGGATAGTAGCATATTAGGATACATCAGATTACAGTTAACATATAACAGAATATTTATTATCTTCAAAGTAGAAGATAGTGATGTTTATTACCTGAGTGAATAAACAAAATCACACACACACAATGAGTTGGGACTATCGTCGTATCTTATACCTATTTCAGCCATCACAGAAACTCGCAGTTACTGAGATGATAAAGTAGTTATTGTGAACGTCTTGACAGAATTATGTCATTTAGTTTGACCAAAGTATTGATGATAAATGTGTATAACAGCTGACCAGCTGACACGATTGTGTAACTGAAAAAGTAATTGACGATGACAATGGGAGGTACTGGTCTCTGATTTTGCCTGATGCTGGTTACCAACTGTAACTATGGCAGGTTTAAGACTGTGGAACATGATAGGTTAGTGGGTACTATTAATGATTTAAATCGTGAAACATATTTCTCAAATTTTGTTCATTTCCCCCTTGTTAATATTTCTAAAGCCTCATCTCATTCGGACCAGTGATGCTGAAAGCTTCAAATATGATGCTGGGGGGACGCTGGGGTTAGGCAGAGTGTTTGCATCTCACACGGAATGTCTGGGTTCAATTCCCCACATCGGTACAATGCACCGTTTTTGTTGCCCCGCGCCGTGATATTATTGAATATGGATTAAAATTATATTTACTTCTGTCTGCAACATGCAAAATTGGGAAAGAAAGGCAAAGGCACACGCCAGCCATCTTGCCAAGAACCCTGCGACGGGGCTGTGTACCCCGAGGTAATGACACCCGTATGTCCACCCTGTCACCATGTGCTTGTGTTTTACAGGGAGATGCGGCGGGGATGGAAGACCCTCGCCCTCCTGGGCGTCATCAGTTTCGTCATCGGATACACCATATATTGGAATGGGGACAACGTGAGGAACACGATCATCTCGATGAAACAAGCCGCTGCTTTTGGGTTCGTCTCTACTCCGTCCCACCCCTTCCACGTCAACTGTACTGCGCTGTTGCTAGGCAACAAGACAGAGATATACAACGCCATCATGTACAAACAGGTTCCGGCCAGTCGCGGCGCTCTACCGCCCATACAGTCATGTGAAACGTTCAAACAGAGGTACATCCTGAATGTCAGTGACGAAGAGATAGATTTCCCCATTGCCTTCAGTATCCTGGTGTATAAGAACAGTCATCAAGTGGAGCGACTTCTCCGGGCAGTGTACCGTCCGTCCAATGTCTACTGCATCCATGTTGACACAAAGTCAACGGCCATGTTGGAAGATATGCGCCGCCTAGCGGCGTGTTTTGACAACGTGTTCTTGTCTTCCCGACGAGTGAATGTGAAATGGGGAACCTTCTCCGTCCTTGAACCGGAACTGATATGCATGGAAGACCTCTTGAAGTACCGGAAGTGGCGCTACTTCATCAACTTGACTGGCCAGGAGTTTCCACTCAAGACCAACTACCAGCTCGTCAAGATCCTTCAGGCGTACAGGGGAGCTAATGACGTCTCAGGCACCACCACAAGGTCTGTATCATACGTTCTGGCGCATAATCCTGACGTCCGGTCGCTTGGGTGGGTAATGTAGTGGTTGGGGGAGATAGGGAATTCTAGTAGTTGGTTGGGCAGCAGGGGAGTCTAGTACTGGGATTGGGAGGAGAGGGAGCCCATTGTTGGGGAATTTTTCTTGTTGGGGGTGGGGTAGCTGGGGACGGGGAAATCCAGTGTTGTTTGAGTTATGGAGATTGGAAAGACATAATCCATTATGCGCTAATAATTTGCGATCATTTTCCTTGGCAACAAAGCAGTAGCCATTTTACTGCCGCTTTAGTCAATTTCCTTAGCCTTTGGGCGCATTGACGTCGTTTTTACCGAATTTTGTTAAGGTTTTCTAATGAAGGGTAGAGTAAATGTACAGGTAGCTGCTAAAACCGTCACAGAAACTGTCATTTGGATCAACACTGACGAACTCTCAGAGTGTCTTGGTATTTTCTGTGAGAAGTATAACGTCTCACAATTATCGGCTCTGAATTTGTCAATGACGTCAAAGTACGTGCTACGCACAGAAAGAGCTGCAAAATAGGATTTGTAGAAGTCTTTTTTGCCTTTTTCTGGAATGTTTTAATGAAGTGTCGGGAAGATCGATGGCGTAACCTAGTGGGAGGGGATGGGGTAGCCTAGTGGGAGGGGTTGGGGGAGACTAGTGGGAGGGGTTGAGGGAGACTAGTGGGAGGGGGGAGGGGGAGACTAGTGGGAGGGATGGAGACTAGTGGGGGGGGTTGGGGGAGACTAGTGGGAGGGATTGGGGAGACTAGTGGGAGGGTTGGGGGTTGGGGACTAGTGGGAGGGGTTGGGCAGACTAGGGGAGGGATGGGGAGACTAGTGGGAGGGGCTGGGGAGACTAGTGGGAGGGATGGGGAGACTAGTGGGAGGGGATGGGGGACTAGTGGGACGGGATGGGGAGACTAGTGGGAGGGGTTGGGGAGACTAGTGGGAGGGGACTAGTGGGAGGGGTTGGGGAGACTAGTGGGGGGGATGGGGGAGAGTAGTGGGAGGGATGGGAGACTAGTGGGAGGGGTTGGGGATACTAGTGGGAGGGGATGGGGAGACTAGTGGGAGGGATGGGGGAGACTAGTGGGAGGGGTTGGGGAGACTATTGGGAGGGATGAGGGAGAGTAGTGGGAGGGGTTGGAGAGACTAGTGGGAGGGGTTGGGGGAGAGTAGTGGAAGGGGTTGGAGAGACTAGTGGGAGGGGTTGGGGAGACTGGGTAGTCTGGTAGCTCAAAGCCTAACAATCAAGTCGTTCTGCGAAGTTGCGCCCCCTTGACCTTAAACAATAGTTTGGTCGATTATTCGCTGTGACTATTTTCTGAAGCTACCACACAGGTCTCACTAAAATGGTCCACTACTGTATTACCAGCCCTGTGTCACCTTAAGCCTGAGTTACGACCGTAACTGACACTCTTGACTAGTGGGAGGGATGGGGAGACTAGTGGGAGGGATGGGGAGACTAGTGGGAGGGATGGGGAGACTAGTGGGAGGGATGGGGGAGAGTAGTGGGAGGGGATGGGGAGACTAGTGGGAGGGATGGGGAGACCAGTGGGAGGGATGGAGAGACTAGTGGGAGGGATGGGGAGACTAGTGGGAGGGATGGGGAGAGTAGTGGGAGGGGATGGGGAGACTACTGGGAGGGGATGGGGAGAGTAGTGGGAGGGGATGGGGAGACTAGTGGGAGGGATGGGGAGAGTAGTGAGAGGGGTTGGGGAGACTAGTGGGAGGGGATGGGGAGAGTAGTGGGAGGGGTTGGAGAGACTAGTGGGAGGGTTGGGGAGAGTAGTGGAAGGGGTTGGAGAGACTAGTGGGAGGGGTTGGGGAGACTGGGTAGTCTGGTAGCTCAAAGCCTAACAATCAAGTCGTTCTGCGAAGTTGCGCCCCCTTGACCTTAAACAATAGTTTGGTCGGTTATTCGCTGTGACTATTTTCTGAAGCTACCACACAGGTCTCACTAAAATGGTCCACTACTGTATTACGAGCCCTGTGTCACCTTAAGCCTGAGTTACGACCGTAACTGACACTCTGGACAATATATGAAATTACTTTTCAAAGCAGGAAATCCTGTCTCTTATGTCGACATTTTTGTTCAAGATACAATGAGAACATACGGCGTTTCTGGAGAGCAGGCACGGCTCCACACGGTCTCCGTCCTGTCATCGGTTCTGTCCACGTCGTTGTCAACAGGAACTTTGTCAACTTCTCCGTGCACGACCCTATAGCCAAAGATCTACAGAAGTGGCTAAGGTTCACTAAAATACCAGACGAAGCATACTTCCCAACTCTCAACTACAGCCCCCAACTCAACATCTCAGGGACATCCAGGGGTAAGTGTGTATACTCCAGAACAGTGATTATAGAGATAAAGACAGTGATGACGTTATTTATAATTACCCCTAAGCAACAGTATCCCAACTTGCAAGAAAGGCCTAGGCAGAGAATAGCCATTGCAATGTAATGTCAGACGAGAGGCAGGAGCTAGCTCCCCTGATGTATCTAAGGAAGAGCTACCAAGACAGGCGCGTAGCAAGCCACATTTTTCGGGTTTGCCCGATAGGTTGCAACTCTTTATATTTAGATAGTACTGAAAGGCTTGCCCAACCTTTTTAGGAACAATCATGTGTAAGCCCGGGCTTGTTTTTATAATGGTAGCTACGCCCCTGCAGACGTTTCTATAATGACTAATGCATCAGAGGAGAGTTGCACCACAGGCAAACAGTAGCCCAAATAGAGTTGCACCACAGGCAACTGTAGCCCAAATAGAGTTGCACCACAGGCAACAGTAGCCCAAATAGAGTTGCACCACAGGCAACTGTAGCCCAAATAGAGTTGCGCAACAGAGAGAAAAGTTACCAGTCTTCCTATATGCGACCAAAGTGAGCAAAGGTTGGCAAAGTACTTCACTCGCTTCGGTTCAACGGAATGAAGGAACAAGAATAAGCAGAAATTAAAAAGAATTTGCCTAATTTTGCCATTAAACTGTTATTGATAGAATTTTCGTAACATTTATTCTGAAAAAAAACCCCACTTCATTGGGTGAACGAAAGCATTGGAGGTAACTCCGCAAGTAATTATTTTTGCGGGAATACAAGAAACTAACAGTCAACAAGTATATTTAGAGATAACTCACCTGTTCCTTCACTCCGTTGAACCGGAAGCTGGCAGGGGAATGGAGGCGAACAACAATTTGATATGCCACGAGTGGCGCTTAAAATGATGAATCAATTATGATTTACATGAGTAATTGTTAAATATGTTTGAAATCTGAGAGCACAACCCTGTGAGGAAATGGGTGTCTGCCTTTGACGGTGGCGATATTAAATATTTTTCGTTGTACTTTGCCAACCTTTGCTGTCCTCGCTCACAAGCAGGAGGACTGGTCATTTTTTGCGCCATTTGCGCTACAGTTTGCCTGTGGTTGTACATTCCAGTACTCTGTCTTAATAGGGTCCAGTATTGATATAGAGCATACTACTGCCCGTACACAATCAAAAAACACTGCCAGTCCCGGGGCTATCAAGGGTAAGCGTCTACCAAACTACCCAAAATTGGGCTTGAAAGGAATTGCCGAGTCTTGCCCCCTCCCCAACACACACATCCACACACGCACGCACGCACGGAAAAAAGCGCACACACACACACACACACGCACGCACGGAAACACGCACACACACGCGCGCGCACATGCACAAGTACAACTGTACACTACATCACGTACTTACCTTGACTCCATGTATTTGCAGCTGCTCCTCGCCTTGAACCATTCCTTGCTCGATATAAGAACTGGGATCACGGCATACTGGCTTACAAAGACGATTGCCAAGGCAAGTACCTGAGGGAGATCTGCGTGCTGGGGGCGGGCGACTTCGCCCAGCTGACCACGAAGAGACATCTGTTCGCCAACAAATTCGAGGAGGATTTCCAACCCGCTGGCTTGTCGTGTCTGGAGGAGTGGTACTACCACCAGACAAGACTGGAACTGGCTGGACACCGGGAGTACGACACTTCCTTTTACTCCAAGCTGGACTTTGTTCTCAATCAGATATCTCGGTGAGAGAGTAGGTTCAACATTTTGTGACTCTCTCATCGCCCATTCTGCCGCCACTGTAAGAAGAGTTTATTTGGTTTGCTAGACATACATTGGTACATTGACCACTACCCACGAGCCTATTAGACTCAGCACTCATTTCTTATAAACCTTGGACATTTTTAAGAAATGATAGTAATGGCAGTTGCATTTAGTTATGTTAATATAAGCAATACTTAATATGAATTATATATGCATTTAACTTTGAGAATATTGAGAACTTTCTTAGGTTTAGTCTGTTACATAACTACACATCAATGCAGAAAACACATGGAACAAGGATATAGGAACAGGCTAGACATTTTACATGTTTTTACCTGAAGGTTCCCTGTATCAGGTTCTGTCGATACATGACAAGACTTACCTCATAGAGAAAGAACAATGGACACTGTGCAGAAACTCACCATGTACACTCTTGACTAGTCTGTCTCACAGTCCCTGAACCATATTATTTTCCCCAATGCTTAGCCCTCCCTGCAATGCTAAAGCCCTAAATGAAGCAAGTCTAGATTTCCTCAGGTTCAGGAATCTCTGGTCTCACTTGGGCTCCTTTTCAATTTAAATGGGTTTATTTGCTAATATCACAATTATATGTAGGGACTAAACGTTAGTCTAACTCTTGACATTAAGACACTGTCTTATGCCAAAACGGTGGTTTATCTTGCACATATATATACCTTGTTCTCAAAGAATGCTCTTGGAACTTGCTTAGTTTCTGGAGTTGAACTCTGGTATTTTCTGAACCTGAACCTACTTTATAGTAGATTCGATGTCACCATGTTCATAGAATATCTTTCATGTCAAGGTGGATAACGTTTTTCAATGGTCGGTTCAAATAGCTCCTTAATGTTATGCTAGATTAGTGATATAGCCTGTCGTGTATATTTCATTGGTAGCTATATATATGTTGTTGAACTGAGAAGTCCAAGGAGTAACTAACTCGAAGAAAGGTATGAGAACCTCAGTGTTTATCTCATATAGGGCATTTTGTGGTAGAGAAAAATAATATTTCGTGAAATAATTTGTAAATCTGGGAATGAATTTTGACGGGAATGTATATGATTAGGTTATTTCTTAACTTTTGCAATGAATGTAAACAGATAATGTGTCTGGGTTTTAACCCATGTATAAGATATATTCAAAATTTAAATTTGATCCATTAACTGATTAAATTAGAATTTTAATAGATATGTCTAATATTGGTAAAGTGAAATTGAGGACTGTGGAGTAAGCTCTTACCTTGAAAAGGTTTGGTTGATAGACTGATAAGTTCAGCAATCCTGTGATTTTGGTTTGTAAATATGATTAAGATAATTGGAATATGTGTTAAATATGTGTGCGTGCGTGCGTGTGTACGGGGGTGGATGGGTAGGATTGTATTTGTCATAAACAAAGAATTTTTAACAAATCATGAATAATACACATGTAGTTATAGGTATGCAATTATAACTGAAGATAGGAAAGGTCATTATGATAAGTAATGCTTGTCATTTCCTAACCTATCAAACAATCAGGATGTAAAAAGAATCGTAACAGGTCACAGAAAATGCTTGAAGTATTGAGGTCTCTTGTCTGCAGCATAGGTTACTGATACCCCATGACTATCATGACATTAACTCCCCCATTGGTAAGTATATGACATACCTATGATGCAGCTTCCAAAACAAACACACCTTGACATTGCAAGTAGTAGTATTTCATTGTTATACTGAACAACAAAGTCATGTACAGTGTGCTCAAAACCGGCTGGTGAACATGAAACTCTTTCTGATATAATATGTCTGAGAAACGACTAGGCTTACAAAGTTGATCTTTAGTATAATGTGTGGAGACAACAGAACTTAGATATAATGTCATTAGAAACATCGTTATTGTTGATAGCACAAATTTTTATACTTAAACATTGGAAATATTCTCTCCAAAACATGTGCAGGTTCCAAGGAGATGAAGCTCTGTATTATTGTGAGGATAATTAGATCCCCCAATTGAATTAAATTTGTTTTACATGTTTGTTATTGGTATTGTTGAAAAGCATAAATTTCCTTACACGCCATAACATCCAGTGAGGTGATATTTGATAGCATTTGTATCTGCCTTGGTCGTGATGAGAGTAAGAGATTGTCTTTGATCTTAAGACGCTTCATTTATTCAAATACTACTTTTGCAGCTCCCATTGATAATATTACATTGATGTCATTCAGTCCAGCTGTCATCAGTAATATTACATTGATGTCATACAATCCAGCTGCCATCAGTAATATTACATTGATGTCATTCACTCCAGTTTTCATCGGCAATATTACATTGATGTCATTCAGTCCGGCTACCATCGGTAATATTACATTGATGTCATTCACTCCAGCTTCCATCGGTATTATTACATTGATGTCATTCAGTCCAGCTGCCATCAGTAATATTACATTGAAGTCATTCAATCCAGCTTCCATCGGTAATATTAAATTGATGTCATTCAGTCAAGCTGCCATCGGTAATATTACATTGATCTCATTCACTCCAGTTTCCATCGGTAATATTACATTGATGTCATTCAGTCAACCTGTCATCAGTAATATTGCATCATTGTCATACAATTCAGCTGCCATCGGTAATATTACATTGATCTCATTCACTCCAGTTTCCATCGGTTATATTACATTGATGTCATTCAGTCGACATGCCATCAGTAATATTACATTAATGTCATACAATCCAGCTGCCATCAGTAATATTACATTGAAGTCATTCAATCTAGCTTCCATCGGTAATATTACATTGATGTCATTCAGTCCAGCTGCCATCGGTAATATTACATTGATGTCATTCACTCCAGTTTCCATCGGTAATATTACATTGATGTCATTCAGTCGACCTGTCATCAGTAATATTGCATTAATGTCATACAATCCAGCTGACATCAGTAATATTACATTGATGTCATTCAGTCAAGCTGCCATCGGTAATATTACATTGATGTCATTCAGTCCATCTGCCATCAGTAACATTACACTGATGTCGTTCAGTCCAGCTTGTGCTATGACGTTTTCTGTTTGTAAATACAAATGTGATGAATAATTTGTTTTTATAAAGCCAGCTCATATAAACTTTCCACTTAAATTCTTTATGCATACAGACTTGATCTCGTCGCTATATTGCTGAAATAGTGGCGATGCGACGTAAAAGTCAACTCCATAGGTAATATTACATTGATGTCATTCAGTCCAGCTGCCATCAGTAATATTACATTGATGATATTTACTCCAGCTTCCATCGATAATATTACATTGATGTCATTCTGTCCAGCTGCCATCGGTAATATTACATTGATGTCATTCACTCCAGTTTCCATCGGTAATATTACATTGATGTCATTCACTCCAGTTTCCATCGGTCATATTACATTAATGTCATACAATCCAGCTGCCATCAGTAATATTACATTAATGTCATACAATCCTGCTGCCATCGGTAATATTACATTGATGTCATTCACTCCACTTTCCATCGGTAATATTACATTAATGTCATACAATCCAGCTGCCACCAGTAATTAAAATTAATGTCATACAATCCAGCTGCCAACAGTAATATTACATTGATGTCATTCACTCCAGTTTCCATCGGTAATATTACAATAATGTTATACAATCCAGCTGCCATCAGTAATATTACATTAATGTCATACAATCCAGCTGCCATCAGTAATATTACATTGATGTCATTCACTCCAGCTGCCTATCGGTAATATTACATTGATGTCATTCACTCCAGCTGCCTATCGGTAATATTCCATTGATGTCATTCACTCCAGTTTCCATCGGTAATATTACTTTCATGTCATTCAGACCAGATGCCATCAGTAATATTGCATTAATGTCATACAATCCAGCTGACATCAGTAATATTACATTGATGTCATTCAGTCCAGCTGCCATCAGTACTAATACATTGATGTCATTCACTCCAGCTTCCATCGTTAATATTACATTGATGTTATTTACTCCAGCTTCCATTGATAATATTACATTGATGTCATTCTGTCCAGCTGCCATCGGTAATATTACATTTATGTCATTCACTCCAGTTTCCATCAGTAATATTACAATAATGTTATACAATCCAGCTGCCATCAGTAATATTACATTAATGTTATACAATCCAGCTGCCATCAGTAATATTACATTGATGTCATTCACTCCAGCTGCCTATCGGTAATATTACATTGATGTCATTCAGTCCATCTGCCATCAGTAATATTACACTGATGTCATTCAGTCCATATGGTGCTATGACGTTTTCTGTTTGTAAATAAAAATGTGATGAATAATTTGTTTTTATAAAGCCAGCTCATATAAACTTTCTACTTAAAATCTTTATGCATGCAGACTTGATCTCGCCGCTATATTGCTGAAATAGTGGCGATGCGACGTAAAAATCAACTGCATAGGTAATATTACATTGATGTCATTCAGTCCAGCTGCCATCAGTAATATTACATTGATGTTATTTACTCAAGCTTCCATCGATAATATTACATTGATGTCATTCTGTCCAGCTGCCATCAGTAATATTACATTGATGTCATTCACTCCAGTTTCCATCGGTAATATTACATTGATGTCATTCCCTTCAGTTTCCATCGGTAATATTACATTAATGTCATACAATCCAGCTGCAATCAGTAATTAAAATTAATGTCATACAATCCAGCTGCCATCAGTAATATTACATTGATGTCATTCATTCCACTTTCCATCGGTAATATTACATTAATGTCATACAATCCAGCTGCCATCAGTAATTAAAATTAATGTCATACAATCCAGCTGTCATCAGTAATATTACATTGATGTCATTCACTCCAGTTTCCATAGGTAATATTACATTAATGTTATACAATCCAGCTGTCATCAGTAATATTACATTAACGTCATACAATCCAGCTGCCATCAGTAATATTACATTAATGTAATTCACTCCAGCTGCCTATCGGTAATATTACATTGATGTCATGCAGTCCAGGTGCCATCGGTAATATTACATTGATGTCATTCACTCCAGCTTCCTTCGGTAATATTACATTGATGTCATTCACTCCAGTTTCCATCGGTTATATTACATTGATGTCATTCAGTCGATATGCCATCAGTAATATTGCATTAATGTCATACAATCCAGCTGCCATCTGTAATATTACATTGATGTCATTCAGTCCAGTTTCCATCGGTAATATTACATTGATGTCATTCACTCCAGTTTCCATCGGTAATATTACATTGATGTCATTCACTCCAGTTTCCATCGGTAATATTACATTGATGTCATTCACTCCAGTTTCCATCAGTTATATTACATTGATGTCATTCAGTCCAGCTGCCATCAGTAATATTGCATTAATGTCATACAATCCAGCTGCCATCAGTAATATTACATTGTTGTCATTCACTCCAGTTTGCCATCGGTAATATTGCATTAATGTCATACAATCCAGCTGCCATCAGTAATATTACATTCATATCATACGATCCAGCTGCCATCGGTAATATTACATTGATGTCATTCACTCCAGCTGCCATCAGTAATATTGCATTAATGTCATACATTCCAGCTGCCATCAGTAATATTACATTGATGTCATTCACTCCAGCTGCCATCAGTAATATTACATTAATGTGATACAATCCAGCTGCCATCGGTGATATTACATTGATATTATACAATCCAGCTGCCAACGGTAATATTACATTGATGTCATTCACTCCAGCTGCCATCAGTAATATTACATTAATGTCATACAATCCAGCTGCCATCAGAAATATTACATTGATGTCATTCCCTCAAGTTTCCATCAGTAATATTACCTTAATGTCATACAATCCAGCTGCCATCAGTAATATTACATTAATGTCATTCTGTCCAGCTGCCATCGGTAATATTACATTGATGTGCTTCATCAGTAATATTACATTGATGTCATACATTCCCAGTACTACCATCGGTAATATTACATTAATGTCATTCACTCCAGTTTCCATCGGTAATATTACATTGATGTCATTCACTCCAGTCCAGTTTATTACATCAGTAATATTACCATCAGTATATCATTCAGTCCTACTGCTGCCATCAGTAATATTGCATTGAATGTCATACATTATCATTCAGCTGCCATCAGTAATATTACATTGATGTCATTCTGTCCAGGTAATATTACTTGCCATCCATCTGTAATATTACATTGTCATGTCCATTGGTGCTATGACGTTTTCTGTTTGTAAATAAAAATGTGATGAATAATTTGTTTTATAAAGCCAGCTCATATAAACTTTCTACTTAAAATCTTTATGCATGCAGCTTGATCCATCGCTGTAATATGCGACGTACATTGATATTACATTGATGTCCAGCTGCCATCAGTTATATTACATTGATGTCATTCATCGATTGTCCATTCGCTGTAATATTACATTGATGTCATTCAATCCAGCTGCAATCAGTAATATTACATTGTGTCATTCCAACCCAGCTGCCATCAGTAATATTACATTGATGTCATTCACTGCCAGCTGCCATCGGTAATATTACATTGATGTCATTCAATCCAGCTGCCATCGGTAATATTACATTGATGTCATTCACTCCAGCTGCCATCAGTAATATTGCACATTAATGCCATCAGTAATATTACAGCCAGCTGCATCGGTAATATTACATTGATATTATACAATCCAGCTGCCATCGGTAATATTACATTAATGTCATTCATTCCAGCTGCCATCAGTAATATTACATTAATGTCATACAATCCAGCTGCCATCAGTAATATTACATTGATGTCATTCACTCCAGCTGCCTATCGGTAATATTACATTGATGTCATTCAGTCCATCTGCCATCAGTAATATTACACTGTTGTCATTCAGTCCATCTGGTGCTATGACGTTTTCTGTTTGTAAATAAAAATGTGATGAATAATTTGTTTTTATAAAGCCAGCTCATATAAACTTTCTACTTAAAATCTTTATGCATGCAGACTTGATCTCGCCGCTATATTGCTGAAATAGTGGCGATGCGACGTAAAAATCAACTCCATAGGTAATATTACATTGATGTCATTCAGTCCAGCTGCCATCAGTAATATTACATTGATGTTATTTACTCCAGCTTCCATCGATAATATTACATTGATGTCATTCTGTCCAGCTGCCATCGGTAATATTACATTGATGTCATTCACTCCAGTTTCCATCGGTAATATTTCATTGATGTCATTCCCTTCAGTTTCCATCGGTAATATTACATTAATGTCATACAATCCAGCTGCCATCAGTAATTAAAATTAATGTCATACAATCCAGCTGCCATCAGTAATATTACATTGATGTCATTCACTCCACTTTCCATCGGTAATATTACATTAATGTCATACAATCCAGCTGCCATCAGTAATTAAAATTAATGTCATACAATCCAGCTGCCATCAGTAATATTACATTGATGTCATTCACTCCAGTTTCCATCGGTAATATTACATTAATGTTATACAATCCAGCTGTCATCAGTAATATTACATTAATGTCATACAATCCAGCTGCCATCAGTAATATTACATTGATGTAATTCACTCCAGCTGCCTATCGGTAATATTACATTGATGTAATTCACTCCAGTTTCCATCGGTAATATTACATTGATGTCATTCAGTCCAGATGCCATCAGTAATATTGCATTAATGTCATACAATCCAGGTGCCATCAGTAATATTACATTGATGTCATTCAGTCCAGTTTCCATCGGTAATATTACATTGATGTCATTCACTCCAGTTTCCATCGGTAATATTACATTGATGTCATTCACTCCAGTTTCCATCAGTTATATTACATTGATGTCATTCAGTCCAGCTGCCATCAGTAATATTGCATTAATGTCATACAATCCAACTGCCATCAGTAATATTACATTGATGTCATTCACTCCAGCTGCCATCGGTAATATTACATTGATGTCATTCACTCCAGCTGCCATCAGTAATATTGCATTAATGTCATACAATCCAGCTGCCATCGGTAATATTACATTGATATTATACAATCCAGCTGCCATCGGTAATATTACATTGATGACATTCACTCCAGCTGCCATCAGTAATATTACATTAATGTCATACAATCCAGCTGCCATCAGTAATATTACATTGATGCCATTCACTCCAGCTGCCATCGGTAATATTACATTGATGCCATTCACTCCAGCTGCCATCAGTAATATTACACTGATGTCATTCAGTCCAGCTGGTGCTATGACGTTTTCTGTTTGTAAATAAAAATGTGATGAATAATTTGTTTTTATAAAGCCAGCTCATATAAACTTTCCACCTAAAATCTTTATGCATGCAGACTTGATCTCGCCGCTATATTGCTGAAATAGTGGCGATGCGACGTAAAAGTCAACTCCATAGGTAATATTACATTGATGTCATTCTGTCCAGCTGCCATCAGTAATATTACATTGATGTTATTTACTCCAGCTTCCATCGATAATATTACATTGATGTCATTCTGTCCAGCTGCCATCAGTAATATTACCTTAATGTCATACAATCCAGCTGCCATCAGTAATATTACATTAATGTCATACAATCCTACTGCCATCAGTAATATTACATTGATGTCATTCACTCCACTTTCCATCGGTAATATTACATTGATGTCATTCACTCCAGTTTCCATCGGTAATATAACATTGATGTCATTCACTCCAGTTTCCATCAGTAATATTACATTGATGTCATTCAGTCCTGCTGCCATCAGTGATATTGCATAAATGTCATACAATCCAGCTGCCATCAGTAATATTACATTGATGTCATTCTGTCCAGCTGCCATCAGTAATATTACATTGATGTCATTCACTCCAGTTTCCATCAGTAATATTACATTGATGTCATTCTGTCCAGCTGCCATCGGTAATATTACATTGATGTCATTCACCCCAGTTTCCATCAGTAATATTACATTGATGTCATTCAGTCCTGCTGCCATCAGTAATATTGCATAAATGTCATACAATCCAGCTGCCATCGGTAATATTACATTGATGTCATTCTGTCCAGCTGCCATCGGTAATATTACATTGATGTTATTTACTCCAGCTTCCATCGATAATATTACATTGATGTCATTCTGTCCAGCTGCCATCGGTAATATTACATTGATGTCATTCACTCCACTTTCCATCGGTTATATTACATTGATGTCATTCAGTCGATATGCCATTGGTAATATTACATTAATGTTATACAATCCAGCTGCCATCAGGAATATTACATTAATGTCATACAATCCAGCTGCCATCAGTAATATTACATTGATGTCATTCAGTCCAGCTGCCATCGGTAATATTACATTGATGTCATACAATCCAGCTGCCATCAGTAATATTACATTGATGTCATACAATCCAGCTGCCATCAGTAATATTACATTAATGTCATACAATCCAGCTGCCATCAGTAATATTACATTAATGTCATACAATCCAGTCCCCATCTGTAATATATCGATGTCATTCAGTCCACTTCCCAACAGTAATATTCCACGGATGTCGTTCAGTCCCGCCCTCTCGTGTCACTCCTCAAAAACAGGTGTGCAGAATTTATGCAATACCAACATAGCTATGTCGTAATTCCACGTAAGTGTTTTAAAGTGTCACTGTGCGTTCAACGATCATATGTTGTCTCAGCTAAGGGGCCGATCCTATCAATGACACCCTCCCCCATCTACCGCCCACCCCAGCCCCCACTATTCCCCTAATGTTTAAGCATCGTTTTTAAATTTTGACATAAACAAATCTCTCTCTCTCTCTCTGGCTCTCTGGCTCTCTCTAAAACTCTCTCTCTCTCTCTCTCTCTCTCTGTCTCTCTCTCTCTCTCTCTCTCTCTCTCTCTCTCTCTCTCTCTCTCTCTCTCTCTCTCTCTCTCTCTCTCTCTCTCTCTCTCTCTCTCTCTCTCTCTCTCTCTCTCTCTCTCTCTCTCTCTCTCTCTCTCTCTCTCTCTCTCTCTCTCTCTCACACATAGCATATGAATAGCCATGGAAGCAGGTGCTTGAGAATCGTGGGCACATGCTGTACTACCATTGGTATCTGTGACACACTCACACAAAGGAACGTCACCAGACCCCCATATGGTGCGTGCGCATAGAGATCAATTCATTCAACTAATACAGTGTAGGCTACATTGCATTCGCTACTTCTGTGGTAGTCATAAAAAAATCGATTTAAATGGATTTAAACACAACACTACGAGTCGGCCATAAGCTTAGTGCTCCTATCTTACACTTCGTGATGTTGACGTAGGGAGGTTTGTGTCTCTAGGTGTCTCTGGCAGAGCGCTCACGACTGGCTATCACCTCAAAGAACAGAGAAGGCTGTTCAGTTGTCGGCGTTTAATCGGCGGAGGCAGAGTGAGTAACATTTACATGTTATCATAATATAGTATGGTGCCTGTGCAAAACGTATAAAGATGCAGAAGGCATAATTCTAATACAATAGGTTACGTGTACACACGTATATAGAGGTAGGAGACATAATCATAATACAATAGGTTACGTGTACACACGTATATAGAGGTAGGAGACATAATCCTAATACAATAGGTTACGTGTACACACGTATATATGGGAAGTATCAGATGGCGCATACATTTTGGAATAAGAAAAGTGAAACGTATCATTGAGAAGATATTTCTTGTAGCATGAAGGAATAGTGTGCCTATGAAGTCTTGGTGCGTTCTAGACACGATACCTCTGTGAATAATAAACCAACACTGAACGGTTGAGGAAACTAGCATGAATGACAGTAGCTGTAACAACAATGGAATATGGGATTATGTAAATGGTAATTTTCAACAAAATCATATTCCGATCGTCGTGCAGTACTGCAGTAAATAGGCTTTTACGGAATTGTGGACTGTTTATCACAGTCCTGGTCGTATCCGAGTTCTGGTCAGTATAATCGAGAACACGGGGACGATGGAGCAGACGAAGTGACGGACTGAGGGGAAAGTCTTGGCAGCCAGGTGGGTACCCGACAGTTCCCAGTGGCAGTAGTGACTCATATTATCTTAACCGAAAACAAAATATTCCTTGATACTGGATATGGGGTGTAGCATTATAACGGGGATATTATTTCTCCCTGTTTCGTATGTGAGGCCTGTTTCACTATGAAAGTTCACTGATTGCTTTACTATACCGTGTATTTACATAAAGTGACGTGCACGTGCAGCGTGATAAATCACTCACGCACAACGTCAAACATCCTCCCTGTGAAGTGTTTCACTCATGTGCCGACTGTATTTGTATAACGTTTGAAAAGCAGTCTCAAAATAGACCTGTATCACAGGAATCCGGTATCGTTATGTATGTTATACATAGACCATAGATCTACACATATGTCATGTATGATATATAATATATATAGATCTGTTGTCATGTCATATTTGACGTGTATGTAGATCTATGGTCTATGTTTAACCTACATAACGATACCTGGTTCCTGTGACCTGTATTACATTGAAAGTTAGCTCGGTGTTGAACTGTTGATACTGTTGATATGTTCGATACTGATACACGGTGACACATTTGTGAATGGATATAGCATCAGCCGTACGCTGAGTTCCTATGTCCCATGTTCGTCAAGGAACGAGCCTTCGTCAAGGAACGAGCCTTCGTCAAGGAACGAGCCTTCTGTTCACCCTCGTTAAAGGGCGGTTAAGCGTATTATTCGTGACGGCTGTTGCCAGGGTGAGTTGAGTTGAATTGCAACGAGTTGTTTGTTGCCAAGGTGACAGGTACGCTGGATGTAAAGGTGTATTATTTCCATTGGTCGTTCACTCGTACTGCTGGTAAATATTTACTCGTGTGAGTCAGGGTGAAGTTACGCCGCAGTTGGAAATATACCAGAGGTAAGCTGCGTATCTGCGTAATTTATGCAAATATTTATGTAAAAACTCAATTTCTATTAAGGCTATTGCGTACAAGTACGCTTGAATTTTTGTAAATACTCAATAGATGTGATCTTACATGCGTACACACAAAAATGTCAAATCATAGCTTGCGTACCGGTGTATACAAAAAATAACTGAGGTATACTGAGAGGTTCTGTTTCAGGACTTGAACTTGGCAACTTGCAGTCTTTCCTATCGTTTCTCATATTACAGATCAAACATAAATAACAAACACTAACATTTAAACTTTTGATATTTTTTACAATTAATGGAAAATGACAAAATACCCAATTGAGTTTGAGTGAGGTGAGTACAATGTATTTGGTTACTCAATGGAAAATTAGGATACCGAACTGAGATGAACACAAGTGAGTACATAACTCAATGACCCAAAAAGTTATCTGTAGCTCTGGACAGATGCATTGATGCCCAAGTCCAAACTTGGTGTAAAAAATAGTTCTGTGTATCAGAGAAATTATGGATCATGTAAATCATTACTAGAACCCAAATTGTACATTCTGTAAAATTTGGAGAAATATCTTATGAGGATTCAGTCAAATTCCGATATTTATCACGTGGTTTAAAAATACAGCTTAAACTTAAGAAATACACTTCGCTCTACCACCATGTACTTTAATACTTTCTAAAGATAATTACGATTAATTTAAGGCAGAAAACAAACGACGGTGTCGGTGACCTAAATTAAGAATCCTCGCACAGCGCTAACTGGCGCGCTGTTCTATTGATGTGTCTGCCCACTACGTTAAGACGAACGTTACCAGAAAAAAACAAATGATAACAGTTTGATGACGGTTTGCTTTGGGATTAATTACCTTCTCTGAATTATTTTAATTACATCTGTCATTAACGTAAACCATATTGGGCAATATGAACGTTGCATTTCTACTACCAGCGTAAGTTTAGATCAGTACATCCAGAGGAAGTTGAGTAGTCAAGCGACATTCCACAATTGTATTGTGGGAATGTAAACATTACGAACGTTGCCGTGTCGCTGAAAACTTGTGAGTCGAAATGACACATTTTAACCGATGTAAAACATAAACGTAATGTTTCCACATGATGTTAGCTGCGTGAAGCAACAGCAAACCAAGAAACTGGATGCAACGGTGTAGTTTACTGTAGGAGGCCGTACGAGGCGATGACAACTGACATGCATCGTGACGTCGCTTACATTGTGACGTAATGTAAAATGGTTCGATTACGAGGGGGGCACACTAGAATGGCGCAGTGACGGGATAACGTCATTCAATTGTTACGTCATCAAAAAACTATACCTTAATTGTCTGATAATGTATTTTTTTTTGATTGTTCTAACCGCTAGGCGTCTTAGAAACCTTAATAAAACGTATAATCCAAAATGCCTAAGCTGCGATAAATGTAATTTCATGAAGATCGAGGACGGATATAAATGTTTATGAGTGTGTCATTACTATAAGTCAAGCAGAGAGATGTTGTTACCCATATACTATCATCGATAGCCATTAATACAGAAACTTGTAGATCTTACCTCAACAAGAAATAGCAGGGATGTTTATAACCATCTTTCTGAAAAGACACTTTTATAGAAAATGATATTCTCACCGACTGTAATCATATGCTGTGAAACACACATCACCATGCAATGAGTCTACGTGCACCCTGGACCACGGGGCCTCAAGCACTGAATAAACTGGTAGGGGCGTAGCTACCATTATTAAAAAAAGCTCGGGCTTACACATGATTTTTGACAAAAAAATGTCTAATTATGGCAAAAACTACCTATAAACACGTTATCAGAACAACATAAAAATGGTAATCCCTCTATGAATCATTATATTGACTACAATATTCTTCGATAACAAAGCATTACAAACAGAGTCACCATTTACAGTAAACATGTTATTCTTCATATCATAGAGTTGAAAGGCGCATTCTTTCATTGATGATTTTTTTCCATCGATATGTATGTGAATGTTTTGTTACAGTCATGATTATATGTGAATCATAACTGATATGCCGATATTTACAATCATTTACAAAAAAACAAATACTCGATGCATGGTATTGTATCAGTAAACGTACGATAAACAATGTCAAAACATATTTGCACATGAGAGTCACATTTCAATCAAACAATGGTAGACAACTCTAAGTTATCCTTATGATTTCAAAATATTGATAAGATAACAACATTTTGAAGTTATTAAATCATGTAACGTCAAACAATAACACTTCAGGTCTCATAAAAATAATAGAAAAACATATGACCGCCTCCGTGGTGTAGTGGTTAGAGCGTCTGCCCGGAGAGCGGAAGGTCGCGGGTTCGATCCCCGACCGCGTCACACCAAAAGACGTTACAATATGGTACTTGTTGGTCCCTGCCTGGCGCTCGGCATTAATGGGTACAACAAGGACTGGTCGGCTCCGAGTCAGTATAATGTGTCTGAGTGGGGTATTCATGCTTCACTGCGGCATGGTATCTCAGTGGGCTAGCACTATAAAACCAGCTTCAGTCTGGGCTAGTACAAGCAGCCGCACATACACATACACACGCATGCACGTCGTCATATGAGCGAAATATCTCAAGCACGACGTAAAACCCAATTTCACCTCACCTCACCTCATAAAAAATGAAGGTAGGCTATCTCAATACTATCTAAATTTAAAGCTTTGCAACCTATCGGGTTTACACGAAAAAAATGGCTTGCTACGCGCCCGACTGCCTGTCATGCCATCTGGCATAATTTGGACAGTTTACAATTTCAAACATTATTTCAAACGTTCTATCGATCTGACACATTTCGATTAAATTTCCAGAGATGGAAATGATTAGGAATTTGTACAATATTATTCCAATCTTTTGCGCATGTCTGGTATATATTTAGTTGTACTAAGAGAAACACTTGCCAATCCAGTGAGACGTGTGCCATTTGTATCTCCTTCCAAATCAACATGTGGGCATGGGTCACAGTCAAACCAACAGAAACATATCGGAAATATAAGGACATTTCACTAATTTTGTATTTGCAGGCGATCGGTAGAGTCACAGCTCATTAAGGTGGACAAAATGCTTTAGTGAGGAACATCTAATTTCTTGAGGCCACGGGGAAGATTTAGTCTAAACTTTATCACAGACGAATATTTGATGAAGAACTATTACGATAGAAACGCATTGTTTTAAATATTACGTGCCTACTTTTATGAACAACTCAAAGATATTCCTAGATATCATTTATATGAACATTTTGCTGATTCTATAATGTTAATTCAAATATGCATGCCTCGGTTTAGTAATATAAATGATATACACAAAAGACTTACACATAACATGGTCATGATACTGTGAGCAGCGATGTTCGCAAGTGGGATACGATGGCATGCATCAAACAAGTAAGTGAGAACGACCACTCGATCACATTAGTTCCTTCTTACAACAAGGGTTGCTGAGAATCAATTTTGAACCAGATTGTGTTACCGGGCCAATATATGTTTGAACCTCGTGATATGGTTGTAGGTCATTCCCACTGCTATTATAGACAACACAATGTATGTCGCCAATATCAACTGGTTTCTGTATAAGTCATAGCTCGGGGTGAGCATTGTCAAGTTACATTGAATCAATATCAGCTGTTCAATACGCGCACAGAAGGTGGTATAGACGTTGGCAGACAAGTTAGATCCATTAGGAATAGGTTTTGTGCTGAAGACCTTGAAATCGTATTTATAAACACATGTACAGCAGTGGGTGACCTCGTCTTGATGGATACTGCCACCTCAACTGTTGTTCATTTCCTGATGTCAGTATGTCGCATGACTACGTTGTCAGGCAAGCAGAGAGTTAGCGCACCATGGAATTGGCTCACGTGAATCACTATCTTCATCAGCTGTTGAACGTCAACAATACACCGGGCTTGAAATATCGACAGACTTCCCCGATATGAAACTACCGAGCCGGCTGTCGTCAGCTGCATTGTTCCAACATTATGAACTGAGCTGTGATCAGCAAAGCCTGTATTACAAATTTTATGCTTACCCAGATCTATATATTTATGTTCCAAACTACGAATACTAATATTACTGGGAGATTTGGGTTATAAAATGCGTTCCCTCCTTGTACGGGCCACATTAACTCTGTATCGCTGCGACCTTAGAGGTGCAAGTACTCAAACTTTCTGCCCAACCCTTTCTACAATGCAATAGCGAAAGTGAGTTGTGATTGGTTCGCTCAACTTCCCAGCGTAGACACCTGATTGGATAAAAAGCCAGCCAAGGGAGGAAATAAAATCCTCGGCCGTGAATGCATCCAGGGTATAGTGGAGAGTGATCCCAACCTATGCCCTGGAGTTTTTCGAATTTGGGCCAGTCTAGATTCCCACTGGTTCTGAGTCGCCGAGTCAACTGGGTCTAAATCAGTATAAACGGAGTTATCTATTTCTATCCAAATGTCCTATTTTCAGGACCTACCAATTTGTATAACGTGCCAGGATCCTGTAATTATGGATCGAATCATGCCCCGGATATGCTTATTGGATGTTCATGGCCATATCAGTATGTTTGAATTTCTTCTAAATTAGACAACTGTTGTAAGATTCAAAATTCAACCTGCACGCTATATAGACTCTTTCTGGCATTTGTCGTTTGTTTTGCTTTGTGTGTGCGTATGCGTATGCGTGTGCGTATGTTTTGTTGCATTGGTATGGGTTGGGGCTATTTAAGATGAAAGGCCATCTAAGCAGAATAAATTGATTGAATAAGGGGTCTTGTCACTATTCCATCGTCAGATGAAGCTAGTTCAGAATCTACCCGTGAAGGTCCGGGTTAGGATATTGATCTTCAGTACCCATGCTTGTCGTAAGAGGCGACTAACGGGATCGGGTTGTCAGACTCGCTGACTTGGTTGACACATGTCATCGGTTCCCAATTGCGCAGATCGATGGTCATGTCGTTGATCACTGGATTGTCTGGTCCAGAGTCGATTATTTACAGACTGCCGCCATATAGCTGGAATATTGCTGAGTGCGGCGTAAAACTAAACTCACTCACACACTCCTAGAGCAAGGATGTTTAACTGTGACTATAGATGTGGTTTATAACATATTTCAAGAATTCCTCCGACAATCAATAAACATCCAAAGTACACTATCACATGATGTTCAGATTTTAGCATCTTGTCTTCCAAACTTCACGTGATATTCAAGGAACTTCATATCCACCTAGCATAAAGTCAACTGCCACTTCATTGATCATAATTATGTCGTTTTCTGAGATCTCAACCCTGGAAATGTTTAATATAGAGATACCTTTTTCCATGATCAGTTGCCACGACTGTACACGTGGAACGCGTGTGGTCATCAGTTAACTCGATCTGACCAGCACCATCAGAGATACTGGTCTGTGATTATGTACGATTAGGGTTATTTCTTGTGATCCATGGCAGGTTTAAGATTGTGGAACATGATCGGTTAGTGTACTATTTATAGTTTATAATCGCAAATAACGAGAAACATTTATCAAAAACTTTGTTCATTTTCCCCTTGTTAGTATGAGGGGTTATCTCATTCGAACCAGTGATGCTGAAAGCTTCAAATATGACGCTGGGGTAGACAGAGTGTTTGCATCTCACACGGAATGTCTGGGTTCAATTCCCCAGTTCGGTATAATGCACTGTCTCTGTTGCCCTACGCCGTGATATTACTAAAAACGGCCTAAAACCAAAATTCCCTCGGTTTTATGCTGCAGCATCGAAAACTGGCCCCAAAAATGCGAACTACGTACACTGGTCATCGTGCTAAGAACCCTGCGACGGGGCCGTGTCCCCCGAGGCAATGCCATCCGTTTGTCCAACGTGTGCTTGTGTTTTACAGGGACATGCGATGCCACTTAAAGAAGCTCTGCCTCCTGGCCAGCATCAGTTTCGTCATTGGTTACTTCATCACAAACACCATATATTGGAATGAGGACACCGTGAGGAACATGATCATCTCCATGAAACAAGCCGCTGCTTTTGGGTTCGTCTCGACTCCGTCCCACCCCTTCCACGTCAACTGTACAGCGTTGTTACTAGGCAACAAGACAGAGATATACAACGCCATCATGCTCAAACAGGTTCCAGCCAGCCGTGGCGCTCTACCGCCCATACAGTCATGTGAAACGTTCAAACAGAGGTTCATTCTGAATGTCAGTGACGAAGAGATAGATTTCCCCATTGCCTTCAGTATCCTGGTGTATAAGAACAGTCATCAAGTGGAGCGACTTCTGAGGGCAGTGTACCGTCCGTCCAATGTCTACTGCATCCATGTTGACACAAAGTCAACGGCCATGTTGGAAGATATGCGCCGCCTAGCGGCGTGTTTTGACAACGTGTTCTTGTCTTCCCGACAAGTGAATGTGAAATGGGGAAAATTCTCCGTCCTTGAACCGGAACTGATATGCATGGAAGACCTCTTGAAGTACCGGAAGTGGCGCTACTTCATCAACTTGACTGGCCAGGAGTTTCCACTCAAGACCAACTACCAGCTCGTCAAGATCCTCCAGGCGTACAGGGGAGCTAATGACGTCTCAGGCACCACAACAAGGTCTGTATCATCCTGACGTCCGGTCGCTTGGGTGGGTAGTGTAGTGGTTGGGGAAGATAGGGAATTCTAGTAGTTGGTTGGGCAGCTGGGGAGTCTAGTACTGGGATTGGGAGGAGGGGTGGACCAGTGTTTGGGGTACTTTTTGTATTATTTTTAATACTTTTTTCATTATTTGAAAGACACTGCCTCCATATTCCATTTTGCGCGAATATTTTGCGATCATGCACATTCCTTGGCAACAAAGGCCCTCGCCTTTTTACTGCCGCTTTAGACAATTTCCATAGCCTGTGGGCTAATTGCCGTCGTATTTATCGAATTTGGGTTACGGTTTTAGTTTAAAGGTAAAGGGTATTCGATTTTGAATAAAAGTACTGGTAGGTGCTAAAACCTTCAAAGAAAGAAATGATTCAAGCTGTTCTTTGGATTAACATATGCTTGTGTTTGCTGTGAGAAGAATTAGCAATTAGAAACAAGAAGGCTCTGAATTTGTTCATGATTTCAAAGAACTTACTACACATGCCAAGTGAGAGGGGTCGGGTAGATGGGTAGCCTAGAGAGAATGGGTTGGGGAATTGGGGTGGCCTAGTGAATTGGTGATGAGCCTAGCTGGAGGAGAGGAGGGGTAGCCTATTGAGGGAGATGGGACAGCCTAGTGAGAGGGGTGATGGAGTAGCCTATTGGGGGAGATGGCACAGCCTGGTGAGAGGGGTGATGGAGAAGCCTTGTGAGGGAGATGGGACAGCCTGGTGAGAGGGGTGATGGAGAAGCCTATTGAGGGAGATGGGACAGCCTAGTAAGAGGGGTGATGGAGAAGCCTGGTGAGGGAGATGGGACAGCCTGGTGAGAGGGGTGATGGAGAAGCCTGGTGAGGGAGATGGGACAGCCTGGTGAGAGGGGTGATGGAGAAGCCTAGTGAGGGAGATGGGACAGCCTGGTGAGAGGGGTGATGGAGAAGCCTAGTGAGGGAGATGGGACAGCCTGGTGAGAGGGGTGATGGAGAAGCCTAGTGAGGGAGATGGAACAGCCAAGTGAGAGGGGTGATGGAGAAGCCTTGTGAGGGAGATGGGACAGGGTAGTAATTGATCGGGTATATTAGTAATTATGTTAGTGTTTCTTGTTTCGTATTTATCTGTGAATACTGTAAGTAATATGATGCAAAGGTCTCACTAAAATTATCCCCAACTCTGTTAGCCTTGTGTCACTTGGAGCCTGAGTTACGACCGTAACTGACACTCCGGAAAATATATGAAATTACTTTTCAAAGCAGCATTTAATCCTGTAACTGACACATTTCTTTTCAAGATACAATGAGAACATACGGCGTTTCTGGAAAGCAGGCACGGCTCCACACGGTCTCCGTCCTGTCATCGGTTCTGTCCACGTCGTTGTCAACAGGAACTTTGTCAACTTCTCCGTGAACGACCCTATAGCCAAGGATCTACAGAAGTGGCTAAGGCTCACAGAAATACCTGACGAAACATACTTCCCAACTCTCAACTACAGCCCACAACTCAACATCTCAGGGACATCCAGGGGTAAGTGTCTACGCCCCAGTTCAAGATAATGAGGATATTCTACGCCCACCCCAGTTCAAGATAATGAGGATATTCAAGGGTAAGTCTAGTTCAAGATCTTCACCCCAGTTCAAGATAATGAGGATATTCAAGGGTAAAGTGTCTACACCCCAGTTCAAGATCATGGGTAAGTGTCTACACTCCCAGTTCAAGGACATTCAAGGGTATTCAAGGTGTCTATACTCCAGTTCAAGATAATGAGGATATTCAATGGTAAGTGTCTACACCCCAGTTCAAGATAATGAGGATATTCAAGGGTAGGTGTCTACACCCCAGTTCAAGATCATAGGGACATTCAAGGGTAGGTGTCTATACTCCAGTTCAAGATAATGAGGATATTCAAGGGTAAGTGTCTACACCCCAGTTCAAGATAATGAGGATATTCAAGGGTAAGTGTCTACACCCCAGTTCAAGATCATAGGGACATTCAAAGGGTAGGTGTTCAAGATAATGAGGATATTCAAGGGTCCAGTTCAAGATACTGAGGATATTCAAGGGTAACACTGTCTTCAAGATACACAAGGGTAGGTGTCTACACCCCAGTTCAAGGATAAGGGTAAGTGACTACACCCCAGTTCAAGATAATGAGGATATTCAAGGGTAAGTGTCTACACCCCAGTTCAAGATACTGAGGATATTCAAGGGTAAGTGTCTACACTCCAATTCAAGATACTGAGGATATTCAAGGGTAAGTGTCTACACCCCAGTTCAAGATACTGAGGATATTCAAGGGTGTCTACACTCCAGTTCAAGTCTAGGATATTCAAGGGTAAGGGTCCCCAGTTCAAGATACTGAGGATATTCACCCCAGGGTAAGTGTCTACACCCCAGTTCAAGATCATATTCAAGGACATTCAAGGGTAAGATAGTGTCTATACTCCAGTTCAAGATACTGAGGATATTCTACACCCCAGTTCAAGATAATGAGGATATTCAAGGGTTAGGTAACTCCAGTTCAAGATACAAGGATATATCAAGGGTAGGTGTCTACACCCCAGTTCAAGATCATATGGACATTCAAGGGTAAGTGTCTACACTCCAGTTCAAGATAATATTCAAGGGTATATTCAAGGATCATAACATTCAAGGGTGTGTCTACACCCCAGTTCAAGATAATGAGGATATTCAAGGGTAAGTGTCTACACCCCAGTTCAAGATAATGAGGATATTCAAGGGTAAGTGTCTATACTCCAGTTCAAGATACTGAGGATATTCAAGGGTAAGTGTCTACACCCCAGTTCAAGATACTGAGGATATTCAAGGGTAGGTGTCTACACCCCAGTTCAAGATCATATGGACATTCAAGGGTAGGTGTCTATACTCCAGTTCAAGATACTGAGGATATTCAAGGGTAGGTGTCTACACCCCAGTTCAAGATAATGAGGATATTCAAGGGTAAGTGTTTACATTCAAGGGTAGGTGTCCACGACGGAGCTCAAGATCATATGGACATTCAAGGGTAGGTGTCTACACCCGAGCTCAAGGACCTAAGGACATTCAAGGGTAGGTGTCTACGACCCAGCTCAAGATCCAGAGGACATTCAAGGGTATGTGTCTACACTCCAGTTCAAGATCATATGGACATTCAAGGGTAAGTGTCCACACCCCATTTCAAGATACTGAGGGCATTCAAGGGTAAGTGCCTACTGTAACAAAGTAAGGAACGACAAAGAGATAGGATGGAGTATTTCTTGTTTATTCGTCAAATCAACAGCGGCTTGGAAGTCGGATGGTTGGAGCAGTCCTGGCCTGTCTGCTGAGACCAGCTGGTGTTGTTGCTGTCTCTGCTGCTGTCCTGTTCTCCGCTTTCTGTCAGGCCGCCTTCCTTTATGTAGTCCCTTGGTAATATTAATGGCTCAGCCATCTGTATCCCACAGGCTGTGCAACCAGCAGGACAGATGTCAGAAACGTCAGTGTTAATTCCCCATGGATTAGTTTCATCACCGGTCACAGGTAGTGTCCAAACGTTAATGTGCCATTGTCATCGTGGTGGATTACTTCACAGCAGTTCTTTGCTGCATGTTGACACATTCAGGGGACTGACCATGGATTTGACCTGGGACTGACCGGGAGAGGTGGCCATCAACTATGTTACACTACACTCCACCCTTAACATCCCAACATCCAACTTTAACCTCCCAGGGACATTCAAGGGTAAGTCCCCACACTTTAACCTCCCAGGGACATTCAAGGGTAAAGTGTCCTCACTTTAACCTCCCAGGGACATTCAAGGGTAAGTCTCCACACTTTAACCTCCCAGGGACATTCAAGGGTAAAGTGTCCTCCACACTTTAACCTCCTCCAAGGGACATTTAACCTCCCAGGACATTCAAAGTCTCCACACTTTAACCTCCCAGGGACATTCAAGGGTAAAGTGTCCTCACTTTAACCTCCCAGGGACATTCAAGGGTAAGTGTCCACACTTTAACCTCCCAGGGACATTCAAGGGTAAAGTGTCCACACTTTAACCTCCCAGGGACATTCAAGGGATAAAGTGTCCACACTTTAACCTCCCAGGGACATTCAAGGGTAAAGTGTCCACACTTTAACCTCCCAGGGACATTCAAGGGTAAGGGTAAAGTCTACACTTTAACCTCCCAGGGACATTCAAGGATAAAGTGTCCACACTTTAACCTCCCAGGGACATTCAAGGGTAAGTGTCCACACTTTAACCTCCCAGGGACATTCAAGGGTAAGTGTCTACACTTTAACCTCCCAGGGACATTCAAGGATAAAGTGTCCACACTTTAACCTCCCAGGGACAAGTGTCCACACTTTAACGTTCCAGGGACATTCAAGGGTAAGTGTCCACACTTTAACCTTCCAGGGACATTCAAGGGTAAGTGTCCACACTTTAACCTAAAGTGTCCACACTCCTCAGGGACATTCAAGGGTAAGTGTCCACACTTTAACCTCCCAGGGACATTCAAGGGGATAAAGTGTCCACACTTTAACCTCCCAGGGACATTCAAGGGCAAGTGTCTACACTTTAACCTCCAAGGGACATTCAAGGGTAAGTGTCTACACTTTAACCTCCCAGGGACATTCAAGGATAAAGTGTCCACACTTTAACCTCCCAGGGACATTCAAGGGTAAGTGTCCACACTTTAACGTTCCAGGGACATTCAAGGGTAAGTGTCCACACTTTAACCTCCCAGGGACATTCAAGGGTAAGTGTCCACACTTTAACCTCTCAGGGCCATTCAAGGGTAAGTGTCATTCAAGGGGACATTCAAGGATAAAGTGTCCACACTTTAACCTCCCAGGGACATTCAAGGGTAAGTGTCCACACTTTAACCTCCCAGGGACATTCAAGGTGAAGTGTTAACACTGTTGTATGTTGGCTCCAAAGTTGAAACTAGAACGTTTACAAGGAATCCAACAATCAACACAAAATTACCGTAATTAACAATTATATTTTCAAATTAACTAAGTTGGCAGATCAATACAAATCAATACAAAAGTATCACTATGTGAGTAGGAAATAGAGCGGCAGAACCAATGCAAGGTAATGTATGTTTGTTTGTTGTTTAACGCAGCACAATATCCAAGCAATATGGCGGATGTCTGTAAATATCTGGACCAGACAGTCCAGTGGCCAACAGCCTGAGCATCGATCTACGTAACTGGGATACGATGACACACTGACCACTCAATCCATAAGTCGCCTCTTACGACAAGCATGGGTTGCTAAAGACCAATTCTAGCACGACAATGTGTGATACTCGATTCTGATTGGCTGAGAGCTCATCAAAACCGTACTTAAATGACAGTTTAAGGACCGCTAATTAAAGTGACCGATTCACTGCGTATGAATACAACGAACTCGTTGACCCTGTTGTTTGTAAACAAACATGTCTGACATCGGAGACTTCTACCTCGGCAGCATCTTTGACGCGTTCGGTTTTTAAATTACATTTAGCGGTCTTAAATCAACGATAAAGGACCGCAAAATTGAAAACAGAGTAGCTTTATCTTCTAATTTTAACGTGGATCTTCACAGGTACCCAAGGTAATGTAATACAAGAGTAGGGATTACATCGATAAAGACAGTGATGATAGTATTTACCTCGCAGCAACAGTATCCGAACTTGCAAGAAAGGCCTAGGCAGAAAATAGCCAGGGTATGATGATCATTGGACATAATGCTCATCTTGCAATGTGGGACGAGAGGCAAGAGTTAGCTCCCCTGATGTATCAAAGAAAAAGCTACCAGATCTTCCCATAATGATCACTGCTTCAGAGGAGAGTTGTCCAATACAGAACTCTGTCTGAATAGGGTCCAGTATTGATATAAAGCATACCACTGCCCGTACTGAACGTCAACAGGCACAATGTATTACTGCCACATAACATCACCCCCACTATAACAGATCACGGGCTCTTAAGGGTAAGTCTCTACTAAACTACCCAAAATCGGGTTTGAAAGCAATTTCAGAGTCCCGTGACCCCAACCCCTCTCTAACCCAAACCAACCCCATTACACCACCACCACCAAAAACAAACAAAAAATAACAACAACAAACAAACAAAAAACAAACACCAACAATAAACAAACAAGACACACACACGCACACACGCGCGCTCACAAATACATAGACCATAAATCACGTACTTACCTTGCCTCCGTGTATTTGCAGCTGCTCCTCGCCTTGAACCATTCCTTGCTCGATATAAGAACTGGGATCACGGCATACTGGCTTACAAAGACGATTGCCAAGGCAAGTACCTGAGGGAGATCTGTGTGCTGGGGGCGGGCGACTTCGCCCAGCTGACCACGGAGAGACATCTGTTCGCCAACAAATTCGAGGAGGATTTCCAACCCGCTGGATTGTCGTGTCTGGAGGAGTGGTACTACCAGCAGACAAGACTGGAACTGGCTGGACACCGGGAGTACGACACTTCCTTCTACTCCAAGCTGGACTTTGTTCTCAATCAGATATCTCGGTGAGAGAGTAGGTTCACAATCACGTATTCGTTCGTCACTGTGGTACACTTGTCAGTGTCGGTGTGTGACACCTGACAATCTACACCAATATGTTTACAGCAAGATTCCGCACTCATGAATATTCCAGCTATATGGCGGCGGTCTGTAAACAATCGAGTCTGGACCAGACAATCCAGTGATCAAAGGCATGAGCATCGATCTACGCAACTGGGATACGGTGACATGTGTCAACCAAGTCTGCGAGCCTGACCACCCTCCCCCGTTAGTTGCCTCTGACGACAAGCATGGGCTGCTAAAGACCAATATTAACCCCGTTCTTCACGGCCCGTCATTCGGAATGATGGATTATGATGGAGTGAGATAAACAGTACGCTACTACATCGCTGGCTCGGTTGACAGATGTGGACATACAGGTAATGTGAGCAAGACATGACTAGGGGCCAGTCCAAATTTGCCCAATTTATCGCATGACAAGGATATAAGACATGACTATGAGGACATTCTAGGGTGGCCACCCCGTCGATGTCTGTTTGAGATACTTCTGTTAGAAGGGAGTCTGAAGGTAATTGTAATTGAAATTCACGCACTTGTGATTTTATCTCCTTATTGTGATTGTTCATTTTTGAGTGTATGCATTTATACCTTCTTGATACTTTGTCAATTGTTCAGTATTATTTTTAACGAAATCCCATGAAATGTGTTAGAATATTTGTCACAGAAATGAAATTCTGAGTCTCCCGCGTTTATTCTTCGGGGTCCAAAAAATTTATGTGTAGTATTCTTGGTGTTTCTGAAAGACAATATTGACACATTTTATGGGTAACAACGTCGTATATTTTGTAAGTACGATGTTTCGATACAGATTCTTGTACCTTTGTCAAGCAGGAGTGAGTGAGTGACAATCCAGTGATCAACAGCATGAGCATCGAACTGCGCAATTGGGAACCGATGACATGTGTCAACCAAGTCAGCGAGCCTGACCACCCGATCCCGTTAGTCGCCTTTTACGACAAGCATAGTCGCCTTGTATGACAAGAATGGTTTGCTGAAGACCTATTCTACCCCGGATCTTCACGGGTCTTGTCAAGCAGGAATGCGATTAGATAATGTTTTGAGATTTTACGTGCACGTATTGTGTATTCCGCACGCGGCTGTAATATGAAGAGGATGTATATATATTGTGTGTAACAAAAACAACATAATTAACGTAATTGGCTGGCAGTATAGGATTAAGTTGCTAAAGTCAGTGAGTTGATGTGGAGGCCAGAGGTGTACTAATCAAAGGGACATTTTAGAAGGAATGTCGGTTGATGATGGGCTTTTTGGCGTCTTGTGTGAATGGCTTGGTTGAGTTTGTGTTTGGTGAAGTCAGTTTAATTGTTCGCCAGAATGCTTATGTCAGTCCAGTTCATTTGGAAACGGGGGTTTGATTTGATGTGATCAAAGATGGCTGATTCGCTGTCGGGAGTATGTTTGGAGTGGTAGTGGGTGCACTGGCTCTGAGAAGGTCTTCTGTACACAGTGTTCTGAACTTAAAACGAGGCATGAAACACAAGAACGTCAAGGAAAGGTAGTTGGTTGTTCTGCTCTGTCTCCATGGTGAATTTGATGCGGATAGTGTTGGTTGTTGAGGTGTAGCAGGGCTTCTTCCCTGGGTACATGATGATGTGGCCAGGATTGGTAATGTCAGGAATTTAGCTTCAGAAATCAATTGATAAAAGAATTCGCAGATTTATCTAACGGGGAGAGTACTTGGGTGAGGTTTAGGGCAGTATTGTAGAACACACATTTTGGACTAGCAGTGATTCGTATGTATGTTGACCGTTGCTCAGGGATAGGGTGGTTGAGGGTGGAATACTGAAGTTTAGATTCATGGAGAGATTTATCACACAGTGTTTGGAGAGTGGCTTTATGCTGACGAACTAGCTTAGCATTGGGGTCTTTCTTCATCTTTTTGTAGGTTGTGGCGTCATCTAGCAGGTTGTCTACCATGGAGTGGAAGTGGTGCTTGTCTGAGACAACGATGTCTTGTTTTAGTTGTTTGAGGGCTTCTCTCACAGTTGGTGAAGAATGTTGTTGATTTGGTGTCAGAGCTAATCAACCTTTCTAAAGGATGCAAGTTGCTGCAGACCTTTCTCATTGTTGGCGATGAATATGTCCGAGTTAATTCATGAAAGTGTGTAGGGTCAAATTTCAGACCATTGATTCTTTATTATTGGTAAGTGACTTGTTGTGAGGTTGACAACTGTCCTGTTGGTGGCAGAGTGTGTATCCTTCTTGGGCGTGGTTGCTGATGGAGTAAGTTGTCTTAGTTGCGGTATCTAGTTTGTTTTGGCGGTAGTCTGGGCAGCTCGTAAAGAAGAGAACCCGTGAAGATCCCATGCTTGTCGTAAGAGGCGACTAACGGGAAAGGGTGGCAGGTTCGCTGACTTGGTAACCATATGTCATCGTATCCCAATGGCGTAGATCGATGCTCATGCTGTTGATCACTGGATTGTTTGGTCCAGACTCGATTATTTACAGACTGCCGCCATATAGCTGGAATATTGCTGAGTGCGGCGTAAAATTAAACTCACTCACTTGTAAAGGAGGAGGATGGTTGAGGGTGATGCTGAGAGAGATGTGACGTTCATTGATGACATATATAGAGAATCTCACCCGAGTGTCTTTTGATATCAAATATATCACCACGAGTTGATAAAGTAACAAATATCCGAGGCTTGCCGAGGATATTTTTACTTTTATCAACGAGTGTTGATATATTTGATATCAGAAGACACGAGGGTGAGATTCTATTTTATCATCCAAAATCATTCTTCATTAGTTTTCAATGAAAAATGTACATCTCTGAACACAGTACTGCCATTAGATTTGCAGTGCAGCGATGTCATAGCATTGTGACGTCATCAAGTTCATGACGTCATAGCATTGTCAGGGCATTGTGCAAAATCTACTGTCAAAACGATATCTCCTAGGAGATATCGTCTGATCTCACACAAGCGATATCTCCTGTGGAACACAGTTTTGGATGATAAATGGAGGTTGACTTCATCTTCCTATTATGTCGGATGCGTTCTGTGGGGCGTTTTCTGTAAGCTGGATGAAGGACAGTTGTGGCTGCTGCAGACAGGACGGGAGGGCGGATGATTTGTTTATCTCATCACATCAGGAAGGTGAGCGATTACTTGAGAGGATGTGCTCGTCTCAAGACGAGACAGGGACTTGATGGCATGAACTGCCATAACTCCAAGGATAACTTATTTTAGTGGCATTATAGAAGATGGAACTACAATGTTGACAAAAATTTCGTTACAAATTATTGTACCCTAGTCAAACTGGAATGTAATATGAAGAGGAGGGGATGTGTGTGTTATAATATACATATATATATACACACACACATACACATATATGCATGGATATATGTATATATGTGTGTGTGTCCGTGCGTGCGTGTGTGTGTGTCAGAGTTGTACAAATGCAAGGGTGTAGTTTAGACAGGAGGGGATGTTAGACGGTTGATTGTGCTTGGTGGAGGAGTGCATCATATGCTAATGGGATAAAATATCCTTGACAATTTTCCTGGCCAGATTTTTTTATTACATTAAAAAATGTATTCAAGTAAAAAATAAAGAATGTATCAATATATTTTTTATTCTTCTAATGGTTGTTTTTATTTCTAACGACAGCAAAGCGTTTACTATTTACATTCAAGAACTGCTCCTTGAGAGGGTCACCGCCATAACAGTTCTTCAGCAAAAACACCATGCAAAGCCGCGGAGATTGGCAAAAATGCAACCACGCCCAAAGCGAAAACTGCTCCTTTGTTATTTTCACCTTCGTTTCCTAAATCAGGACATTCGTCACCACTCGCCTCATTCCGTAACCTCCGAGAAGACCCATCCTTTATTAATGAATGTTTTTGCGAAAATACGACAATGGCCTATTCAGTACAAAAATCCCATTGGGATTCTTAAACCGTATTTAAAAATATACATTGGAAATATAAGGTGAAACGCTGATAATATTTATGTTAGAATGTGTTTTCAACAAATATTTTTTTCTTTTAATTGTACCAAAATGTTTTTCTAATTTAAAATACAGCGTTATGATGTGGACTTAAGTTTAATCATAGCTGGATATTTTATGTGCCCTTCTTTGAGTTTCTACAATGTCACTTAGTTACAGAAGAGTTATGTCCCTTTGTATAAAATATCACGACATGCAAGATACCATGAACTGCTGCCCGGCCATAGATAACAATATTGTTGTTTCTCATTACCGCCCGACCCACAAATTCGACCTGACCCTAGGATTTTTTTTTGATATTCTTCACACTAGAGAAAAGCAACTTTGACTCTGAAAATGTGCATGAATATTTCACACTGAGAAGTGTTTTGATTTTCTATCGGAGAAAAGGTGTAAAATTCTACAGAAATCAAGGGGTTTGGGACATAAAATAAAATGTAAAAATGAAATCCGGCGCCGGACCCATATATTTTGGTTTTTAAAAAAAGTGATGCGAAACAAGAATATATTTTTATGTGGCCAAATGTTTATATTTTATGAGTTTGCATTAAACTGCACTGAAATCTTCTTGTGACCAAGAGCCTAGTCACCATGGCAACAATCAGCAATACTAGAAGAAGAGAGAGGGGTTGTCACCAATTTTGTACATCAACACATTGATAAACGCATTCATATTGTGATGCTTTTCCATACAAATCATCATCACCCCGCTAGCCATAAACCATGAACGGTCCCTTATGTCAGAAAATAGCCTCTACTCCGGTCTACTGGCGGGCGCTGACTGGGATCTACACCTACTGTGGAAGCAACGAATGGTTAAGTACCGTTTAAGAGGGTGCCATGCCAATCTACACTTGTCAGAAGGGTACACAAAGGAATAAATTAATAGCAGTCCTGCTCAAATCTAGAATGACTGTGCAAGTCTACATTGCCTCAGCTCAAAAATGTATAGAACAATATTTCTGTTACATATTTGAATAAGAAAACTGTGTCTGGGACTAAATGTCAGTTTACTAAACTTCCAGACTTCCATTACATTGTGGAAGGTGAGTGGGTCGTATTCGTGACTGTCTCGTCCTGACAATAGGGGTTCAAATCGCAGACATCACGGGCATCAACCCCAAAAGTACCAGAAACATAAAATTATGATCATGATAAA